TTTTTTTTTTTTTTTTTTTTTCTATGGGGTTGTCGTGATTGCCGAAGTAAGTGGGGAATGGTTGTCAAAGGGCTGCACCTATCGTTGCACCCGGCAGGGACGAGAGTACAAACTCAGGCAGTCAAGAGGACAATAATATATATATATACATAGTGAAGATACCGGAAGTGAAATTCATTCGGAACATCATCCACTTTTTAATTCAGGGCCGAGTTTATCGGCGAGAGTCGGCCGCTGAAGCGCGGCCCCGCATATTTTTATGGGTGGCGCCATTACGTTTAATCTGGCGCAAAAATGCTGAATATAAACCTTAATATAAAGATGGCCAGGGGGGTGGTAGCCAGGTTGGATATAGGAGTGCAGAGCTAAAGGGGTGGTTTGCTCGCTTGGTGCAAATGAAGCTCCGAGGATTACTACATTCCTCCCTTTTTATCTTTCTTGACTCTCCGACCTCCCACGTGCACTCCCTCACAATTTAAAAACTACCCCTCCTCACTCCCCTTACCTGAGGGCAGGCATTATTTTCTTTATTCTTACCCCCCTGCCCCTTCCCCTCCACCCGACTCTGCCTTACTACTCAAACGGATAATAATTTCTTGTGTTACGTATCCCTGATCAATCCCTATTTTGAAATTTTGGCCTTATCCATTTAGAACGGATTGAAATAGTATCGATATGTTATTCATTGCGAATGGAATATAGTACAAAATGTATTACCTGTTTACAGTGTGTTTCATAGTAATTTCCTATTGACTGATATTCACACGGGATTTACAGGATCAATCCGTGATTGAGTTTATGTGTGTACAGCATCCCAGTATTAACTGGTAAACGCCGAATTATCAGTACAGTATCCGGCACAGTTAATTATTTGAATTCATTTACTTTTCTCAACTATGGACATTTCAAATTCTCAACGATTTCCCGCCATTTAGTTGTATCTACCGTGGTACCAGTGAACGTCGAAATTCATGCGAAATCAACAATTTTGAGGTGTACTGTCCACGAATTTGGGTTTAGCATCTCGTGATATCTCTACTATCGGCAAGCAGGGCTCACCAGGACCCATCTGAGCCCAGTTTATGAGAGTCTATCGACAGTGATAAGCCAGCGGCGTGCGTCGGGAATTTCTCGCTTTGTTATCGACGACGATTAATGGATTTTCAAATTACTTACCAGATACTCGTCTAGTTACTTTTAATTAGAACGATTACAGACCTGTTTCGATTGTTGATCGTTAACCAATTCGCCAAATGCAGTTTTAACTCTCGAACGGGGAATCCCCGGATTTAATGCACAGTGTCAGCGCGAGCCTGATTTTACCCTAGGATTATACCCGTGTCTAGTATAATCCTAGTAGAGACTGTTTTGCAGCGGGAAATCTCGAAATTCGCATAATCTTGAGCGACGTTACTGGTTTCTTTTGGTTTTGGGATCCTTATTACGCAGAGTGTTGCATCTTTACACGTGGATCCTTCACCAAGGACACCTTTTACTAGACGTTTCAGGACACTGCTTCAATTTACGTAAATAAATTGTTACAATAAATTTTACATTAAATTAATGATTTTTTTTCCAACTTATAATTTTTACGGTACTTATCATACATATATATATATATATATAAGATTCATATATAGGACATATAAAACAAGTATATGGTTAAGCATACATTTTTATGATGGTTCAGTATAATTTATGCTTGTACATTCCTATGAGAAATGGTCAATCGTGTCACATAAATTCGTGATAAAGAATTTTTTTCATGGCTTGCGAAGAACATGTTGAAAAGTTTTGTGGATTTTTGTGGACATTAATTTGTAAAAAATTTTTTAATGATTTTAAGGATGGATTTTTTGGAAATTTTTTGTATAAGATATTTAACCGTTGGGAATCTAGAGAGGTTCACGTTACTTTGGGCAAATATGAATTTTACGGCCCTGGACTCGGCGGGTGCCGCCATGAATGTTCGAACATTATGACGGCTCTGCAGATGCATGAAAAACTGCGCCAGTCCTGAATAATAAGGCTACTTCCGACGCGATTCCCAATCGCGAGCAGGTGCGTCGAACGGTCGAATCGTTTTATTCGAAGAAATATCCCATTCTCCTTGTCATTTATATTCTTGTTATACTCAGGGGTCCTCTGGTCCTTTGTTCACTATGCGGGACATCATTTTATTTTGCTGACGACAGATGGATTCCGATTTTATTTCCTTATACAATTAGAATCCACATAGTCATAAGGTCCGCTATTACTAAAGAGATAAGGTATTAATCTTAAGGACAAATTTACGTTGAAAACAGTGAAATTGACTGGTGATGGTAGTTCCAGTGTTCAAACCAGATTTGTATGAGATTTCCAAAATTATTTTTATCTTTAGAGTATGAAAATAAATTAATCTGTTTTGGATTATTTTTAATAATAATCTTAATTTTCGTTTGAACAAAATATTTTCCTAATTTCTTTCTTTATTTTTGTATTTTCAATATCGAGCTTTCAATATGAACACTTTCCGTCAAATTAGAAAATTTCACGTTTTTGCTTCAATGCGAATGTAGAGTGATATCTGGAGGGATTTTCCAGAAGCAGTACTGACATACCGACAGAGTAATATCCTGTGAGTAAAATCCCTATGAGAAAACAGGAAGCGTAAGTTACCTTCGAAGTTGTCGGTAACATATGAGAGAAGATTTTAAATAACTTAAATGGTATCGAACGACTACGTAAGATGGCGAAACGAAAAAATCAAGGAAAAGATCATTAAATATATTTATGTGAAAAGAATGGTCTCTTATCAAAACGTATCAATCAAAATTTCACACGCTTTCTGATATCCCTTTTTTTTTTTCCTGAATAGTACCATACTCCATTAGGAAATTGACCCTTTTTGCCCGAGTACGAAAGAAAGTGGAAAAAAAAAGAAGTATGAAGAAAGCGTGCGAAAGAGTGCTAAGCAGATTGAGGTTTCAACAAACACAGTTGTCAGTTTGTCTCCGCGTGTTTTATGTCTCCATTAGCATTCGCTCGCACTAGGATTTATCTGCGGCTGCCACCCTTTCTAAGTCTAAAGTTCCAAGAAAAGCCGGCGTCCGACTTCTCTTCCGGTAGAAGAGCATTTGTATAACTCGCCATTTTTCCTATTCTGGCTCCCGTGACAGGAGAAAGAAAGAAAAAAAGATTAAAAGACAAAACGAAGGACAGATATAAAAAAGGCGGCAATTCTAGCAACTTCAAAATTGTTAAAACAATTTTTAAAATTAAAACTTCATTTTCAGTGACGTATATATTTATCCCTAATCTTTATTGTTTGACACTTCGTTTATTAATTTCAGACGAAATATTATTCGTTATATGCATGAATATTTAGTCCACGTTTTATATGCTGATTGTCCATTTATCGACCACCGGAAAATAGTATCTGATTTGACAAGGTATCCTCTGCCGGTTGTAAAGAACGAAGAACAGCACGGGCCTCGCAAACTGCCAGTTGTTTCAGTTCTGTCTGATAAGAATTATTTTGAAAAATATAGAAACTGTCTTTGAGGGGTACAATATTTTATAAAAACTTTGTATTCCATACATTATATATATTTTTTCGATTAGTTCACTTACCAAGAGCAACTGACAAATCGATCTAACGGATTTCGAACTGAGTCGACAATTTCCGGTATCGTACGAGCGCTTCCCTGGCTTCCATCCATTTGAAAATGTAACCTGACCAGAACCAAGTTCCATAAGCGTTGTAAAAACAGCAACCAGCATCACAATCTGAACCAGAGTCTGTTTCGCGTTTCGGTTCATGCTATAGCAAACACAAAATACAATAAAAATTTAGTGAAGGTGCGTAAACAATTAAAAACATAAAAAAACACAAACATCACCCATGCACAATGTTTAAACCAACATCTTTGAACATCCAAAAACATACTGTCCCATCTATATGCAAAATTACACTTCACGTCCAAAGCTCAATCCAGCTCGATCCTGCAGTTTATCTCTAAAAAATTAAAAAAGAAACGATTTCACACATGCCCAAAAATAAATCAGCTCTCCAGTATACATAACATACCGCCATACAGACATTATATAAGGCTATATGAAAGTATATTAATAATATAGAATATATAATTTAGTCTATTAAAGAATATATCTATATAATCCCCTAGAATATTACTAGATAATAGATCAAAATTATAATAAAAAATTATTATAATTATTGCAATTACCTTATTGGGGTTGCTGCCGATGCCCTGGAGTACTTCCTAACGGAGGCCTTCAAGGATGAGCCTGCGTCTGGCCAGAAGGTGAATCTCACGGGCTTATATACCAGCGAGCAGAGTTGCTCTCTGATCTGAAATGGTAACCCTCCTCGCCCACCTTTGATGGTTACTCTTCTGTGTTCGTCTGCCTCAACCCTCCATCAGTACTGTGATTCTAGCTAACATATATCTTCCGGAGAAAATATTAGCTCACAAGTTTCTTTAAACTCTACCAAATTTCCCTATACGTTCCATTAGAATAAAAAGGCCGATCAAGTCAGTCACGAAGAAATGTGCCTTGAATAAATCATGACCGAATCAAATAAACAGTTATTTCGTGTAACAATATTTTTAATTCTCAAACTTAATGTTCGAAATTATTAACATTATTAACGGTACGTTGATAAAGGGCATTATTAACGGTACGTTTGTTACTTCATTATTTGAAATGATCCAGATGTAAAATCTCATCGAAACTTTGTGACAGGATCGTTAACCTCTAACGTCAGTTGTAATCGGTGTCTGCATGTACTTTCTTGGGTAACCTAACTTAACGTTGACAAATAATTTTCTTCTGCGCCACTTTCCTCCCCCCGAGCCTGTTAATTTCCATTTTACTTTTTTCTAACAAATATATTTTCCTCCGTCTTTTCAATACACGGATTCGTTCTATAACCCTCTTTGCGTCTGTTCATTCTTCATTTTTTTTCATTCTTCCCTAGAGATACCGTTACATAAGAGAATGGAGATTTTTGCACAATAACCAACGTACCATCCCACTATCCAGCCTCATCCCTTGGCCCACATATGGATTCCTTCGCGTATTGAAAATAATCTTCAAGAGGATTGCGATCCTTCCCGAACAAATAGCGAATTCGCAAATAATAGATTCATCCACCAACACATTCATCTATTACTGTATGTACACCTTTAATCTCTTTCTCATCCTATTTACAAGAAATACGAATTCTTTCTTTGTTATTTGTTCCTATAGTACAGCTTCTTACGTCCTGTTTGGCTGATCGGATGTGTCTGAGATCTTTGATGGTACACGTGTGTACCTATGTAAATATCCGTATATAAAATTTGGAGAAATTTTTTCAAAGTACACTTTTATTTACAGCTGTTGTACCGACTGAATATGGTTCTGAATATGGTTCTTGGTAGAAATAAAATGAAAGTACCGAATTTGGCTGACACAAGAGTTATAAAAAAATGTTCTTTTTTTTCTATTCACTCACAATTTTTCATCACTGACCGCAAGAACGTAAGGGATGCTGAGATTCTATATTGAGTTCTATCAAAGAGCTCATATATTTCAGTGGAATTTTCAAAACTCTATGGCTACGTTTACACGTTTCAAGTTCTTTCGCGAGGCCAAATATTAGTTCTCATCAGTTTCGCATGATTTGCAAAATTCACCTCGAGTGAGAAACGTAATATTAACCGGCCACTGTAAATAGAGAACGCGGAACGCCGGAGATTGATTTTATACGGATATAAGTAAACTCGAATACTTTTTTTTTATAAAACAAGGTTCTTTTATTTCGTACGTACATAGAGTTTGCGAGATGATAAAAGTAACATTGTCGTAGTCACGCGCTATGCTTTATTAAAAAATTATAGAGCATAATATGTTAGCGCATTAGCAAAAAAATTAATAAAATTGAAAATCAAAACAAAATCTCATTGGGAAGCTTCGTTCGATGATTTTGATTTTTTTTCTTTTTCTATTTCAGGGAAATAACAGGAAAATCAACTTTCAGCTAGACTCATGGTTTAACCAAATTTTTACAGCTATACAAATTATAAATACGTATACTACTCTAATGTATAGAAATTTGATTGTTCACTACTGTCTTCTTGGCCAATTGTCACTTTGGGGATGTATATCGTACAAGGCATTTGAAATACGAAAAATAATGTGATTTGCGTGATGGGGAGTGGGACTACTGCTTTGTTACACTTTACAGGTTTACAGTATACATATATGTTGTGTTTAATAAGTTCTTTGTAACATTATACAGTTACGCCAACCTCTCCAAGGATCTCTGATAGTTTTTCAAGGTGTTTATTAACTGATGTATACTCCTGCTGACTTCTGGCGATAAGTTGGAAGGCGTTCATGTATTCCAGTTCAGAAAACTGGGCGCCATTCTCCAGGACGCCGTTGAGAATCTCTTCTGGAGTCTGATAAAAAAGCTCAAAGTACTGCCTGGCATAATCTAGGGCTAACTCGCGCGCCATTGTGATGTTTGTCAGGGTTTGTTGCAGTGCAAAGACATTGCGACACATCCTTTGGATTCCACTCTCGTCGATTTTCTCTATGTATTGTGCGGATGTTATCAGGATCTTGGCTATGAGATGACCCAGACCCTCGAAGATGTACTGTGACATTTAATGTCTGGTGAGCATCGTGAGTAAAGCTTGAAGGAAGACAGGAAAAGAAACATTACCTTGGTTTTCTTGGGATGGAGGGTAGATTGTAAAGCCTCGTCTATGTGCTGAAGGACTCTGCTAAGTTCCTCGACTCTGGGATCCGCTTCCTGGGGATCCCTACCGTTACCGCAGAGGTGGCTGTACTCTCCTCGGGGTAAGAGGTAGTGAAAGCACTGAACTCTGACCTAGGAAAATAGTGTTATGAACCTCTATTTAATGATTTTGACGTTAATTTACCTCTAAGTGGAGAACCAGGATACATGTGTTGGCGAGCTCATCGAACTCGTCAGCCACCTGCTGCAGAGACTCTACCAAGGAACCTGGCATTGGTGGTAAGGTCGTCTGATTATCAACAGATGCATTGGCCTGTCTCAGTTCGAAGACCACGGATCGTATAGAGAGAGCGAACCACTCCATACTCTCCTGGAGCAGAGCGAGACAACGAAGCTGACTGACGTCTGATATGATTTCGTGAGAGTTTATCCCACCCTCGCCAAGGTTACTGGCCAGGATCTCTGCTTCCCGGAGATTTCTCTGTCGCACTTCTTCGGGACTCTCCTCTTCCTGAGTCTCCTGACGTCTCATAGATCTTCTACCCACTGCACCACGATGATTTTCATTTTTGAGATTCGCCCAGTTCGGCAGAGACCTGTTGATAATTATGTTTCGGTATCAGTCCGGGGTACCTGAAGATTCTACTTCGTGAATCTTACTTGATAAATCTGCTAATATCGTCGTCTTTGAGCCACGCTGCAGAACAGACTCTCTTATCTTCACTATCTGGTTGTACTATACCTCTGTAAGCGGCTTGGCAGGTTTCACGGTAATTGTGCAGCACGTTCAGTGCCAGGGTGCAGAAATGCTCCCCTTGTAGAGGCAGTGCTATCATTAGAGATCGTAATTCTGCTAAACACTGTTCTACCTTCACAGTACTCTGAAGGAATACATGCGTTACTCGTATGTTAAGATAGGATTTTATGACTTTATTTTTAACTTATGGTACCTGGAGCAAAGGTCTTGTCAAACCGATCTCCTTCATTAGTTCCGGCGATGTTGTAGCTCTCCAAGCTTCTGGACTCTTTGTGGCAGCATCTATAGTGGTAGCCACTAGGACGTGATGCCTACCTAGATAAACCTCCTTCACGTAGTCGGCAATAAAGGCGTTTAATGTACAAGGATTTCTGATAACAATATTAAAATTAGTTTAAAATATGTAATTATATGATTATTCTTATAAATGGAACTGATTTCTTACTTAGAACTGCAGCCCAGAGCTCGTTCAATTTCTTCAATGAACTCCATCATGGGTCTGAATATGAATGTTATGTTTTTCGGATCCGGCTCGCACACTAATTTCTTATCGCCTGTAGCTTGTCCGTTTTTCTAAATAAGAAAAAAAGGGGAAACAGTGTGTGAGCAAAATTAGGACATTGCATGAGTTATAAATTCTGACTTACGGACAGTGTGAAACTGCTGTAGCAATGCTCTTTTAAATAATTATTGAGCGCCATTGGATGGGACGAAGAATCAAATTTAAAAAGAAAACTGTTCTTTTGTCTCTGAGGTTTACGACGTGCAAAAAATGTGTTAATATCGCTAGTGGGTTCATTGAGCGTTGCTGGAGTTTGAAAAGGATCATCCACCATATTTTGAATGTCTAGGTAGTCCGTGAGAAGCAACTGAAGCTGTGGATAAATAATGTGAATAAGAAGTGATTAAGATTATGTATCATTAGTTTAAGCTAAACTTACAACAGCCTGAACTTTACTCCAAACGTCAGGCATCTCATACAGGCGTACATCTAGATTGTATTTTTTCACTACATAGGAGAAACTACGCAAAGCTGTCGAATGAGCACCGGCTACGAGTCTAAACTGTTCAAAGACAGTTTGAAGAAGTTCTAAGAGTAGTGCCTGGCTTCCCGAGCCATTATTGCTGGTTACTTTTATTTCAGTAGAATCAGTAATTACAGGCCTTGGTAGGATTGGCTGATGCTCAGCTGATTCCTTTATTTGCTTAGAGGTTCGAGCTATTATATTCAATAGCTCTGTTTGCATTTGTACTTTTATTGCCTGTTAATAAACTTCATTGTAGATTGGATTCAAATTTATATTAATATTATAGACAATCAAACTTTTACGATACCTCCACAGCCTCTGGTATTTTGTTGAGCAATGCAAGGCACTCGATTATGATTGCAAGAAAGTGCTCAGAATTCTCCTCAGGGTTAGAAGAATCCTCATCCTCCACAATATTGTTTAGGTCCTCTACGTTTACGTTATTCATACCCCTGTCAAATTTGAAAATGAAATATTTGTAAGGATAAAATATTAAATATAAAATATTTGTTCAGGATATTTCCTGTACAAAATTCACACAGTGCTGATGAAAGCTGAAAGAACTAAAAACTATGCGCCACATATCATGCTATTTACATAAGGAACATGACTTACAGAGTGACCAATGAAGTCCGCCTGCTATAAATATAAAGGATATTTATTTCATGCAGATTATAATTGATTAACATATAAAGAATTTCACGTGAAGATCAGAAAGGGATGTTTCTAAGTTTTTTGAGTTTATTGAACTCACCTAGGTGCTTGTCCCGTAGGGTATGCTGACATAACATCTAATAAAGCTCTTCGAACTTTGTTTCCTCTTGAATTCCGGGATTCGTTTCCTCGCTGAAAATCCCTTCCCGAACCATGTCTCCTGAGCAGTATCTCTCTAGTAGATTCTATATACAGATGTTTACTCAACTCTTCAAGTAATTTTACATGGAGTTGCTGTTTCTTTGTTTCCAATTCAGTTCGTACCTCTCGAAGGGCTTCGACACCCTCCAAAGGTCCTTCACCCAGAGTTATGGAAGAAACAAGAAGTTGCGTAGCATGCAAATACAACTTTCTGTTTAAATAATGCTCTAAGCGCGAGGGAACGTCCCGTAGCTGGTCTCTGGAGATATATTATTTTTATTTAGCAAGTCAGGCAGATTTTAAATTGAATTTCAATGACATACATCTCATCAAGAAGTTGGAGAACATGCTTGTGCTCTATACCCTCTAGCCATAGTTTCATTAACTCATCTCTTCTGCATCTCAACAACTGCTTACAGGCATTCAAATTTTCTTTTACCGCATGGATTTTTTCTCTGGATGCAGTCACCCTTTCGGACAAGGTACCAAATATCTACTCAGGCATATTTGAATATAGTATCTAATAACAGTATATTAAAATCTTTCAAATATTACATTCAATAATACTTGCCTTCATGACTTCGGTAAGATCTTGATCGTGTAATGAAACTAATTCATCTAGGCGTTGATCACTACGTTTGTATTCCTTCTCTAGTTTTTCCTTCTCTACTTCCCGTTGCTCATTGGTTTCACTTGCTGAGAGTGCTCGGATTACCGACATTAATAGACCACTCTAAAATATAAGGTTCCAAGATGAAATTATTTTGAAAAATGAGGTATCAAAAATATGACAAATGAATACATTTTAAGTATAGAAATAAGGGTTCCTTATTCTAGCAATGATTTACATGTAGTACTATATTATATAGTTAATTAACAGTGTACGACATAGACAGTGCAATAGAAAAATGGACAAAATGAAAAGGGCGCACTTTTTATTGAGATAAGCTTCATTCAATGAATTAAATGAAGTGCAGATTCATTGCTTGGAGTCTTTATAACCTTAGTGCAATGTGTTGATAAATATTAACATTGTTTTCTGAAGGAAGGAAAATGCAATTAGGAAATGCATCTGCTTACGGTTTCTTTGGTGTGTTTGACACCCCGTGGGGGTTTCACGGGAGGCACAGTAGTCATTTTAGATTCGATAAATATTAAACCAAATTATAATGTCAAGCGAAATGTCAAATTCCAAAGTAAAAGTGGGTGGTGCACTGCCTTATCACTTGAGGAAACACCTAGCGATATCTGTTCGGCAGCCTTGAAAAATACAATTCTCTTAATACCACATACCGATTATCGATAAATACTGGACTAAGTAAATGACAATTGCTCAACCGGATGTTGCAACAATTGAAAAAAAAACCGGAAGTGTTTCCAAGAATCTTTACACTCTTTTCAATTTTTCTCAGTTACCAAGCTACCAGGATCAACAAAATCAGAAGTCTTACATTTTCAGTTACAGCAGTTCGCAAGCGGCCTCAAAATTATTTGTTTTCCCTTTTCGAAATTTCTTCGTATACAGCCTCAATGAGTCTTATAAGACAATTCTAATTAATTCGGCGAATATTCCTTCTAATGCAGGCAAAATGGTAATATTATCCAAGCCTCCCGAGATTAAAAGTCTCTTGAATCTTGAAAAGGACGAATCATTTTCATCTCTAGCGCGAGTGTATATCCATGCATGTCGGCCAAGCTGGTGTACAAATGGGTAATTCCTGTTGGGAACTTTACTGTCTTGAACATGGAATTCAACCAGATGGCACTATGCCCTCCGACAAAGTTTCCGGTACCAACGACTGCTTCAATACCTTCTTCAATGAAACCAGTTCCGGAAAAATGGTCCCACGAGCAGTGATGGTTGACCTGGAGCCAACGGTAGTTGGTTAGTACATGCAATGAAATAAAATTGAATCTGCTTAGATAGACAATAATTCGTTACCCCAAATACAGACGAGGTTCGCGTGGGTCCATACAAACAACTGTACCATCCAGAGCAACTGATAACAGGAAAGGAAGATGCTGCTAATAATTATGCCAGAGGTCACTATACCATCGGAAGAGACGTCATCGAATCCGTAATGGACAGAGTGAGAAGACTGACTGATCAGTGTACGGGACTTCAAGGTTTCTTTGTCTTTCATTCATTCGGCGGTGGCACAGGGTCAGGATTTACTTCGTTATTGATGCAAAGGCTCAGTGATGAATATGGAAAGAAAAGTAAACTGGAATTTGCAGTGTACCCAGCACCCCAGGTAGATTTGAAACAATAATCTATTTTTCCTGCACTTCAGAACGTCATCATCTGACTAACCTTAATCGAATATATTCAGGTATCTACAGCTGTTGTAGAGCCCTACAATGCAATCCTAACAACACACACAACAATCGGCCATTCCGACTGTGCCTTTATGGTAGACAACGAAGCCATTTATGATATCTGTAGAAGGAAACTAGGAATCGAACGGCCATCTTACGCCAATCTAAACAGACTCATCAGCCAAGTCGTCTCCTCGATAACAGCATCATTAAGATTCGACGGTGCTCTCAATGTCGATCTCACCGAATTCCAAACTAACCTTGTTCCTTATCCAAGAATACACTTTCCACTGGCGACATATGCGCCAGTTGTCTCGGCCGATAAAGCTTTCCACGAGGGCATGTCCGTTGCTGAAATCACATCCGAGTGCTTTGATCCAGCTAACCAGATGGTTAAGTGCGATCCTCGCGAAGGCAAATATATGGCCTGTTGTTTATTGTACAGGGGCGATGTTGTGCCTAAGGATGTTAACGCTGCCATTGCTGCTATGAAAGGTAAAGCCAGTATCCGCTTTGTCGATTGGTGTCCCACTGGGTTTAAAGTTGGTATCAATTATCAGCCACCGACAGTGGTACCTGGCGGTGATCTGGCAAAGGTATAAAAACTTTATAACACGTGAAGAATGGAATAATCAATGAAACTTTTATCTTAAAATATTCATCTTTATTTGGTCAGGTACAAAGGGCTGTGTCGATGCTTTCAAATACAACCGCCATTGAGGAAGCTTGGGCAAAGCTTAATCACAAATTTGATCTCATGTACAACAAGCGTGCCTTTGTTCATTGGTACATTGGAGAAGGAATGGAAGAGGGTGAATTTACTGAAGCAAGGGAAGATCTAGCTAGTCTTGAAAGAGACTACGAGGAAGTCGCCTGCGAGTCCGACATCATACCAGACATCTCTATGGAATATTGATAGTCCTTACTGTTATATTTCTTTCTTCAATTCTCTTACAGTCCACGAGGAAAAAGGGGTTGATAAAAATTGCATAATCATAACAAATCTAATTTTAATATCAATTGCAAGTTTTAAGCATTGAAATCCCTTCTTATAGACAGATTGCATGTAAAGGTCCCTTGGAGTGACGTGCAAAGTCTAAATGAAAGTTAGGGTGTTTTTATTAGAAAACCTGATGGACTTGGGAGAACATGTTCATTTTTTCAAAATTCTACAGTACCTTTCAAAAGTGTTGCCTGTTGTATTATATCCGGTACTCTGACTCGAATCGTTTATGGAACGAATGTGCTTATGGCATGCTATAATTTTTTTAATTAATACTAAAATGTATTTGCTATCGTTTGATAGCATCTTTTCGCAATACTCTCTTCTGGGCACGAGTGATTAAGTATTATCCTCAGAGGAATTTCTTGTTTGAGAATCCAAGCGAAAATACATTTTTATGGCTAGCAGTGAGGAGAATAGCATGCATCTGCTGTTCGCTTTGAATTCCATTCGACATTTTCGGTTACTGGATATAAAACAATTTATGGGTCACGTTAATATAATTCAAATGATATTTTACAATCATATGCACTTGCAAGAAGGAGATTCTTGACTCGCCGATTTTGTGATCTTTTTATCAGGACTTTTTATATTATGCTCCTTTGAGAGAATATTGTATTATTTTTCCTTTATATTATGTGAATTTATGTGTAATATTTGATGTAACTGTCTGACTCGTGAAATGTGGATTAATATAACATGCATTTTACAAAGATTCGTACTTTTTTATTTGATAAAGTTTTGCCTATATTGTAAAGATATGTTTGTAATAATTTGAACCCCTGTGTACGAGCAACCGTACATGTACGAGTGTTTTCCTTATACAGTGTTAGTAGAAACGCACCAGCAGAACCGGCCGCAAATAGCCGACACGGCAGTGTGGCCTCTTCAAAAAATGACACGTGACCACGACCAATTCCCAAAAGCGCAAACTGACATTTCGCATAGGAATAAGGTTTTAGCAAAGCGAACAAATTATACTAAATACGCGAGAGATAGACACTGATTAGATTCACTATACGAAAGACCATGGCCGTAGATACGCACAATTTTGGGCAACTTCCAACACTTCTAAATATGCTTGGCCAGAATTTACGATTTCTAATAAGTGTTAATATTTTACTTTATTGATTTAATTAAATATTTTAATGTTCCAAACACCTAACCTATTAATATTTCAATTTGAACGTAATTTATTTTCGATATTCTACAATTTCAATTCAATGTTTATCTACTCTGTATATTCTGCGAGATTTTGATTTAGCCTCAATTTTATATTTTGTATAAATTTTCAAAGTAAACCAAGATCCAATAATATTTAGTAAATAAATAATAAATAATAAATAAATAATATTTATTTGGCACTTTCTTAAAAATGTTTTTAAAATGTCTCAACAATAGGCTTTTTCAACAGTTGTTGAGAAGTTCTATAGTTCGCGGGCTCGTTCTAAGGATTGCTTTGGGAAACAGCGGTGAGTAGTAGAGAACCTCTGCCCGCCAAGCTACGCGTCCGTGTTCTCGTTTAGCTCGGCTACGACGGGGTTCGTATTGTCGACGGAGGCGATGATCACAATATTCTACTTCCGGACTCGCCGCTATGATTTAGCGCCACGATTTGGGTATCGCCGAAAATCGTAGCGTTGTGTATCTCCCCACTCATCTCTGCCGTAGCGTTGTGCATCTCCCTACTCATCTTTGCATTTTTAGCGCTTGTACTGCCTATGTTTTTTGATGCTATATGATGCTGTAGCCTAACCTCTTGGTGGTAGTTGAGGATTTACACATTTCTATAATTATTTGAATAAAAACTATTTAAGATGAATTCCTTACGTGGTGGATTTTCAAGTAGGTATGTAATACATTACTTGTCATGAAGCTGCTTAGAGAAAGAAGACCATATTTCTAAGAATATTTTGGTATTGATGGTTAAAATGATATCTAGTTGATTTATAATGAAGTAATAGTTTTTTTTTGAAATACTAAGATCGTTTGTTGAGGCTTATCAAAAATTTATTTAGGTGTACAGCTAGAAGCTTAATGATGCGGCTACAGTCATCATTGACTACATCCACAACCAGCTCACAGTTAACTGAAGAAATTCAGATACCGAATAGGATTGAACGAGGACCTACTGACATTTTGAAGGTAGATGTATTACTTTCAGAGATTATGTGATTATTAATATCCACATTTCCTTTAAATAAGGCATTGGAGTCGACTATCTCTCGGGATCCTACTGCACCACATTATAAGTACCACGATGATCCATATTTTATCCCACAATCGAATATTACAAAACGTACGTACGCTCTTGCCCAAGAGGCAGGTAGAAAGGCTGCATTGTGGATCCGTGAAGAACACCGTGATGTTTTTCAGCATAAACTGGCTGACCCACCAATTGAGGTATACTTCATTATGTTAATAAACATTGATATCAGAAATATTCTGCTATCATGAACTTGTAATATTATCAAAATATATTTTTCAGAGCTTCATGCCCAAACCAGTGTATACAGACAAAAGTCAGGTTTCTGAGAATACACTTCTAAATGTAATAAAACACGGGCAGGTTACAGAGGCTATTAACATTTACAAATTATTGCAAGGCGAAGTTAGCACTACGAGCAAACAAGCATTATTTGAGCTGCTCTGTTACACCAACAGTAAGGATCCCATAAATAAGGACTTTATAGAAGAAAGATGGTTCCGACAGGTTTCGTCAGAAGTAAAAAATACTTGGAAGTATGAACATATCGATGTAATTATAGAACAAGTTCTTTAAAGATATTAAAAACAATTTCTTTTATTTATTGCATAGAAATTGCCTAGAAGCTGAAGAGCTTTTTACATTTCTGAAGAATCAGGATGAGGCCACAGCTGCAGCAGCGTACAATACCCTTTTACGAGGTTTGGCAAAGTTTCTGCAGGTATTGTTATTGTTTGGAGAATAATCAACTGATCTTGATCACAAATCTAATTAATTTTGAAATCGTAGACGGATAAAGCTTGGGAATTATACCAGGAGTGTCAGAATAAGAAGGTCCCGCTTAATGCAGAAACTTATAACTACATAATACAGACTGTCCAATTCTTAAAGGATGGATCTCTAGAGAAAAAACAACTTTTACAAACAATACTCATGGATATGGCTGCCCAAGGGGTACAGCCCAATATCGGCACACTTAACGCCAGTCTCAAAGTTGTTAGTTCACTGTCACAGAACTTTGCCAAGGATCTTGCCAGATCTCTGATCACTGAATTCACGACGATCGGTATCGAACCGTCCCTGGCATCTTATTATTATGTCCTACGAATCTTCTGCCAAGAAAGTAATACACCCAATAACATTTTATTTTGCAAAAGTTTTTTTTCTCGGTAGCGAGATCTAATTTTGACGATCATCTGTTCGTAGAGGGTCCCACAAATAATGTCTTATCAGAGATTATTCAAGAGCTTGAAGGCAAAGAATTAAAAGTCCAGGACCCTATGGATACGTTCTTCTTCATGACCGCTATGGATGTTGCCAAGAACCATCTTCATGACGCAGTAGTTGCTGAACGTCTACATGGACTTCTCCTTGCCAAAGACAATTACAAGTTCATTGGTGACAGTTACAAGGTCAGTTCTTATTTAGAGACAAGTAGCGTCTTCAATCAGGATTGAAATCCATATGCAATAAATATATCTTTCTTTAGGAAAGCGTCTATTTCCGCCATTACATGTCTATATTGGTAGAAACTGAACCCCTGGAAGACTTCATGAAGATCTACCATACCCTGGTGCCAAATATTTACATTCCTGAGCCTTCTGTAATGGCGAGTATCTTGTACGCAGTCGAGGGTAACCCACCGGAAATTGGTAGAGAATTACTTCCTCAATTCTTCTCGCATATGGTAATGTTCGATCAGCTGGAAAGGCGGAATCTCGTGACGCATATTTTGGAGCTGATGAGGGTTCATTGTAGGCCACCTCCAAATTCACCTTTACACGCACAATATGCAGAATCTGCATGGGCTTTGTGGAACTTTATACAAGTAAATTACCATAATGATATGGAATTACAACTTTTCCCGTTGGCAATAACAATATTGTGATAATAACTACAACGTGGATTTGTTACAGAATCAACGAGAAAACAAATTAAGAAAGCTCCAGTGGACCGGGGATATGTTGGGCAATGTCGCTGTTCTTTCCTTACGCGGAGATCAGTTTGACAGGATGCTGCAAGCTATTTCGTTCTTGACAAAGGATCAAACCTCTGTCATTGGGACGCCTAATATTGAACAAATTGATGAGTTGTGCAATGCATGCATTGAGCAAGGTCATATTGCCGGAGCTTTGGTAAGTTACTATACTATTATACCTATATATTATACTATTATACTATTATATATACTATTATACCTTGCAACGTTATATATCGACATACCTAATACTGATCATTCTATCGCAATTTTCCTTTTACAGGCTATAATACAATATGCCGCAGAATTGGGACACCAAGAAGCTAGCCTAATGGCGAGAAAAGTGTACAATACATTACCACTCACGCCATCTCAAGAAGACAAACTCGTTAGCTTAGTGGGAAAAGAGGTTCTCAAGATCCAATTATCCGTAAACAAGGAATAATCTTTTAGTTCAATTAATCACATACAAACTATAGTATTAGACATAGATTCTGTATAACAACTGTACATATAATAAATCGACAAATAAAAAACTACTAGCAATTTATCCAGGTTCCATCTCCATCTGATCTTTATTTAATTTTCAACGTTATACTCAGCCGTAGTTTTATGCACTATGAATCATTCAACCCTTCACGTAACCAAGATTGGATTAACATCATAATCAGTGTAACGTGAAGTTACATATCAATGTCCTTGTCCCTTGAGTTGGTCACTGAATAGTTAGTGAATTAAACAGAAGAACTGTGGGAAGCTGCGAACCCTCCTCACTCAAATACCCACTTCCTGCATTGCTTTGGCACAACGTCACAGCTGCATAGTTGACTACTCGGGGAGCTGCAAGTGCTGTAGTAAAGGGAGTGATAGATAATCATTTTCAGACTGTCAATCAGTGCAATCCGTGTCGTTGCGCTGGTAGGAGCGATGGGTACCGTACGGCTTACTTTGGATTCCGCCCAGGAGTTGCTTGGTAAGGATGAGACCGACGTGGAGATTACTGATCTGGAGGAAGAACCTGGTTCCGGAAGAGGTGACAACTACACTTCGATATTATATCGAGTAAGTGTAAAGGGTTTGAAGACGATGAGAACTGGTGAAAAGGTAGCCTGGGAACGAGCCATCATCTACAAGGCTCTACCACAGTCCAGAGAGCACCGAGAAGCTTTCAAGAGTGAAGCACTGTTCAAAAATGAAGTTGTTTTCTATACAAAAGTTTGGCCAGCCCTGGACGAGCTACAGTCTGATGGAAAGCGTGTCTTTGGTGGAGTAGCCAAAGTGTACATAGCCAAAGAAGATATTATTGCTATGGAGGATCTACGAGAGAGAGGTTTTAAGATGGCTGACCGCACACAAGGTCTCCAGGTTGAAAGTCTGAAGCAAGTACTCAAGGCGCTAGCAGGTTTTCATGCTCTGAGTTTGACTCTTCATGATCTAAGGCAAGAATCCAGTATAAAGTGTGAGATTGGACAATCTTTGTTATATGAAATTATTGATCTTCATTTTTTCTTTTAAAAGACCAGAACAATTCGAAAGGCTCACCACCGGTGACGACGGTCAGGGCATAAAGGAGGCTCTTTTTCGTGAAGAGAATGAGGATTGGTACAGACAGTATTACAGAGTGGCTGCTAACAATGCCATAGCGATGGTGTCTAAGACATTGTCAGTTAAGATGGAGCATCGACGAGAAGAGATAATGGGTAAATTACGTGCCTTTCTGCACGAGGACGTCTTCTTCAGGACGATGAGTCAACTAGCTGCATCAAAGGGCCCACTGACGGTCTTCTGTCACGGTGATTGCTGGACGAATAATATTCTCTTCAAGGATGAAACCACCGATGAAGCAGAAGTAAGTAGAATCTAGAAAATACATCTCCATATCTTTTAACTTTGACATTTTAGCCAGTGTACCTGGTTGACTTTCAACTGACTAGAGTTGGATCCCTCGCTCTTGACTTGGTGAATCTTCTCTATTGCTGCACCAGTGGTGACGTTAGGCGCGTACATATGACGCAGCTCCTGCGCCATTACCACTGTCATTTGATGCTGTGTCTGCAGACGTTGAATCCAAACACAACCCGGAACGCTCCAATTATGTGGGAATAGTGAGTAGCAGTTCTATTTATACAGTACACTAACAAGCTCTTTCACTTGGTTAATCAACTCTCCTTCTAGTCTGACCCAGGAAATGAGAAGATGCGGACGCTTTGGTGTAGGTCTCGCCCTGGACGTTTTACCAATCAGCACATGTGCAAGTGACGAAGCCCCAGATCTGTATGAGGATGCTGAGGTCGACAAGGAAGAGGGTCATGCAAAATGGGCACCACCACTAGGTGGAGCAAAGTGTGCCAAATTGATGACGGACCTGGTGATAGAGCTTATACATAATGATGCTTTGTAGAAATTTAAATGACAGAAATAATTGTAATAATCAAGTTGCAGCCGACTTTTGTAGACATAGCAGTGTATTGTACACGAGTCGATTACAGAAATTACGAGTTTACAATGAAAGTACAATGTTGTAAAGTCTTGGTCGTCGAAACGGGTCAGAATTTTATTTATCGTTTATTACTCAACTATCCCATTTACAACGATAGACAAGCCCGAGGAGTAACTGAAATAATACAGCTCGTGCCGAAGCGGAACACGTTAGTCAGGTATTCAACGGCTGTAGCGGCCATCTTGATATAAAATCTTATATTATAATCAACCCCGAAACAATAAAAAAAACATCGATTGCACAGTCAATTCTCGCGGGAAACCTCATCATGATCTCTTTGCTAAACACTTTTTATCCCAACCCTTTGATGAGTCATCTGGGTTCATTGACTGCCGCAAACTCTGATTGGTCAAAATGGAAACAAAGAGAATGAAACATGAAATGAATTGGCCGTGCAGCCATTGCTCACCATATACCTGGTCGATTTATCTAGCACGGTGTCCGACTACGGCACCATTACCAGAAATCAGAAATCATCATTCTGGTTACGCCTGTTGTGGAGGAGTGTGGGGGGGTGGTTGTTGGGCCTGTGCTTGGGGACTTGGTGGTTGTTGCTGTTGTTGTGCCTGACTACCTGCTTGCCAAGGTGGATGTTGGCTCTGTTGTTGCTGCTGCTGCTGTTGTTCCTGTGCCAGTCGTTGGTGAGCCTGTTGTCTCGCACGGAATTCGGCAGCTTTTAGTTGCTCCAGGTGAAATTGCTGGCGCTCAGTTATTAATTGCTGACGTTGATACTCCAGACCCTCGCGTTCACGTTCCATCGTTGTCTCGAGTTCCTCGAAGTGACGTAGCTTGATCTCTAACTTTTTCATCTGCGTCTCCACCAAGAGGGCAACTAAGGATTTTATTTTACGTTCCTCGACAGCTGCCAAGTGCTTTGCTTTCACTGCTGCTGCTGCGAGCGCTGCTGCCGCTGCCGACTGGAGTTGTGCATCTCGAACGACCTGGGGATTTATTATTTATTAATGGAACAAGACTATAATAGTGAGGCACAATGAGAAATATATTCGGGGATAAACTAACCTTCTCTTTCTTTTCCTTTGCATCGGCATCTTCGATGTCTACTTTGCTTTTTGTATCCTCCTCAGTTTCCTTGGAATCGACTTCCATCTTCTCCGGTTGTTCCCTTTCAGCTTCTGCAGTTTCTTCTTTCTTCGGAGCCTGAACTTGTCCTGCCTCGGTACCTTCCTTAGGCTTGTCTGGCTGTTCATCCTTCTTACTTTCAGCAGCTGACGTCGAGTGTGGCGAGGTTTGTGCTGTAGAAGGTGCTGCTCCGGTAGTAGAGGTCGCTGTGGAGTCATCTGGAGGTTCCGGTGGACCTGTCCCTGCTATACCAGACTGTGCTAAGCCTGCCGCTGGGTCGAATTTACCTTTAAAGAAATGGCGTTCAGGATTTTCTTAAAGTTTTCAAAAACACTGTGTAGATTCTTAAACTTACCATCAGAATTAGCACTAGCTTGAACGTTTCTCAAATGCTGATCTAACAAAGCCGCGGGCACTTGATCCTTGATCGCTGCAAATTCTTCCATAGCAGCTTTAGCAGCACTAGCAGCTACCCTTGGGTCCACAACAGAAGCCAAAAACGCTACAGTGCTCATAACGGGGTTACCAGCTTTGGAGAAGGGTACAGGTTGGTATGCGAGAGGCCCCAGACCTTCTGGACCACCTTCTTCTAAATAAGGATCCTCAATAGGCAGTCTAAGGAAGTGTAAGATACACTCATCCTGTGTTCTGGACCCTACGTGCTCACAGACTTTATTCCAGTCATCTTTATGCAACTCCAATCCTTCCAGAAGAAGAAGTGTCTCCTGCTCCGTCCAATCTCTAGTAGCACCTGCAGCCTGTTTGTTCTTGAGGACTGCAGGCTTCCTAGAGTACTGATCAATCTTGATACCAAAGTTAGCCATGGATGCATTCTTTTCCTCTGGAACTAGGGAGCCAGGAACAATCGGCTTTTTCTCCAAGTCTAAAAGTGTTTTGGCAGCAGAAGGTTGTGGTGTTTTTGGTGGATTTGGATTAACTGGTGCCAATCCAGATGGTGTATCGGATAGGACATGGAAGTGCGATGTAGGTGGCGGTCCCATAGGTGTCGGTCTCGACTCCGCGTCCACTTGATAATTAATCAATCCCCACTGCTCAAGGAAGGCATGTACTCGCATTATAGCACAAACATCCCCAGCTAGATTTCTTCGACATGCCGTAGACGTTATATACTCAGTAGGATTGAGGCGATACGTATCTATCATAAAATTCCTGTAAGCCAGGTAAATCTCCGGTGTCTTCGATTTATTCTTTCCATTGAAGAATTCCGAGAGTGCGCGTTTTTCAATGGTGTGTATGGAATTATAATCGAACCAAGCTGAATAACTTGGCACTACAATGTGATGAGTTTGCTCTGTAACATTATCTTCTGGTTCATCACCTTTGCCACTTTCCCCACGTTCCTTACTAGCATCCCTTTCCTCACGATCCTGACTGCTCTGAGCGCTGGTCTTGTCGCCTGGGGACAAATAGTTTTAATGATGAGTTTCTTACAGAAGGTGAAACATAAAATAATCTCTCCTTGCAATAAATACATACCTTCTGCAGGTTCGTCCAGGTCAGCCATATTCCCGGATTTTAAAGGTTGCAGTTCACTGTCTTGCTTTTTATTCCCAGTAGTTATCAAACCACTACCACCAGTTGTTCCACTACCTTGCCCAGTAACCGGAGGATTCGCAGGTGCGGCAACGACTTCGACTATCCTTGGTTCTGCAGGGGGATCCTCCATTCCTTGTGTTAGATCCTCTTCTTCTTCACCGCCACCACGAGATTTTTTAGGAGCAGCCGTAGAGGAGGACGAAGCGCCCTGGATACTAGCGGGTCCACGGCCGCTACGTAACGAACACAATAAGTCATTACTAAGATTTTTTAGGTTATGGCACGCGAGGATGAGGTTCCTCTCACCTTTTACGTTTTCCTAGCTTTGGTGGAGGGCTAGGAGAACGTTTTCTCTTCTGCTTCTTTGCTGACGATGAAGGTGGAGGATGTGGAGGCTGTGCCATCAGATCTTCCACAGAGAGTCTGTACTTATGGACCTTTTTTTGACCGCTATCGTCCACTTCATAGTCTTCTTCATTCATCCACTCATTATATTGCTCTAAGTCAAGCGCCCAGGTAGCAGAGACTTTGTAAGTTGATCTTTAAACAGTTCATATAACTCCATTAGATATAGTTTGTGCTATTGAACTACAGTGTCAGGATGTCAAATACATACTTGGTACTGTTAGTGCCTGCACTGCCTTCTGGATAATCCCAGGGAAGATCTAATGTGGTCCACGAATCATAACTATCTGGGAAGTAGTACCAGTGTAACAAAATCGAACGTTCCCGACGCATACAAGGTCTTGCATATTCTTCTTCTAAGGGATCCACGTGAGGATATATTATGTGTGTAGCATCAGCTTCCTCCTCTACCACTGTTCCTTGATGACGACGTACAGCTTCCTTTACTTTAGTTGCTGTAGCCTTGTCCACGTCAGGTCGTACGAATACACAAGGTACATTCAAACAACGATTTTGCACTAGAGCACGCTCTGCTGCCATTAACATTTCAATCGCACGATCCATGCGAGATCCAGACTAAAAAAAATATAAATTGTATTAGAGAAGTATATGAAGAAATGTAATATAAAGCAACGATACACATTCTACATATTCTAAATGGGTTATTTAATACTCGGATTATGGATCAGCCAAAATCCATCAGTAGCCTGTGAAAAAAATTATTACACTGCATGAATCATCTCTATGCAGGACATGAATTAAAAATTACCTTGCCAACCTGAAAATCGAATCGCCGCCATCCCTGCTCTTGTTTGAAGCGAAATGCTGTCGATAAGATATGACATAATCCACCTCCAGGTTTAAAATCCAAAAAACATTTCATCTGTAAGAAAAATCTGTCTAATAAAATGAAATAAAAAGGAAAGCTTTCACTAGTCACTCTACAATGAAATCAACGCACAGGTAATCTTGTCATAGGTGGTTTAGAAACATTTTTGCCAAGATTGTCTTCTTGAAATTGCAGAAGCTGCACGACCAAAGTTGCCAAACTCTTGTTAGTAGGTGGATCCGTTTGAACATACTAAAACAAGAAACGCATACATATAATTAAAATGTTTCTAAAGAAGCCTTATATTGCCAAATAATTGCCTGCCCTGACTCAAACATTTAAAAAAAAACAATAGTCAGAGCTACATCAAGCCAAACTTATAAATCTTGAATAATAAATAAAACGACCTGGACGCAGAAAGTGTATAAAATATTACAATTGAAAGAGAATTAAGAATAGAATAATCGGATTAATAAATGTGTCGTTGGCGTTTGGGTTTGGACGCCGGTTTGTAGATAGACAAACCTTCTTGCAGTTTTTGAGTAGCCACTGTTTGACTGGATCAAGCTGCGCGAGAATTTCAGTTGATTCGAAGAACTTGACGTTTGGACCGCCGTCCTTCTTGGGGCCCAATGCAAGCATGATTTTCACGGCTTTTTCCACTGAGAAACCGTCCAAAAACGCCACGGAAAGAACGCCGAGCTGACCGCAATCATCACACGATTCTGAACTTGGCTGCGTTTGCTCCGTTAAATTCTTCGATGCTTTCATTCGGATTCGATGCTACCGAATCTATCCGAAGTTACCCGAACAGCCACGAGTACTATAATAAATGATCCTTAGCATGATGCATTCGCAAGTATTCGCACAAGAGCAAAGAATCGAATGTTTTCTATGATATTAAAATAAAATTTTATAAAGCATAGTCTTTTTAATACACATAAAAGGTTTGGTAAAAAGAAGCTCTTATTCTACCATTGAGAACTATTGGTAGGCCTGAAACGCTTTTAAAGCTATAATGCTTGAATATTTTTAATAATTTCTCAAACGATTTTGCTTTCAGATGCTTAACGATGTCTAAGTCTACGGAAAATCAGGATATAAATGAAGCCTTTGACAATTTGTTACTTGGGGAGGAAATAGCTGAGAGATCAGGCTACGAAGAAGGTTTTAAACTTGGTCAGGCTCAACCTCACGAAGGATATCATCTTGGTTATCATAGAGCAAGTTTACTCGCAGCACAGCTTGGATTCTATAGTGGAGTTTTGGAGTACTATTTGAAAACGGAGTCTCTGAGTGAAAAAGCTACTAAGCTTGCAGAGAAACTCAGAAAAGATATTGAGAGCTTTCCGATAATCAATGATGACAGTGTAGACATTTTAAAAACATTAGACGACATAAAATTTGGATATACCAAATTTTGCTCATTGGCCAAAATTAATCCCTTGTATCCTGAAGCTGATCAGCTTGATTTTTAAAAGATTATATATTAAAAAACAGTCTACAATTATGACTACATACGAAGAGCACTTTTCAAAAGCCCTCAATTTTATTCAGACATATAAATCATTAGTTGATTGTCACTTAGTTGACTTCATAACACAGAATTTGTGGGAATCATGCTTACCAGACTCACTGAGGCTTGAACTTGAAATTCATGGTCCTGATAATAAATTTGGTACTAAAATTGATACTAAAGGAGATTCCAAATTAAATGAATTTTTTAAATCCACAAAACTCCTTTCTCTGGATGGTTGTCCTTTCATTTATGAGCTTAAAGACCTATCAAGATTTTTGTCCAGTAATGCATATAACAGACAGGCAGAGAATCAATTAAAACAGACAAAGCTTAATTTCATGAAGAATAAAAAATGCCATGAAGTTGATGTAATGGCCAAACTAGTGTCAAAGCTTTCACATTCAGATTCTGACATTGTAATCGATGCAGGAGCTGGAAAAGGATATTTGTCGATGCATTTATCAGAGAATTTTGGAATTCAAGTTCTTGCAATAGACTCCTCGAGTGTAAATCACAAAGGTGCAATTCGCAGACAGGAAATAATTAAAAAGAAAACACAACGAAATATCTCGGTACAAAACTTCTTGATATTCCACGTTTTTTTAAAAGATACTAAAAAGAAAACCTTAATTATCTTTAATATTTCAGGTGCACTATACTGTGGAACATATAAACGATAAAACTAATTTTGAAAGCTTAGTAAAAATGCATTATCCTAGCTATGATCCACCAGGAAATCTTATTCTAACAGGACTGCATACTTGCGGTTCCTTGGCGCATTCCACCATTAAAGCTTTTTTGGCATCTGATTCCATAAAGAAACTTTGCATAGTTTCTTGCTGCTATCATTTGACCAAAGAATCTCTAACAGAGGAATGCAACTTTACAAAAAATGCCAGAATGCTGGCACAACAGTCAGTTGAAAGACTTTCAAAAAAGGATAAGCCATTGTCATCGTCGCTCTTCTACAGAGCAATCCTGCAAGTGCTTCTAGAATCTATGGGTACAATAAAAGTGCATATTAAAGAATTTTGTAATAAGATAGTAGTATTTTTAAAAAATCTCTTTTATAGGACTTCGAGATGTAAAAATAGGGAGAGGTGCGCCGGCTGATAATTTTGAACAATATGCGAGATGGGTTATAGAGACTTGTGAAAAACGAGAGATAAAGGTAAAAAATATATGTAAATGTAGAGAAAAACGGCTAAGATAGTCTAGGAAGAGGTTCATTAGAATGAAAAATTTCAGATACCATCTGTTGAGGCCCTCCGAGAAATCTACGAAGAACATGCAAATTTGGAATGGAAGATTGAAGTCTTTCAAATGCTCAGAGTACATCTTGGCTCTGTCGTGGAAGCTGCACTTCTGCTGGACAGAATAATGTACCTCGAGAGAAGTAAAAGATGTTCGAAAGTCGGCTTGTTTCGATTATTCGATCCAGTGCTCTCTCCGAGATGTTACGCAATTATTGCAATAAAATAGCACTTCGTTTATATAACTGTTCATGTTTTCTTGTAAAGATACTACAAACGAAAATATTATTTCAAGTAATGATTGTTTACAATTTGCCCGAGTATGAACAAGGGACTGTTATAAAAGATATATCAAGTTTCAAACTTATCACAAAAAATGGTATTTCCTGTTGAATAATTCATCCTATAAGGTCCTGCTTTTTCATTAATTCCAAGAGGGTAATGGCAAAAGCCTGTTCTACAAAAATATACTTGAAATATTAAAGATTCGATCGTAATATAGGTGCTTAATTGTCTACGACTTGTAAATAATCCATGACAGACGAATATCCTTCTTCTTGTACAATTGGTGCGAGAATACCAGTGGGCCGCTGTCCATTTCTGGTTCTACATATACTACAGTTGCACAATCCACGACACGGCGGACATGCCCAATCCTGTATATAACGAAAGACAATTTAATATCTTATAATAATAATACTGTGCAGGGAAAACTATTTAAATAACTTACAGGATCTTTCAAAGCCTCCAAAGCACTTTCGCCATATCTTCCACGTAGGCAAGGTCCACAAAATTGTCCACGAACTCCAATACATTCTCCTGATCTACATACAGTTTTGGTATCAATTGTTTTCTGTCTGCACTGATGGCAACTGGTGCCTTCAGCTTTATTATACGTTTTGCCAGAACTCTTTTCAGCAATATTATCCAGCATTTCCTGAGTAATTTCATCGGGTGAAGGTATATTATTTGGATCATATACAGACTTATTTACATGCTGCAGAACTTTTCTTCGTTTTAATGGATATTCATCGAATGGATCCTCCTCCTCTTCGTCAATGAATACATCAGTTTTCATAAGGTCAATAGTTCTTTCAAAAGGCTTAGCCCATGGGAATAATACTTTAAGCTTAGGACCATCGTTACTGGACTCCTCATCATCATTGGAATCTTGTTCATTCAGAGACTCTTTATGCTTCTTTAATCTACTACGAGTATTATATCTCCGCCGGACTTCTAGGTGAATACCTTTTATAGCAAAATTCTCATCAGTCGTACGGCGTCGTTTACGAGATGTAATATTTTCTTTATCTTCTGTACGTCTCCTAGTATTCAAAGCTGAAGTCTTTTCCTTTATCATAGACGTCTCCTGTTTCAATTCTTTGAAAAAATCTTGAAACTGTAAAATAATTGTTGAAATACATTGAAATCAAGTCAACAAATAGTAAGAAAATATACTTGGTGTGTTTTTAATTCTCAGATAAAATATATGTGGTTAAGTTACTAGAAATTAAAACTTACAATGGCATTCTTTTCAGCAATGTTTTTCTCGCGAATTGCATCATAATCTACTTCCTCCATTATTTGTACAAAATTCTTAAAACTAAATGGAATGTATTTTCAGTCAGAAATCAACCGACTACGGTCCTACAAAAATCGTAACCGTAAGCGGAACATGAAAATAATTCAAACCGCCTCATTTAGTATTTTTTGTATCATCCTACTGGAGGCGCCACGGGTATACTTAATTCCCAATATAAAAAACAAATAAAACATTATGAAAGAATGAAAAATCCTTATTCCCCTTATCACAAAAATTATTTATAACTTGATTTCTACATACCTACTATAAAGTTTTATCAACGAAGTTTATTCACTACGAATTCGAAGTCTTCTTAAGAGGGTGGATAAGATTATAAGTAGCTCAAAAGAACATACAATACAAATGACAGAAGATTAACATACATTTAATTACAAACTATTTAAATTAATATACACGTTCGACATTATCGTTTAAAGTAAATTAGAATTTCTTAAGAGACGTCTTGTTAATTAGTCAGGCATGATAATTGTTGTGTAATACAAAGACACTATGGGACAATGTTTGACTAGCCAGTACAGTTTCGAAGTTCAAGGAAGATTGCAGAACAAATTTACAATGTGCGATGATTTATTGTAATACATAGCATACCGTCTTATCTCGTAGATAAAGTCTCTGGGTTAAAAGGTATTGATAAGGAAATCCATATAAATAATCAATAATTGGTTCACCCACTGCTCTGTAACACTTCTGAGAAAAGAATTTCATGAACAGAAAAAAAAATGTAACAATTCAACGTCCAAAGGGTCTGAATCAAAATTCATAAAAGTTATAATCACAAGATAATAAATAATATATTATTTTTATTGCAGGATTCTCTAAAAATGTCAATAATTAAACAAGACTATCTGTAACTTTCATTATCAGACGCAAAATGATTACATGTAAGCGGCATACAACCTTATCTCGTTCTTCAATAACTCTACACGGAAAACATTGCACTTTTACCATACTGGTCGTATCACGAAACTGATGATGATCTCTACTGATTTACAATGATTACCTATTAATATAGTTATATGGGTCTATATGATAATTCTTTATTTTCATGTAACTTGTACAGTCGTCGGTCACGTTATCTTTTCCTTTCGTTGGTGGCACGAGTGCAGAGGAATTAGTTAGCTTGGGATATCACAATGACGCAAGAAATACAGCTTTGCTAATAATAAAGTTAATAAAATCTTCAGTGGCCCTGGTGTGCCGGTCAGTTCGGTTTTGTCGATCACACGAGTATCTTGAGCGCCACGATTGGCATTCTTAACAACTCTAAATTGTAGTACGTATATTGTATTATGATGAGTCTTGTAGTGCGAGAGTAAGAAACTTTCTAATTCTTGATCAAAACCGGTAGAACAAGTATTATAGTGATTCAGAGAATTTTTCTAATGATTTATAAATATTAACAATTGATAAAAGAAGAAACATGGGTTCAAACACTTTGAAGTTTAACGTAAACCGCGTAAAGATTGTTTGATTTGAAGAATTATTAGACAAGTGGAAGTAATATTTTTTTTTTTACTTTGAAACAATTCTTTAGCAATGGGTCCCTTAGCCAGAATGGCCTTGAGGTCCTTAAAAACTCATACATTCAAGAAGACCCAGCATCAATTACAGTCTGTCCGGAGTATTAGCTCCCAGGAGGTGTTCGACCGCGAATCGAAATATGGAGCGCATAATTATCATCCTTTACCAGTAGCGTTGACAAAGGCTGAAGGAGTTTTCATGTGGGACGTTGAGGGTAGGAGATATTACGATTTTCTGAGTGCGTATTCAGCAGTGAACCAGGGTCACTGTCATCCTAGGATCTACAAAACCCTCGTGGATCAAGCTAAAGTACTTACCCTGACGTCCAGGGCGTTTTATTCTGACATTCTTGGGGAATTTGAGGAATACGTTACCAAGCTGTTCGGGTTAGTACTATTTAATTATATTAATTCTCTTATGTTTGCTTCTTTAATGGACAGCAACACTACCTGCTAAACATGTGGCAATTTAGTGATTCTTAATTGAACATTATTTTCTTCAAGATATGACAAGTGGTTACCAATGAACACGGGTGTGGAGGGCGGTGAAACAGCATGCAAACTCGCCAGGAGATGGGGTTATAAGACGAAGGGTATTACTGACAACAATGCCAAGATCATCTTCGCAGAAGGAAACTTTTGGGGCAGAACTATGAGCGCTGTATCTTCTAGTACCGATCCATCCAGTTACTCGGGATTTGGACCTTATATGCCGGGATTCGGCATCATTCCCTATGACGACTTGGACGCCCTGGAAAAGGCCATCTCTGATCCCAACGTCTGTGCTTTTATGGTAGAGCCAATCCAGGGAGAAGCAGGAGTAGTTGTGCCTAAGGTAATAAAATGAAATTAATATAAACCATGAATAAAGTAATAAAAGTATTTTCAAATGTTCAGGATGGGTACCTGAAGAGCGTCCGAGAACTTTGTACGAAGCACAATGTTCTCTGGATAGCCGACGAAGTGCAGACAGGGTTAGCCAGGACAGGAAAACGTTTAGCCGTCGACTACGAGAATGTGCTTCCGGACTTGTTAATTTTGGGTAAAGCCCTTTCCGGTGGCTTTTATCCAGTATCCGGTGTACTGGCCAACGATCCCGTAATGCTGGTCATAGGGCCTGGTGAACATGGTTCGACCTACGGTGGAAATCCTCTAGGATGTAAGGTAGCCCTAGAAGCCCTGAAGGTCCTGGAGGAGGAGAAACTCGCGGACAATGCCTACAAGCTTGGAAACGTCTTAAGGGAGGAGCTCCGGAAGCTACCAAAATCCGTGGTCACTCTTGTACGTGGAAAAGGGCTTCTTAACGCCATAGTCATCAACAAAGATATCGATGCCATGGAAATCTGCTTGAAATTACGAGACCATGGCCTCCTAGCAAAACCGACACATGGTCACATCATCAGATTAGCACCGCCATTGGTCATCACTGAGAGTCAGATTCTTGAAAGCGTGGAGATCATTTCCAAAGTCATCCTAAGCTATCAGAAATGAAGATACTGATAATTTAATTATAAATCTTTGTTTTGTTCCCTTGTTTTTTTTAATAAAATTCATTTTTTTCCATTGTATTCTATGAATGAATCTTCTACCATTCACCGAGTGTACATTTTTAATGGCATCATCCAGAAAGACTACTGACGCATAGATTACGTAATTAACAAAGATAGTCAAGCTTTAAGAAAACAATAAGTAACGAATCAAAAAGAACGTTTTTAATCGCGTCGAGCACGACCTACGTTCATTAATGATATGCGACACCATTTAAGATATGATAGTAATCTCTAAAATTAGGAGAAACGTGGGAATTATCTCATGGGGCAGATGGAGGGGCGAGAGTACGGAGACTCCAACCGTCGCACGAGACTAATCAGGGACGTGGCGCCGGTACAATGACACCAATAAAATTTCCATATATCTACATGTTTGTCTGTGCCACATTGTTGTTTAAACAAAACAATTAAAAAATCATCCGACGGAAAGAGATATCCGATAAAGCTCATATGAATACAGAAGGTTTTGACCCAAAATTGAAGTCTTCCATTCTGACATCTTAAATATGAACTTGTAACTTCCAAAAGATGCTGGCGGCTGATGCTCGTTAGGATGTTCAATGAGTAAGAAGAGTCATGATACTGAATTGTACTGCGAAAGACAAGAACGACGATAATCGCTGTTTACTGTCTGTTTATTGTTTGCCAGTGAAGTTTGCTTTGGCTCGGATGGCGCCACGCAACGAGGATTCCAACGGCGCCCATCGTTCTTTATCAACAAATAGAAATTCGCCCATATTATTTGTTTGTGGCGCGCCTTGAGCACATTGCATGACTCCATCGTCCCTGTTGTTGAATATCGCAATGCGTAATCCATGTCCCGCACAAACTAAGAGGAAAACAAAAAATATTTTTTTAAATACATATACAGTAAACGAGAACTGTTCTCACTAGGGAACCCCCTACCTTACCTACCTTATTCATCTGACGATGGTATAAATGAAAGACGTCAGTCTCGTTACACTCAGAGATTTACAATTAGTCGACCACCATTGTTGAGACGACTTCTATCCCTTCACATTTGCTTTTTAGTATCATTTATAAACTGTTAGAATTTGGAAATCCTCGTTGTTCTATAAAGCAGAGAAAAGCTATTTTAAAGTAATTATTAGTGTCAAATCGTTCGTACATATATTGTTTTAATTATTTGATGCTTAAACGTTCAGAAAGTCTGCCATGAATTAATTAAATTATTCATCCTTTCAGATACTTTATATATTCATTCTTAGAAGATATTAAATAACTACAACAAGATGCAGTCTTTGAGACAGAGGATGTTGGCAATCTCCAGGGAGATTGAGCTCAAGAGATTTCTGAGTTCCCAGGAAGTAATCGACAGGGATGATCGCTTTGGTGGAAGACACTTCAAACCCTTACCCGTGGTTCTTTCTAAGGGTGAAGGAGTTTATCTATGGGATATTGATGGAAAGCGGTACCTGGACTTCTTGGCGGGGTTTGCAACAGTTAATCAGGGTCACTGTCATCCACGTTTGGTGAAGGTCCTCCGTGAACAGGCTGGAAAACTAGCTCATACCTCGCGTGCCTTCTACACAGAGCCTCATGGAGAATTCGCTGAATATCTTACAAAGCTTCTTGGGTGGGATAGATTCCTTCCAATGAATACGGGTGAGTAATAATAATGTTTTTGGTCCATTTTCAATCAGGTAACTTCCTAGTGCTCATTATCCTTTTGGTACAGGTGTCGAAGCTGGCGACACAGCTTTGAAGATGGCACGAAGATGGGCCTACAGAGTAAAAAAAATTCCTAATAATAAAGCGACAATTTTATTCGCTCAAAGAAACTTCTGGGGACGATCTTTGGCAGCCATTTCTGCTTCCACTGATCCAAATTCTTATACGGACTTTGGTCCATATATTCCTAACTTCGAGAAGATTCCTTATGATGATCTTCAAGCACTCGAGAAGAACTTTGAAGACAATCCGAATATTTGTGCATTTATGGTGGAGCCTATTCAGGGTGAAGCTGGTGTTGTCATTCCAAAGGTACGTTGACTTTGAGAAATTGATATTTCAAGTAAAAGTTCTGAACTACTTCTTCAATGTATTCTACTTGCACATTGTATTCTCTATGACCAGGATGGGTATTTGAAAGGTGTCCGGGATCTGTGCACCAAGTACAACGTCCTCTGGATCGCTGATGAAGTTCAGACTGGTTTGGGGAGAACTGGAAAGCGTTTAGCAGTGGATCATGAAAATCAGCGACCTGACATTCTTATATTAGGAAAGGCCCTTTCAGGAGGAATGTATCCTGTGTCCGGTGTTCTCGCGGATGACGAGGTAAATCAATTGGTTAAATTGTCTTAAATATTTACAAAAAATTGTGAAATCTATCTAGGACAGTTTAAAGCGTATACATCAATATTCCACAGATATTGCTCTGTCTAGAGACTGGATCTCATGGAAGCACCTTCGGGGGTAGTCCTTTAGGTCAGAGAGTGGCCTTGGAGGCTGTAAAAATTGTTGAAGAAGAGAAACTAGCCGAAAATGCAAACAAGTTGGGAAAAATTGTCAGGGAAGAACTTAAGAAGTTGCCCAAGGATATTGCCTTGGAAGTCAGAGGTCGTGGATTACTTTATGGCCTGATTGTTAATAAAGGTATAATTTGATAAAGTAAAGAAAAAAAACCTGATGAATAACACTGCTACATTTTGAATTGGAAGATGACGGTCTATCTATGTTTAATTTACAGACCTTGCTGAAGGCTGGGATATATGCCTAAAGCTCAGAGATGCAGGTCTTCTTACTAGACCTGCTCATGGTCAAATAATCAGAATATCACCGCCATTGATTATCAACGAAGAACAACTCAGGGAGGGATTGGATATTCTTAAAACAACTCTAACAAAGATTTAGACGGCAATAAGGAATTAGAAGAGAACGAAGTATCAAAATCCGATCACACTTGTAAGAGGAAAGGAGACTGCACGCATGCAAATGCTACTTAAAAATTTATATCTATAAATTGATCCATATACAATACTTTTAAGTACATCATAAATTAATTATAAATACATTCTTTTATATGCCACCAACATGCTCATTCGAATTATCATTTTCCTTCTAAAATCCAAAAAAATTAGAAGGTGTTCTTGAATTGAAACAGTTTTTCTTCAAATGTGTAGATATTGCATCGTAAAAGTTGAATTCTATTTATGGATTCTTTTTTCTCATGGGTGATAAGAAAATTACGTAGCAATCGTGTCGTAATTAGTTGTTAGTTTCGCAATAAAAACATCAGCGATTTAGCTGAAGCAGACAACAGTCTTATAATCTTTATAAAAATGATATTCCCACTAGGGGTTCAAATATCAGTTTTTTTTTCACAAAGATCTAAGCAGAATAGAAGTCTTAAACTTGACTCACCTATAATTTCATAAATTAGTTGAACACGTGCGTTATCTTTCCTTTTGATAAGTTCTTTAAGCCATTTATAGGCGAATTCAGTAATATAATCAGGTGCTAAGATTAGATTCAATTAGCTAAGAGATCAGATATGGGAGTCGGTATGCCTCTTTAAGTGTCTCTTCAAACTAAAAGCCTGAGCAAATAGTTGATTGCACTCTTCACATTTGTACGTTTTGCTTCCAGTATGCAACTGCAAATGTCGTTTAAGATGGCTATCTAATTTGAACCTTTTGCCACAAAGTCTGCACTGATGAAGCCGTTTGGAATCGTGTGAAACACGGTGGCTTTTTAGATGAGAACTTTGTGAGAATGACTTGTCACATATTTCGCACTTGAATGGTTTAACCTTAGTGTGAATTCTGAGATGCTCTACAAGATTGCCCTTTTGCGAGAAGGACTTCTCACAAAATTCGCACTTATGAGACTTGATTGACTTGTGCGATTTCATGTGTATGTTTAAGCTGTACTTCTGACTAAATCGTTTGTCACAAATTTCACAGCGTACCACACCTTTCCCAGTATGTAACTTCAGATGGGACTTCAAGTTTTTTTCTAAGGAAAATCGTTTTTCGCACATTGCACACTCAAAATGTCTTATTCCCTGCGCAGCTTCGGATTTCGATTTATGAATCTTCTTGTGATCCTCCAGATAGGAGCGATAGGGGAACGTTTTGTTGCATACGTTACATTGATGAAGGTTTATTTTTGTGTGTAATCGCAAGTGAGCATTTAATTTACTCTTTGATGTGTAAGCTTTCTCACAATTTGTACATTTAAAGGGTCGCTGACCAGTGTGTGATAACCTGTGTGTAGTAAGTTTGGATTTTTGGACAAATGTCTTTTCACAAAGATCACATTTATGCTTTCTATTAAGATTGTCATCTTTGGGTAATTCATCCTCATAGCTCTCCTCTGTTAGTCGACGATCTTGACTTCTTTCAACATCATCTTCAGAGTTTTGTACTTCTGGAACCAAGCCTATATTCTCAGTGAAGCTGAGATTCTCTGCGACAGATGTTCTTGGATAGGACAGGTTTTCAATCTGATTGGAATCCTCACAAATTTCTGGATTCTCATTGTCACAGGACAGATCAATATTATTCTCAGCACTGTGTGTTAGATTGTGACTTATAAGTTGTGTTCTATTGGTAAAAGTATGATTGCACAAGGAACAGTGCAATGCACAAGCAGCTCTGCTAGCACCTTCATTTTCTGCCATTCCACTGGACAAAGTGGATGCTCCAGGTGGAGATGAATTTTGCATAGAATCACTTTCTAGGTGTGAACTCAGATGACTAAGATTGAAATAGGAATTTTGGGCTTCAACAATGTGCATATGCTGTACTGGTGTGCCGTTTTGCATAGATGGACCATGAAGACGATTGTGCGCACATAATTCCTGATAATTCATAAAGACAGCCCCACATTCTAGACATTTTAATGTCGTTTGAGAATTATGAAGGGGTACAAAACCCTGATTTTGCTGATAGAGTTTGCAACCTGACACAGTTGCATACGAAGTAAGTCCTGAAACCTATTAACAACATTGACAAATTCCATATATGAAATAGATAAAATTACAGAATTACCAGATGCAACATTTTTCAGTTTGCATTCCTCACATCCTTACCTTTAATGCAGCCTGGCGTAGAGCTCTGTCTGCAGCTCTGCATTGTTCACGATAAAGAAGTGCAGATTCAGCTCTAGTTACACAGCGATCACACATTTTCTCAGGTAATCCATCCCCCTGCCATACCTAAAAATTGAATATATAATTGTATTATAACATGTCAAATAAGGCTAAAAATTATAATTAAATATCCACCTCCAAGCAGGACAGTGAACGAAGTTTAGAAGCCAAAGATGATCCCGCTGGTCCAACAAATAAACAAATCATTTTATCACCATCTTCTCTCAAGCACGTACGACACAGCTTGCTTATATTTTCACTGTCAATTTCTTTTGTTACGATAAACATATTTTGTCATATGTATAACACTCTGTCATACACAGAAGCTATGTAGCATTCTTTTTATTGGTAAAGTTAATCTGTAGGTATTCGCGGCAATCAACTCCCGTGATAACTATATGCCATCATAAGATGCCGAGTCTATTCTTTACATAACTCATACAGATGACGCCACCGAGATATTCTAAACTATTGGCCATATCCAATACATCAAGAGACTCGGTCGAGTCTCGTGCCAAGTACAGGCAACTGGCTGTACAGCGCACGGACCGCAGAAACTCTACCAGAGTCAACTGTTATATGTATATCTGAGTTTGAAATCAAACGTTAACTATCGGAATTGAAGATTCTGAATCGATTGCCACCAAGATCAATACAATTAATGTACGAGATCAGAGCGTATTGAGATGGCGAGTGAGATGAGTTTATTTTATTTCAATTCCGTCGTCGTTGTCTTCGCACATCCATTTATTTTTCTACATAACAGACCAAAAAACACGTGTGAAAAACTATGCCAAGTACAGGAGTGCTGTGAATTCCTCTAACAAAAAGTATGGAAATCATATTATTAATGTCAAGTACATAAGTCACTACATATCTGCTTATTATATGATCTAGCACTAGCCCATGATTTTGATTGTATTTTCAAAATTTTCTGCTACAAGATAGATGACCTCATTTCCTATCAGTAAGATTTAATTCCGTTGTACAAATTAAATGTAATTGCACGATCAAACTTAAAAAAGGATTTAAAAAGTCGTAGCGATACGTTCAACAATATTTTTCTTTGTTTTATATATTTACTTTTTGCAAACAAGTAACACACCTACCTGAGTGCAATAGTAGCTACCACGGTTCAATCAGACCGTAACGACTAGCACCATTCCATTTTATTTTTACCGTTATTGACGAATAACTGACAACCTACAGCGACAGTAAAGTGATCGTTAATGAAAAAACTAGAAACCTAAATATTTTCTGAAATAGCGTATTTAAGTAAGTGACAGACGTCAAAAAGCTGTACCCAAACAACACGTATGTTCAAAAGTCATCTTTAAGATGTCTTAAAGACAATTTCTGTGCCATTAGGCGCTTTAAAAATGAATTTTGATCATTATGTGTTATCTGAATAGATATAATTATTTATTTAATTCGATAGTTCACGCTCGTCTTCGAAATGATATTTCGATGAGCCTCGAATCATTAAGCGGCACCACTTGGCATTATTACATAAATATTGATATAATTCACCGATAAATTGAACAGACCCATCGATGGTATTTTTCCAAGACTCTTCAAGAAAAAAACGTTGAACGAGGTTATAAAGCATTACTGAAAATTTTCCAAACTACTTTAGACTTGTTCTGAAAAATGTCATTGATGCCTAATACTTTTTTGTGATACATTATTTTTCAACATTTTTATTTTTTTTTCAAAAACTACCTTCACGCGTGAAAGTGTTACGAAATAATTATATGAATTAGACAAGGCATAAAATTGATGCTTGAGTGGAAGAATTTTTGGACAATAATTTTATAACTATTTTATTAGTTGTTTTTTTGTACATCATCTATGCATGATTTTTCTTCTTTTTATGTTACATATTTATGCACTTCCTTGAGGCCCTCTCTGGCCTAGCTCGCTAGAAAACTCATCGTTATATAAATATAGAAAGTTGCTATATGTATATATATTACAGACTAGTTAGGTGTACTTTAGATATTACATCTTTTCGTAAATTGTATGCTTGGAAACGTTCGATTATTTACATCAGACATTTTTGGAGAATACTCGGCGTCCATTAAGAATCCAAAGAATCGTGGAAATATCGTTAGAAGTGTATGTATATCTGCTAAGCATAAAGAGAATAATCATACTTCAATAAGATTGTTTTAGAAAACAGAATAATTTTTTTTTTTTAGAATTTCAGACAGAGTAAAATAAATGAAAAAAAAATCAACAATAACAATAACATACTCAAGTTTCTTGATTTCATCAATGGAGGCGAAAGAGAGAGTATAAAAAAATGCGAGAATGAAATCATTGCACGTGGCTGCTATTCTATTTAGAGAAATGGCTGAGATGATGCACCGGCTAAAATAAATATAGTCACCCGTTGTATTTTGTAATTTCGTAATTCTCAACTCGAATCCAACGGAAGTGACGTAGCATACACAAATGCAAAAGCAATAACGAATACGAAAACAATAACTAGGTAATGTATGATTCAAAAGAACAACTTTATTTTTTTAAACTATATGGACGGACTCAAGTCCTTTTTGTAAGATTGCAGTCATATTTCAATGCATTCTATGCAATAATTATTCGATTACCGGATATAAAGGGTGGCCTCACTTGATTCGGCAAAGTGTCGAGGTCAATTAAACGGTCAATTGACGATAATTACGAATGAAGATAGTCAACGCCTTTATAACAGTTTAAAGTTTAAACTTCTACTCTAGGATATCTGTGTTGAATATGAGAAAAAGATTATTTGCCGACTGGTCTGAGATAACGAATTATTTATTTCGCTTGAGAGAAAAATTAATAAATGGTACACCCGTTATATCAGTTCTTGGGTATACTCGAAATCTCTCCTTGAATTACATGCAACTGTATTCTTCATTGACCCGCTACTAGTTAATTGACCCAATGAAAATATTGGCAGTTTACAAAGGTCATCATAGTCCACCATATGGCATTTCGTAAACTACAATTAAATTGCATCACGTCATTTTTACATTTAAACTTTGTTCACTCACTATTCACCGACATTCATTAAAAATTTCCCTTATTTAATACTTGTCATAGATTTTTCAAAGAGAAAGAATCATTCGCTTTTAACGACATGTTCATATCATTATCATAAGAACTCTGTCTATGACATTTCAATTAAAAAATTTTGTCTTATCGAAGGAACCATTGATTTTTTTTTTAGGATTCACGATACGAACTGTGCACTATGCATTTTGAACTTTGAAATCAGACCGCATGACTTCTGGCAGACGTTGCTGGTGTTGGCGATGGCGGTGGCGGTGGGCCAAAAATTGTATTCAAAGAAAGCGTCGAGTACCGCGGCGCTTCGTCCATGAGCGTCGCTTGTTCGTAACTCGGCGGCAAATCATCCTGTCCAGACAATTTAAGAAATCTGCGTTCCTGACGTCTCTCATCGAGAGCCCTTAAAATAATCACTACTGGACCAAGCACCAGCATCACCGTACCAACGGCAACCATTGCAACTGCAGCAGCAGCGCCGCCGCTGCTCAACTTCGTCACTCGATACTTCCTTTTTGATTCCCAGGATGAATTTTCTTTCCTTGTTTCAGACATAACCGATTGACTTTCTTTAGAATTCGATTCAGCATCATTACTATCTTGATTTTCATTTTTGTACGATTGTGGGATATCCGCGATTCCCGAATCTTGCAAAACATCCACTTTGTGTGAGATAATTGGTGAATTCAAACGATTCTCTTCCGTTTTTTTAGTTATTTCTTGGTGGAATTTTCTCATGATTTCATCATCCACTGGAACTCGTTTATTATTGGTTTCCGAGGAATTTGAATTCTGTGAAATATCAGGGTCCTTTTTATCGGTATTGTCTTCATTGTCGTGCGTTTCTTGTTTTGACACATTTTCACTGCTTTGCACGGACGTAGACTGGTCGGAATTTATAAAATTTCTGTTGGATTGATCGTTAAAGTCAGAAAAAGAATTCGAATTTTTCCTAGCGGAACCTCTCATGCCTTTCGACGAATCCCTCGTTTTTAAAGACGTTTCAAAATTCGCAAGTTCCATCGAATCGAAACTCTGTCCCCAATTACTATTTGTATTTTTTTCAAAATTTCCAAGTTTATCATCACTCTCAGAATTTCGCGTATTATCGCTCACAGCAATTGGTATTACAGCAAGCTGGTCGTCATCCTCTTGCAATTTGACCATTTTCAATATTTCCATGGTCGTCGCATTGCTCTGCACAGAAATGATGAACAAGAACCTCTAATTAATTTTTCCAAAAATATAATTAACTCCTATTACACAAAATCTCCAGTTACCTCGAGGGTACTGTTCCTCGGCTCCTGAACTTTCTGCAAAGAACTCACGCCCTTCTGAAGTAGTACAACACCGACCGCACTCCAGGCAGCCAACTGCAGTACTACCACGGCCCTGGAGGCCCATTTATTGGCACCCGCGTTCAAAGACATTGTTGAAACTCCTCTAGTGCCGGTGAAGATCACTGGCTGATGCATAGAAGAAAAATAGCAGCAAATCTAAGGATCCAAATGCAATGCCATCTTATCCCCATGATTCCTTCCTTATCCGCCTACCGACTTGTCACTTCGATTTCGCGAACTTTGTCGGTGGAGTCTGAAAGTAAAAAAAAAAATTCTTTAATCTCAACCATTCGACTCACCACCTCGATCATACATGCCCCTTTGAACAATTCCCAATTTAAAATATACCTCCTGCATGTTCCAATAGAATATTGAACAACAATTTGTAACGTCGTAATTATGATTATATTTATCACCAATGCAATAAAAATCTTTTCTCCGTGTAGTTTAATTTATTGTTCCTCGCGCGACCTTCTCTTTTCACAATCACGAGCCAATCCTGCATAATTCACAGTGCATTCACGTGAATACTCTGATACCCTCGATATCATTGTGAACTGCATCTTGTACGTGTATTTCGTGTTAACTGCATATAAAATGCATACAAACTGCACTGTGTTGGAGGAACAAATTATTCGATTACTGTACAAGGCCTATATACGAGTTCCATAGGCATGGGGACGGGTTTTAATACCATTAATTATATCGGTGATTTATCGGCTCGTACAATTATAATTTATTTCGTGGGAATATTCGTCGTCGATTTACGGAATTTCATCTCCTTCTATTCGTGACATTGATCACGCTCTATTTAACACCCTCTGATGTACTGAAGTAAATAATAGGCTAACGGGTGATAAAACTGCTTTGAAATCACTTCAAATTTTATTCGATCTTTCTGCCTTTTTTTAAATCTCGAATTAACGGTTTACTGACGTGCTCTGATAAATATTACATGATCGATAAGTTTAATTGACTTTAGGCGATAAATGATGACAATGATAATCACATAATGGCTATTAAAATACATTTGATTTGACGCTACGTAAAATGTGCACTGAGAGTCCAGTTATACGATTCGTTCTGATACGTGACAGACTTGCATATAGCTTCGTTTCGTTCTTCGTCTACAGGAAATTTATTACCACGCTGTTGGCGACACTGCGAAGCTCTAGAAAATTTTCGAATTCTAGATCTATTGGGTTACTTGCAAAGAAATATTGTAAATTATCGAACAAAGAGAAACATTGATGCTGAACATGTTGGTTTTTACAGATGAACCTAAAATTAGTATTTTGAAAAAATTTCTTTAAGTAACAAAAATTTCACGAATTTACACAAACAACAAATTTCTTATTGAAAATCAAATTGATCATTGGAAAATTATATTGAGCGCTACTCTCAGTGGAAAATTTTTAAATACTCCAGGGTTACTCACGAGCGGCCTCTAATGGCGTTAATTCAACTAATTGAAACTAATTAATTTAAAGAATTTCCACGGGCAGATGCGCTTCTTCTGTCTTCGTTAACTATTGGCAGCCATGACGCACCGTGCATCTTGCAAAAAAATTGACATACAGTATTTTTATTGTCTAGTATGCATATTCGTACTAGACCGTAGCATAGAAGAGTTTCTTTCGAAAAAGCACAAAAATTCAATCTAGTAGTAAAGGACGGGGTGGTAGCGACAAAAAAAAATTGGTTGACACCAAAAAAAAAGAAACAAGTACCCAACAGGTTGTATTTTGCCTGTTAGAGAATTGGGGGCTAAAAATAAGTTATTAGTCAGAAATGATCAACCCGAGGCACTTCCTGTTCTTTTCTGATTCTCGGATTTGCTATACTTGTTCCCTATACAAAAATTTCCCACGCTCTACATTACACGCAATGAAAATTGTCACTAGGATCGACGAGATAGGAATAAAAAAGGACATGCAGGCTACTTTTCAACGTAGCTAACACGTAGAAAAGATAGAAACGAGGTCAGACCTTTGACCTTGAACGTAAAATACTTCCAAATGTTTTTCGTGAAAAGCCTTCGACGTTTCACGTAAAACTAGGTAACTAGATTGGATATTCAAATGTCTGGTTAAAAAAAAACATGACCAGAATTCAAGGCTATAATCATAATAAACGCTTGAATGAATATCGACGATAAAGCCAATACTGCCTTTTCTGTCAGATGCTTTACTGCCGTGATCACTTTTTATCGCGTATTGTTTTTTTATTTTCATTTTGTATTCTCTTACGAAACGGGAGGAACGTTCACTCACGTATTTCAGTTGTTTGAGAGTTGATACACTGAGATATGATTGAGCTGATGAAAAAGGTGCATGTACAATAGAGCAACGAAAAGAGAGATGTGATATAGACGAATAAAAAAGAAAAGAAGTACGACACGAAGTTCTGGTAGAACGAAGTTATAGGACACTGCTTAAGTTTTGGGATCACGGCGTATCTGTATGGGAGTAAAAAAAGTGGATACTACATTTCTATTTGACGTACATATTCAGAGCTTGTGCCCTGGGGACAATTTTAAATTCCTCACGAGATGTTGCTAGAAAAGATAGAGAGAGAAAATAGCTTAAGGCGAAAACAGGAGCGTGTTCTTAGAAAAAAAATACTATGTCAATAAATATATTTGTATTTACCACAGAAATGATATGTACACGTCACGGAATCACGATTCAACGTAGTAGATCGAAGAAGAAGCGAGTTTACAAATCGAGTACGAAAATAGTTCGAAAATCAAAATATCTCAGACACTCTGCATCTGGCTATTATTTAAAAATTATTTTTCTCAACCACTCTTGCGAACTTGCCAGAACTTCTTTTTTATTTTTGTCAAACATCTATTATATTTATCTTATTAGATAGATCCGTGTCGAATCAGTCACTATCTTGTAAAGAAAAATAAAGAAATGTGTATATAACTGTCAAAAATAATGATACCATACGTGCAATGTGGACTTTGTGATACAGAAATAAGATAAGTTCATGCTTTTGAATTGTGAAGGCGCTTGAGTTTTGTTGAAAAAGAAATACTTGGTTTAGGACAAACTAAATCAGTAGAAAAATCGTAGATTTATTACGTATAAGATATATATTTTTTTTGGTTCATCAATTCCTTCGCGATATATAACAAAAGACTGGTTTAACGCGTTCACTTTTTTGGGCGTCTAATAGGTATACTAACACACGTGATAAATAATAATTATAACATACCTATCGAAGCGAATCCTTTGATGCCCATGTAACACAGTACCCGGAATCATACAATTTCCTTCAGTTAAATTTCTTCATAACATTCCGTGCTGTTTTTTTCTTTTCAAAAGCAACAAAACTTTTATTAGACTAAATCGTATACCTAATCAAAGGATCCTTTCTTTCAAATTTCCATTTCGAAGTCTTTATTATGCCAACCTTATCATTCCTTATCACCAGTATATAACCAATGTTTATCAGTAATAATTTGTTCTTTTTAGCTGTTTACATTCTTCGTCTCTAATTCCCTTTATACTCCGTACATAATTTCCCTTTGTTTACGCCAACGAAGACGCAACACACACATAGAACTGGTAATTATTTGGACAAGCTTGTCTAATAAGTTATCACAACACTGTGCCACAATGACTCTAAAAGTTACTCTCTTATCATCAATCCCATTGATTGATATCGTTCAAACACTTTGGATCTCAAGATTAAAATTAACCTATAAAACTTTCGTTTACTCAACTAAATCCGTACATTCTATTACTTTCTATTATATACACATATTTTCGTTCCACAATTTATTTTTCATCTTGCAATCGAACTAAGTGAACCGTAAGACTCGAGCTGGTAAATTTCTATTATGTATCGTTATTTAAAGATCAAATATCACGGAGCACTTCCCCGCAACACGTCCGTACCAGAGGAGTGTTATGATCCAACTGAAACTCGACTGAAGTATTCATCGGTAGCGGAATGGTTTGTTGCCAGTGTCGTATACAAGTGACTCACTGCTAGTAGTTTCTGTCGCACTTCTCTCAGTCCCCACTCGTGAACAATACCTGACATTTTGCACGATTATTGACGCGTGTCACCCTCGGTTATTATGACGAATAGATAATAATAAATTCAAAATCCCAGCCTGTCTCTCAATAAAATTCACATTCGGCCGAAACAGCTCATCTTACAACTGACGTTTCGTTTTCAAATGAAAATGGCCGCACACAAAGGTACACGCAGTGACAATATTATTACGGGGATGCACACGCAATGCGATGTTATCGTGAAAACAATTACCAGGCGGAAACCGCGTGTAATTTGTGATAAGTAAAGAAAAAGAAACGATCGTTACTGTCAATTATACAGAGTGAGCATATTAACATGGATGATAATTTAAAAGAGATTTTCCTTACGCTTTGATGGATTGCATCTTTTTTCTTTATAGCGACAATTATCAGTTACTGGCAAACAAGAATAGATCATGTTTTTCACATCTCTGACACTCGACCTACCATTACGTCTAGGGACATTGTACTGGGTGTATCGATCGACGGATAAAAGGAGTACAGACAGACGGTAAGTAACCAAGCACCGTTGCACATTTATGGTTTGAATAATATTGTCTTAAAACATACATATACTCAGTATACCTAAATATATGTTGTAGTTAATATAATGTAGTAAATATCCGCAGTAGAGTCGCACATCCTGTCAATATACGTCGGAGAAAAATATATCTGACTATTGGACATCTCCCCTGGAGAAAAGTTTATGGTCAATGACACTACGGTGTTCTTACTCTCGTGGGATTAATTAGGTTCCACCCTATTTTCTATGGTACAATTGGACAATTGACCCTACGTGCATGCGTCGGGAATTACGTTTTCCCCCAGATTCTGCAACAACACTAAAGCATCCCTAAGGAAAATAATAGGAATTCTAGTCTTACTTACTTCAGTGTAAGTAAGCGTCACGGGATGATGTATATGTTGTTAGTCAGTGGTACTAATTATTTGGATCAATAAGGATCAAAGGTTAACTTAATATTCGTATATATAGAAAATTATTATTACGTTATTTATGTCAGTCAATGGTTTGTGCTGGTGCATAAATTGTTAACACACTGTTTTTTAGTAAAGTAATTATTATCGTGTACTGGCTATGGACCATGTTAGTTTAATTTAGACTTTTGAAAATATGTTCTAGTTCTATACGATTCTCGACAGCATAATGTACAAGATGATCTAGAATGATTTTGAGATACGGATTTTAAATGATTCTGAACAAAAGTCAGTGAAGTGTACAACGATCGTTCGTGCGTTAAAGGACATAGTATGTAATTTCATTGTGGAAGGCTAGTAGATTGGTCGTACTGGAAGCGAAGCTCTCAGGTTGGGTCTATATTGATCATTATGATTACGTAATATATCGAGTAAGGGAAATTATAAAAATTTTACAGTGCCTATACGTCACTTGACATAGTCATGTTATTTTATAAGACAAAAACGTTATGTACTTGGCGAGTATGTCTGTACAGGTATCGTTAAACTTCATCAGCAACTGATAACCAGTCTGTTGTTATGTGGCTGTAATTATTTATGTCAACGAACGGTACTGAGGAAGAGGATTCGTTCTGGCGTGATGAATTCGCCATGTATTTACGTACACTAATCAGATATCTAACCGTGTATCTTAATTTACGTATGTACAAACAAAAAGCTCAATATAAAATATCGTGTGGTAAAATTGATGGTGCAAGAATGTATGTGCATAGCAATACATGTTTAGTTATTAGTTAGCATACATAACCAAAAATGGGAATGACAATTTGTGTTTCTAGCAAGTCTTATTAATTATTTGATTAGGTGCATGAAAATCAAATAACATTTTTCTTTGATCCGTTCATATCTTCTTACGCTTGTCAGCTTATCAAGTAACGCTTATGTCATTATATGAAACGTTTATCTCAAATGCGTATCACTATTGCGCGTACACTGTGTTTTTACTGATCTAGTCTGGACTTCAATTAAATTGCATTATAATTGGCATATTCAATAGTTGACTTGATCGATGTCCCATCTAGTTGGAATTTATTAACGTTCGAATAAAAAAAAACAGCTTTACTGACTGAAGTTTAACATTTGAATACAGAGTTGATCGTGTTTAAGTTTGAATTTGACAGTTACAGATTACAATAACTTACTACGATAGTCGAGTCGCGCATGCGCAGGTATCTCAGTCAATGTTAGAGGTTAGAATATTCGTATAATCATTAAGACGCAATTACTTAATAGAGAATCGTTAAATAACAAACACTGTCAGCTGTGGTTGGTAATGGTGTACCGTCTGTTGCATCCGTGAATGAGTACAGGAATGCAGTGAACGGAAGCGTATACTATTACAACGAATAATCCTTGCTGCACGGAATTGAATTTCATGTAGAGAGAGATTTGCATTACCGTTCCGTGATACGATTGCGTTCTAACAATAAGAAAAATATGATAATACCTGTCCGATTGAGTCACTTAATTTCGACTGTTATAAGGGCTATCTGTAGAATTATGTAGAGTATGTTAGAAATGGTTATATTAAATTGTAAATAGCGGTGTGTCGTAATGGGTTATTTAGTATTTAGTAATATTTTCATCTGTGTTATGTGATTATGTGACAATTAATGGAAGAAATCTATATTATTGATTGGCATGGATGGTGGACATCATAAGGAACGATTTTACTCGATGATTGGAGTTTGTTACTTTATATGCATTCGATTGAATTTAGGTCCTCGGCAGAATTTCACAAGACGCCAGGTGCTCGCGCAGGTGCAGCCAACTTATTTTTTTATTCAGCTCGCGCAATCGAATCATCATTAATTACAATGTACTCGCGCGAATTATCGATTAGGTCGTCGTTGAGCTGAGACACGAGTTAACTTTTAAGATCGGTTTGCCTGATAGACATTGATTATCGTCGTGAATTCATTTACTTATAATTAATTGCAGTCGTTTGCTACAAGATAGTTTCAAAAGGGATGAAATAAAGTTTATAATTTTGAAATTCCTTATTATATTCCGCTATGGCGAATCTTTCTTCTCTTCTCCTTCTCGGGACGCTGACTGTTAACATCCTGTGTCGTCATGACGTAGCGATTTGGAAAAAAAGGGTTTTGTAAGTGATGTCACGTTTTTATGATGTATATACGGTGCCTTATTAGCGCTGAAACACCCATGGTGAATACAGACTTGTTTCATTTGAAATTCAATGCTTGATTTCCGCGCGGTGAAGCACGTGAAGGATTTTGGTACCTACCTGACGGATGCCGCCATTTTATATTCTTTAGCAAAATTACAATGATTATATGTAGATATTTAATAAACACTTGTGTAATTTGAAAGTATTGTTACTGAGAACAATGTGACTGACTTTCTGGAACAACGTGCGGAAGTGAAATGTGACGAGAAAAGGTCATCGTTATTAATTTGATATAATTATTTTTGTCATTATGAATTCTTGCGAGTGCAGCTGACAATTACAGGAATTTACTTTGCCGGCTTTCCGGTAAACTAGGAAATCATATCTAATTATTGTGCGTTTGGAACTGATAACAGTAATTATTTGTATCATTGCGTTGAAGTTGCTTATGCTTTGTGGAATTGAACAGTGGTGCCATCTGTTAGAGACTGTGTCAAACTGTTGAACAATATAGAATATGTCTGAATATGTCTGGTGCTTTTCAACTTGTAACAAGACGGCGTGGTGGAAGACGTATTCTTTCTAATTTTCATAGAATCGGGAAATTAGACATTGAAAATCCTGAAATTGATACGGAGGCGGTCTTAAGGTGAGATTTTGTTAGTTCATTTTTATTAACAGTTATAGCAAAATCAGGACTCGGACAATTTCTAACCTCCATCCTCTTGGACGGGTTTTCAGCAAAGTAAGGTCAACAGTGGATGAAATTGCTGTGTCTCCTTACATGAAAGTCGTTCTTGATGGACTCAACAAGTCTTTGGCTATTCTTGATATTCAGGAAATATCTGAGATCCTCTGTTACGGCCTGGGAAACTTTTCAGAGCACTCAAGCCCTAAGTACCAGCTTGCACTTGTTCTTGCTCTGAAAGAACTCTATGGGGCTAACGTATCTCTTTATGATCCAATATTTTATTCTAAGGAAATAGAGATATTGAGATCCTTAGGTCTTCAGGTGATTCTCAGTAATGAAGAGGGGAAACGGTGTATCGGTGACAAATTTACTATTGTTTACATGCCTCACTGTGCTAAACAACTGACCAATAATTTCCTATTTGCTAATTGGTCAGCCTTACAATTAAATAACTGCCTTGTATGGTCAAATAGTTTTTCTGATCTTGTTGAAGATCACTTTAAGCACAATTTAGAACACTCTGCAAATTATATTTTTCGTATAGCTCCGTATATAACTGAGATTACTTTAGACAATAACTTTGAATTCTTAAGAGCATTCAGTGGTGCTGCATTGCATATCTTTACAAAAGGTAAGCTGGGAACAGTGCCAGAAGGCTTTTGGGAAAGTAATCCAGAGCCTATTTATAGTGATCAAGATTTGGAATTCCTTACTAGAGAACGATTGGAACAACTACAATTATCTAATTGTAATTTAGATATTTATATATTGCACCATAATATTTTTATATTAAATTTTATGTAGAAGTTTTGTACACTTATTTATTGTTATATTTTTTGAAATTTGCAGAAATTCGTCTCAATGAATGCAAATATCAAAGTAATACGGTCTCTGATTAGCGAGGTTCGACAAGCCACTCACCAAAGTAAAATCAAAGATAACATCATGGTTCGCTATATCCTGGAGCAAGCTAATATGCATCGCGAGACATCAGAGGTGCTTTGCAAAGAACGAGAAGAACTGAAAAGCCTCGGTGAGACATATCTTTGTTATTTGAACTCTCAGAGAAAGTACGAGCAAATTCATAAAGATTATGCGGGAAAGGGAGAACGTAGTATTAAAGAAACTGCCGATTTAGTGGGATTTAAATTACCTCACGATCCAAAATAATTGTATGGAAAATATTGATAAAACTAGAAATGTATTTTATGTAAATGAATAGATGCGTAGAATGCAATATTCTAAACACTCATGTGTTGGAATCACAATAGATCATTGAACGGTGATAAAAACTGTTTATTTGCTGTAAAATCATTTAAGAATTAAATAAAAAAAAATAGAAATATACATTAAGCCAGTGACTTAACGCTTATTTTCCAAGCGTAACTCTTAAGAAATACTAATACGTGATCATCAAATTCTGTGAGTACTTCATGGTACGCGTGAGTGTGTCAGAACAAAATCAATGGGAATACTCTTTTCTAATGCATTTAGCAATTGTCGATAGTTGCATATTGCTGGTGCCCTCATAAATAGTACCAATCTTGGAATCTCTGAAGAACTTTTCCTGTGGGAAATCCGTAGTGAATCCAACGCCTCCCATCAAGTCTATACATTTGGCAGTAACCCTGAGTGCAGTTTCTGTACAAAAAAGAAAAATTCACGTAGACACTAGTAAATAAGAAAATGGTTACCTGAGACGAATACAAAAATTATTAGTCATATCCAATTAATACCAACTTACCGGAAGCTACAAGCTTCGCCATGGCGGCTTCCTTAACAAAATCTTTTTTAGCTTCGACCAATCTTGCAGCATTGTACACCATAAGTCGTGCGCATTCAAGTTCCGTCGTTATTTGAGCAATTTGATGTTGCACAGACTGTAAATAACGAGTTACAATTATCTTCAGATAACATCACCAACATCTTGTACCATCGAAAAATCGATGAGTTTTATTCTTCGGCAAAGCTCTGAACATACTTGGAAAGAAAAGATGTCGGTACCAAACTGCTTTCTCTCCAATGTATAAGGAATTGTGGCGTCTAAGCAGCCTTGAGCAATTCCAATCATTTGAGCACCAATACCAACACGTCCCTCGTTCAAAAATCCTGCTGCATACTTGTAGCCGTGTCCAAATTCTCCGAGAATATTCGTTTCCGGTATCTGATTCACATAAAGCGGAATGTAATTTAAAATTCATTTATATGCAATAATTATTTTTTTCTTTTCTAACACTTTACAATAGACACTCTTCACTTACCCTCACATTATCAAAATGTACCATACAGGTACCGGACGCCTTTATTCCTAATTTGTCTTCGGGTTTGGCAATAGTGAGTCCGGGAGTACCCCTCTCCACGAAGAATGTGGTAATCCCACGATAACCCTTAGGCAAATACAAATGAGATATTTTGTTAATTATCGTATGCATCCTTTATCTTAAATTTAAATCTGACTATTTGACCAATCAGATAAGTAATCACAAATTAGATTTTAATAATTTGTTACAGTAAGAAAACAACGGCATCATTCAATTTACATAACGTGTTTACCACTTTGGAACTCTCGAATTGGTTGCACTTCTAGTTTCGTGTTATGTTATGTTAAGATATCTTGAGATATACAATCATTCTGTGTGGGTGTGGGTGTGTGTGGGTGTATGTATATATATAATAGACTTTAAACTATTACAGAACTCTCCATATTCTTCAAATAAAAATTAACATGATAAGATAAAGGTCGATGTTCCCTGCTCTTTCCGGGATAGTGAGAGAGACTAAAAGTTAAACATAGAATTGCAACAAAGTATAATCAAAGAGTTATATAAATTTGGTAGACAATATTATGTTACATTGCATGAAAGAGACAGAGAGTATTTCGAGTCAACGAGAAAATTATATTATTTCAAAATCATCGAATCTGTCATTGATTACTGCATTATAATCGCGTCATGGTTCAGTGAATTTTATGTAACTTTTTTTTATATACATATATATATTTTTTCATATTACTTACTGCCGACGGATTGGCATTGGCAAATACGAGAAATAATCCAGCAATATCGGAATTCGAGATCCACATTTTCGTGCCGTTTAGCACGTATTCGGCGCCATCTTTTTTTGCCTCGGTTTTTAACGAAAATGCATCCGAGCCCGAGCCTGGTTCGGTAAGACAGAAACTGCCAGGCTGAAAATATTGATTATCAATTATCGATAATGATATTTTAATGAATTTTTTAGACATTGATTTTTATCCAGTTATTTTTACTACTATGCAATATTCTGCTGCTTACGTATGTTTGAGCTAATTTTGGCAAATACTTTTCTTTCTGCTCCTTACTGCCGACTTTAATTATCAGTGAATTCACAAGTGTATTGTGAATGTCCACCAGGGCCGCGACTGAACCGTCGACTTTAGCAACTTCCTCCACAGCCAATATTGTCGTCATAAAATTACTCCCGGTTCCGCCATAATCTTCTGGGATCTCGATACCCATTAGCTGAAACAAAATAGTCGAATGTGTGAACCTGGAAATTTTTTTGAATGACTTTACAAAGCAATATTCTTACTCCATTATCAAAGAGACTCTTCAATACTCCATCGTCTATTTTTCCCTCTTTCTCCATTTTTTTCACTAGAGGCAGAATCTCCTCCTTGGCCAATTTAGATACTATAAAGCAATGTATAAAAATGCATTGTCTTAGTGAACGATCATTTTTATATTTTTGTACCTTTTCAGTTTCAAAAACTTACCCGAGTCCTTCATCATGATCTCATCGTCTGTAAATTGTGTCAAGGGCCCCGAAGTGGAGGCGAGTGGTGCACATTTGCAAAAATCTCGTACACCAATAATACTTTTTGGGATCTGTAATAGAGGATATTTGAAAAATAAAAAAAGATCTGACAAAAAAATTAACATTACACCAAACACTCTACACATCTTCGCGAGTGTTAGATCGAAGTATAACAAAAATTCTAAGATTTTGTAACATATTTTTTAAAAAAAGTCACTCGCTTTTCGAATAGCTGTCTTCAATGAATTCATCCTGACACTCCTATACTTTTAGGTAGCAGCGAAAGAAGAGAAAAGATAAAAGAATACAATAACTGTCGAAGCTTGAATGGGATATCACGTTCAGCTTCAAAATTTAAACGTGCCCAAAATCAAAACTTGGTGGAAACAAAAAAGGACCACTACGTAAATTTTAACGACACGTTGTAACAATTCACATGAAATCAGGAATCCAAAATAATTGAGAGCATGGAGCTATGCTGAATGCAGAAGGAATGTCCGAGGAAGACTGAGGCCTTAATAGGGAGGGAAACAGGTTGTGTTATAATCGCATGTAAAAGAAAACTTAAACTGGGCATCCAGATCTATTCTGATTGGTTGGGAATAACAACGGCCTTATTTACCTCGCTGATTCGTCGTTAAACTTATCATTTGCGCCTTATCATGCTTTCGTTTACGCAACTGCTGAGTTCTTGTTTACATGAATTTTCGATACAATTCTCAATAGAAAAATTTTCTAGCTCTTATCAAGACTGCCTGATAATGAAGAACGGCACACGTAACGGGTACGAATTTTGTTCCCTTGTGCGAAAAATTATTTTTTTTTATTCACTGAAAAATATTAGTAAGATCTAAGGTGTACCTAATGTAAAAACTGCTCGCGATACTATGTTGATACGTATTTATGAAATGTGTAGCACTGAAATTATTGTACAACAAAAATAATTTTTGGTTTATTCAGCTGGTCCAAACTGATTGTGTTTAGGTATTATAATTTTACAGTCTAGTACGGGTAGTGTGGATGATAAAGATGATTCATTTATAACCAATTATACTTAAATGATTTTGATTGTCAGTCACCATATTGGTCAGAGACCTTTCATTGAACTCGAGTTATACTGACCGAGAGTCCATTTTAATTATTTAGACTGATTTATATATGCATATACATATTTGTACATACGTATCGGCATTCTGTACCATGTTCAAAGCACATTTATATCTTCACGTACAAAAAGTGCAATGCGCGCAAATTTCTTTGAGTAGATATTGAGAAAAGAAATTGAATAGAAAATTACATGGACACTTCTTTTCTCGTATTTGTTTCAAGTGGAACGTTGTTTAGCGATTTTTATAATTGCTACGAGCTATACGCACGAGTTGCGCTGATATCTCAGTCTCTGATGCAATTGTATATACATGATTAATATTTCCTTATGCATAGCAATCAATTTCTCATATCTGTATTGATTTTGCAATAGTTCTACTAAGATTGAGGGTTTTTGTATTAACCGATAGTCAGCAATTATCAACGTCATCTAGCGACGACAATCCGAAACTGCCGAGTGCACCTTGTAAACTGCATTGCCGACCGGTACTAAATGAAAGCACAAGTATACACAATTATATATGTGTACCTAATTTAATATCTTTCAACATAAATTGTGGTAAATACACACATGTTTATATTTTTAATTACAGTTTATGTAACATTAGCAATGTATATAAATATTGTCAGACCGCTAATTCCATTGAAACATAGTAGTCCTTCCTTCCTTTCCTTATGGCTGACTCTTCCAATGAGGAGATGTGTCAGAAAACATAGTAGTCAATGGATGTGAGCCCGGTCTTACAGACAGGTCTTGCAACGAGACCAATTTTTAGTGGTGGGGGCAGTCCCTCTTACTGTCCAAGTTTTTAATTTTTCAGCGCGGCGCCACTAGTACAGAGGTGCCCTTCCCCTTTGCCCCTCACGTAACATAAGCTACGATGCACAAGCTATCATCCATCTCTGTCGCATACCCCTGTACGGGTGGCGCACCTTGTGTCGTAAATCGGAGTTAGCGAATTTGGACACTAAGCGGTACTACCCCCACCACGTTCGTTGCAAGACCTGTCTGTAAGACCGTGGATGTGAGCCTTACAAATACATTCCAATTGAACTATACATTTTATATTATCTTTCGTTCAGTCAACTTGACTACATTCCAATACACGTCAGTTGCAGTGTTTGATTGGCACACCTAAAGTGACACACAAGCCTGTCAATGACTCACAGTCATGTTACAAGCCTGTATCATAAAAACCAGCCATCTCTTGTAAGGCCCTATATGAATCCCATGGTAAATTAATATAACAAAGCAGAAAGTATCAACACAGTTAAAAGAAAGTATGTCAACACTGGAGCTTCCGAATGTAGGAAGGTTATGCAAGTATCATCCGGATCAGTCAAATCGGGATTACCTTTATGCTGTACATCTACAGATGGGAAAAAGAATTAAGTATTAAGACAACGAGAACAAAATATACAGACATAAATTGTTGATCGAAAGGAGTTCATACCGGTAGCTACAGTTGAAGAAAAAATAATGTAAAATTCTTTATTACGTTCGAACGATTTGATTTTGTATAGGTTAGGTTCGAACAAGGGAACGTGGGATCTGGCGGACCGGATGCTTGGAAATGTCATCAACCGTCATTCGAGTTTCCTGCCGAGAAAGAGCTTCGTGGGTGGTGTTGTGGCTCTCGTATTTCTCAGGAAAGACGACGGGAATCGTGGTTAGCCACGAAATATAATCGAAGATGCGAAGACACACACGATAGAATCGTCATTGGTTGCGCCGCGGCGCTAGTGTGTGTGTTGTGCTCTGTTATTCCTATACGGAAAATGCGCTAAGTGGGCTTGCGCTTTTCTCGCTTCTTGAACGTAGTGACCTAACCTCTCAGAGAGCCCTTGAACATTTTTTGTCAATCAAGAATGAAGTCTGGCAGCAGGAACGAGAACAGGGGCTCCGTAGTCCTCAAGCCTGAGGAGAACGAGCAGGTTTACGGACTGATCGGGAATCGATGTCAGGTCAGTGAGCTTTTATAAACCCATAGGAACATCGTGTAGCTAATATAAAGAACTGCTAAGCTTTTGGTACTGACCTACATTTGCCTGGGAAACGGGTTCTACCTAATTATATGCGGCTTTGTAAAAAAAAGTCGAGCTATGGTTGGGAGTCGGATTTATGGATAGTTTTCATATGTTTACGCCTGATTTTTATTAGCGCGATGCAACTTTTTCTTATCTGGAAGTCAGTGTTTCGGATTGATCGTTCTCGTGCTTTTGGGTCTTGTATGTTAGCGGTTTATGGATGCTTTGTGTTCCTCTTGTATGGTCTTAGATGTCTTGTATTTTTTTTTTTTTCATGCATATTGGGTAGACAATTCTGTCCTTCGTTTCTTCGCTATTCTTTCTCTTCGATTGAATCATTGAATTTTTTGATGACGTATATTTCTCATTATGATGAGTCTTCGTATTTATCCTGATACGGACCTGTGTATTAAGCTATCAGTTTGGTGGGGGCAATGATATCCTAACACACACGTGCACCTCTTTACCCCTTCTACTTTATTTTTATCCCGATTCTGTATTCAAGGCCCGAGTGACAGGTCTGTGTAATCTGGGTATCTTGAGCTGTGTCGAAATCTAAATTATAATTAATATTACATTTATAGTAAAATTTTTATATTTAGTGTACAGCTGTTTATTTTTGTTGTACGATTATTTTACGTGGTTAATTTAAGGAATTTGTGAATCGAATAGAGACAGTCTCAAGATTAATTTTTGCATAAGGCAAAATAAAACCAATTTTTTATGAATTTATACCTTGCCTTACATATAATGTTCATGTAATTTATTACTTAAGATATGGATAAGATTATTGCATACTTGCCACATGTTTAATAAGAACAAATAAACTGCTTATCTTTCTACTATCATGAATTATCTCCTAATGTGGTTTTTGACGTGGCTGCTTTTTGCAATCTTCTATATTATATCTATGTTAATATAATCCCTTATCTTGAATTACTTATTCTATGTCTGGCATGATAATTAATATGTATCTGCAGGCAATTTTTTAAAAGTCATGCTACTGTAAACTAATATTTTTTAAAAGATATTTTAATGGAGAAAGATTTTATATTATTGCAGTGCTTAGCAGCTGGTGTCATTCAATTATATGTGACAGAACCGCCATTGCATCGAGAATGGATAAAAAGGAATACAGGCATCATAACTTTTATACGGGACAATCCAAAGCACAGCTTTTTCCTCAGATTGTATTGCCTGCAAAAGAAGGCAATGCTCTGGGAACACGAGCTTTACAGCCCCATGGATTACAAGTCTCCTACGTCCTATTTCCATACCTTCGAAGGAGAAGATTGCATGACAGCATTCAACTTTGCTGATGAAACCGATGCTCTTATTTTGAGGTACTTTTATTGGAAAGCAAAATGGACGATAAGAACTTTTTATTAATGTTCCTCTTTCTTATTGCAGAAGTGTGGTTCTGGAGAAGCTGAACACAAAACGACAGCGAAGACAGGAAAGAAGATCGAGAATGGAAGTTGATTCACAACACGGTGTGACTCTTCCCAGGATGAGCCAAAGTAACACTTCTACATTTGGCTTTAGTCAAGTATCCACCTCGACTAATTTATTGAATGGCTCACCATCAGCAACGGGTGTCAACAGAAGCATTTCCAGTAGTTCGATGTATAAAACGAAGAAAACGAAATGGAAGAAAGACACAAAAAGACGACTAACTGCGGCCGACATTAGTTCTCCATCGAACTTCAGGTAATTATTCTAATATGAATTGGTCCTCAGTCATTTGCTTTTGATATTTTAAATTAATTAAATCATCAAATCTCATAGACACGTGGCGCACATGGGATGGCGCGAAGAGAATAAGAGTCTAGAGACAGAGGCAGAAACACTAGATCCTGACTTGAAGCAGTTCTTCAATAAAGTCGGTGTATCTGAAACTCAATTGAGGGATCCGGAGACGCGCGATTTCATTTATGATTTCATCGAAAATCGTGGCAATATGAAAGTATTCGAAGAAGTTAGTGGTCACTCTTCCACTGTGCAAAGTAGAAATCAGGCTGCGACACCTCAAGAACTGGGAGCACCACCACCGATTCCTGTACGGACAGTACCAGTCAGTCCTAATATTCAAACGAATAGCGTAAGTATACATTTATTTGTTTAAACTAGACTTCATTTTTTTTTAAGCCACCATTCGATATGTTCATCATTTTATTTATTATTCGATAGTATCCAACAAGAAACGCGCCGCCTCCACCACCACCACGAACCAATCTACCGCCACCACCACGAAGTGTACCGCCAGTACATAGGCCGCTACCGTCGCGTCCTCAAGCACCATTACCTTCCTCGGTATCTTCGATATCTTCGACACCCCCATCACCCCCGACAGCTCCGACGACACACTCGTTGCCAACGCTACCACCACCGCCGCCACCACCGCCGCCGTCGCGCGGTACCAGTATTGCTGCAGCACCGCCACCTCCACCGCCACCTCCTTTACCCAGTTTCAATGAGTTCGACGCTGAGAACGTAAACAGTACCAACAGCACGAACAATAATAACAATAACAACGGTGACTGCCCCGAACCAATGGCTATGCTCATGCAGTCAATTAGATCAGGCACAACTCTCAGGGTAAAATATCTCCTTGAACTATTTTTCAGTATCTATTTTCCTAAGATTCAATTTCAATATCGTTTCGGTTGCTTATCGCTATGTTCGTCTTGTCTGTCGGTTTGCAGAAGGTTAACAAGAACGAAGAGAAGCCACCACTCGAAGAGGATCCCAGGGATGATTTACTGAATCAAATTCGTCGAGGTATCGAGTTAAAGCCGGTAACGAATATCCCGGAGAAGCCGCGGCCATTCTTGAACCTCCATGACGGATTGGCCGACGCATTGTCTAGGGCTTTGGCCGAGAGGGCACGCGTCATTCATAGCGACAGCGAATACTCGACTAGCGATACGAGTGACGACGACGAATGGGATGACTGAATGATCCTGGACAAAGGTATTTGCCAGAAATCGTAAACGTGTTCGCTGCGCCACGGGTGTATTTCTAAGGAAAAGAAAAATCGTAACGTGGAATTCGGTATTCGTTATTCTTTTTTTCTTTTTCTTGTTTTCAAGAACTCTCCGTTCCTCGGAACGCTCAACGATGACCGTCTGTCAAGTACGGCGGGTTCACGTCTCGTTCGTACGAGAGTTAATAAACGAGAGAATAATAATATTAATAGGGAAACCTAATCGGTACGTATGGTCGGTACGATAGAGGAATTTTAAGGCATAGAAACCGTTTCATGTTCGCCGCTATGGAGAAATCCTAGTCACACGCAAGAGATGATAATAACGTTACTTATTGATTATTGTATTTTATTAGATTCTATTTCCATATGGTCTAAGTCCTAATTCTAAAGAAACAAAAAAGATAACAAATAACTATCTACGACGTTGTCTTCAGACTAAACTTCTTTTGATCCAACTACAGATATTACGATTGCTACTAGTGTACTACTGATTCCGTTTCTTTGTCACTCAAATGAAACACTAGACATCCGCGAAAATGGCGAATCTTCGCAAGTGCAACGCGGTGTGTAGGAAACTTAGGTATTTAAAGGATATTCGAACATCGCCGTGCGTTTCGCAATCGCGAGAAGACTGCTCGATTATAAAAATTGTCTCTTCTTCCATTTAAGTGATATACACGCCATTTTATTTTCGCAAAATTCTGTGAACGTATATAAATAAGAAGGTGGCGCCTAACGCGAGAGGTGAAGTTAATTCGTAATCGGCGATATCGTGCCCGTCTCGCGAAAAGCACCTATAAGGAGACAAGAAAGAAAGATAAGAAAACAAGCTGTAATACAGATTAGCATAAGATCTAGTGTTATTTATTTAGCGTTCGAATGCTCGCGATTAATTTATCATTAGTCTATCCGCGATAAGAATGATATATCGAAAAGAAATCTTGTAGATAACTAGCCAGTGTTTTCATACAGGAAACATACTCGGGATAGAGCGATGATAAACGATTGGAGAAATAATAAGAGAGAGAGAGAGAGAGAGTGAGAGTGTATGTATGTGTGACAGAAAGGTAGCGAGAAAAAACTAAAAATATAGATATCGAATGTAAAAGAGGAAAAGACGACTGTGTTTTTCGACTACGCAAAAGTAAAGTATGGCGTAAATCGCTGGGAACGATGAGCGCTCTCGTGACGAGTAATACATACCAATCTTTTTAATACAATATGTAATAAGAGAAAGATAATATCGCGTCGGACGTTTTTCATGTGTCGCAGTGTGTCGGCATATGCAGAATGGAGAGCGTCTAAGATATTTTTGCTACGAACAAAAGAGACGGGGACGAGGATTAAACGAGAGGCAGAGACGAAAATGGCGTTAGGAACAGAGAAAACTGTTAGCGGAAGTTTCAATGCGTCGTTCAGGCATATGCCATACGGGAATTGTTCTGATACATCTGTGAATTGTAGTTTAACAAATTGTCACAGTCAGAAGACATCGCGCGTTGAGGACAATTTGATATTATTAATTCACACGCGTCTTACTCTATACGCAGGTTACGATAACTTCTGTATGGCAGAAGCCTAAGAGAGGCAAGAAGAGTGTCAAACAATTCGCACACTATTTTCTATTATTTCTCAACGGGGAATCCCTCGTATTTATATGATTCATTTACGCCGGTCATCCGTTTACCTCCGTTATGTGGGCTCACAAGTGACCTGCGAATTTTTCAAAAATAACGAACAGTATATGCAGTTTGAAAAAAGATAGTAAAAATACTAAAACTCAACTAAAAGAAGTTATTGATTATCTAGGCGATGTATAGTGCGAGAAGTACATTTGATATTCGTGATAACTTGACTAATACTGCATTTGCATCCCCTTTCTGACAACCCCTTCTACTCCACGACCACCCTGTACCACTATGTATTATTAATAATATTTTGAAGCAGCGCGTTTTTATCATGGCATCGTCCTTGAAGCACGTTAGACGCAGGAACAAATTATGAGAGACAGGATATTCCTCGAGGACGAGTCGCTGTGATAAGATGAAAGCGAAACGACAAAAAATATATTGGCTAGAAAATCCGAACTCTTGTTCTTTTCATCTTTGACAAGTAAAGAATAACGTTGCCTTCTTTCTCGCCTTGCAAGGATACCAGACTAAGGATTTTCTGGCCCCGTGGCACATCAATGGGAATATACATAGTTTAAAATATGTAATTAATATTGTTATTTGTTATATAATAATAGCATAATAAAACGAAACTTTACAATTACAATGAGGATTTTAGATTAATTCAGAAATCTTGAATTTTATTCTTTACACACCGCTAGAACGCTTTAGGATAGTTCATTACTAGTGATGGCAACGAGGAGATAGTTTTGTCAGACAATTATTATTTATTGTTTTTAATAACTCAACTGCTCTCTTGGGTGTATAGACATCTAAGGATTTAGGATATTAAAAATCACAGCTATTCTAATCTTGTCTATATTTCACAATTTTTTTGTACATAATATGTGTTCAGAATCGTAATTGTATACCTTAGAACGTGTACTTTGTTAAAAACCTTGGAACATTCACATTTTTGTATTTTCGTTTACCATTCAACAGTGTACAGACAATTGTTAAATAATATTATAACACAGTATTAACAACAAACAAGAGAGGCATAAGTGACTATGAAATAGAAGTTCATTAAAGCTTAATAATAATCGTGGACTGATATGGCAGTATTCACTTTTGAAAAAGATCAGTTACACTGGTAATCTATGTATCGGTGATATATTAAAAATCAATTATCTAAATGGGGATTGGAATGAATTTTCCAATTTAATGATTCAAGTGCAGTTTGTTTAAAGAATTAAACTGTGATTAACATTAAACTTGCACCCTATAACCTGGAACAACCATTTTTACATCTCGATAAGAATTTCAAATACCAAAAATTGTTTTGTACAGTGTAGTTGACGTTTGTGATGATACTTTGCTTTGAGACCAACGATTTGTACTGTTGGATGAAAGTACTGTGGTCTTTTCGAATTCTGTATTAATATCAAAAGGTCTTCTAGATCTTTGAGTTTGTCCCTGCAACAATGTGGCTCGGTCGAAAACAAAATTCGATCGTATCACATTCAGGGCGTCTTCTGAAAAATGATTGAACAATGTCAAATTCAATGAAATCGTTTATCCATATGAATTTTTCTCACAGTTTTACACCAATTCACTTACTTTCACTTTCATGAAGTATCAAACCCTCGAATGAAGTGACTCGATGCATAAACAAGTGAAATGAATTCTCAACATCGGACTGCCTAATGATGAAGTCAGGGTCACACGTAGCCAAGTAACACAGAAATTGAATTCCTTTTCTTAAAGAGTCCATTTGTTTCATTCGAATTCTTCTTCTAAAACTATCATCCAATTTGGTCCAGTCCCACTTTTTCATTCTTCTATTATGTTCCGTCATGTTATCCTCGTCCTCTCTCTGGCCTTGCCCTTCTTTATTGTGTACTAAATTCTCATTATATTGTCCGTCATCGGAATCTGATTTGCTATTGGTCTCATCAATCGTTTCCGGTACTGTAATTCTTGAAGATTCACACAATAGTGTCACCGTCAAGCGTAAAAGTTTCATGCAACAATTACAGGAATGTGGTGCTTCGACTGTCCATGAAATTATCTGGCTGGATAATGCGTAATGTGAAAATGGAACCAATTTGTAAGCAATGCTTATGGTGGCAACAGGATCCAGTCGACAGTGTTCCAATTGGGCCACGTAAATCTCCAGAGTGCAGGCATCTGGATGATTAGAAAATTTATTCAGTAAATCAAAACTATAATTATTTATTGGATTACATACCAGAAGTAAAATGAGGAACATCTTTCCAAACGGTTAGTGCTGTGTTTGCTGCAACATAAAATATATTATTGTCATAAGGATAATTTGTATAATCATAAGAGAAAGCAACAACTATGTACCAGAGCTTTTACATAGTTTCTTTATAAATTCCTTTGATCTTCCAAATGTAATAAGTAATTTTGTCATTGGTATGTAACAACACGGCAATGGTCGCGAAAATACTATTTCTTTCAATATCTCAGCCACGTAATTCATCCTGAAGACATAATAAAAATTTCCATACACTACACATTATTCGACAAATTCCATACACTACGAAAGTACTGAAAAAAATATTAATTACGCATTATACTCAATACCCTTTGGAACAAAATCCTATCCTTTTGTGAACAGTGTTTAAGACTTTTGCTGCAGCACACAGAAGACCACTGAACTGATGCGATCTTCTCTAAAGCATAAAAAAAGAGCAATTGTTTCATTATAAAGAAATATAAAGTATATCAGATAACAGAAAGTATCCCTGGATTCAGGAGTTCCATACCACAAGACCCATTACACTGATGCACTCTCGGATCATCTCCAGGAATTCAAAATCACAACCTTTCTTTTCCCAAGCATTATAGCTACGCATTTGTTCATTGTAACTTGCATTTGAGGTATCATTTATCAAACGCATGGATACTTTTCCGGCAATGTATTCCGCTAGATAAAATGATGCTGAAGCAACATAAGACATCGCACCTAGTGCGCGTCTTGCCTCGACGCCTCTTTCCTTCTCGTGCCAGACATCGGCGTCGCAAATTGTTTTTCTGTAATCAATTACTCCCTCGTACAATTGTGACATGTACAAATCATTCATATCTCGGATATCGTCATTCTTCATCTCACGAGATATTGTCTGCAATACTAAAGTTAAGTTCAGTTGCAATTCCCTGGTAACTGAGATGAGCTGTAAAACGAAAATATTATTTTTATTATCGTATAGATTGGTATTGGATGAAAAAATTATAGTACGATATTAATAGATGATACGTTAAAGATTCTTTTTCATTTACTTTGTTCACTATTGGTATCGTGGCTTGAGTATTTATTTCCTCAAATGTTCTTTTCATGATTGCAGCTATATCAGATACAAAGTATTCAACAGTTAGGCGTTTACCATCAACCATTGTTATTGTTGGTTTTACCAGATCGGGATTTTCTGTAAAGATTATTTTTTGTTCATTGCATATATTCCTGTTGGGGTGACGGTTGGTAGATTATTGTTAATATTTACCAAATATCCTAAAAGTCTCTTCATCCTGTAGAATAGGTGAATTTCTCTTTCCAATTTTCTCGACTATTCGAATCTCCACAACTGACTTTTCTGGTTGGGATGATTCGAATAAGCTTTGTGGTATTTTGCTCAGAGGGAAATCTACAGACAGAAATGGAAATAGTTTAATCGTATAACAAAATTATATATATGGAATCTTTTAATGCTCACAGGATGCTGTAGTTTTTAATCTATAATTCTTCTTATCAGGCACATTAACTTGTACAGATACTTCTGAGATTTTTGCAGTCTTTATAGCCGATGATGTCCTGAAATTGTTATTTAAAAAAAATTACATTTAATATTATTTAAATTGCCAGGAATGGCGGTTTATCAATGAAAAGTTATAGAGTACCTATTTATAGTTGTATTAAATCTATTTCTTCCGGAGCGTTCGGCATTGACTGAATGTGGTTCAGTCAACTTGACCGAACCACTTTCCAGTAATTTACATCTCTCCAGGAGATTCCCCAATTCCAAACTCTTTGGAATAGTCAAATTTATATTAGTAACATCATTTGTAATAATACTTTTAAGACTGCACAGAAAGTTTATGGTAACAAAAGTTATACCTGGAATTGTAATTTTGTCTGTAAGTTTTCCTTTTCCTTGAGCAGTGCATTAATCTCTGCTCTAAATTTACTAGCTTGTTCTTCGATGAACTTGGATTTCTCAACTTTTTCATTCTGTGCTCTTGTTTGGGTCTGCTGAAGTTGATGACGTAGAAAGACCGTTTCACCTTCCTTTGTTATGAAATTATCTAATAATTTCTTATTCTCTTCCTTCAACCTTTCCACTTCTTTCAAATTAAGATCATCTGCAAAATTGCATAACATTAGATAAAACTAACAATAGTATATGAATAACTTATGAATGCTCTTACCAGAGACAAGCACGCAGGTATTCTGTGACTGAAAAGTTGAATTGTGATTGTCCGTATCTAATAAATTTTTTCGAAAGTCATCAAAAACCATAGTGTGCTCATGCACATTAAATTCTTTTCTAAATTCAGAAGAAGAAATTTTTTGGGAAGGAACCACCATATCTCGATCACTTGACCTCATATGACCATTCCTATAAGAACTTGGAATGGGTGAGCCACCATTTTGCCGTATATTGGAATTTTGATTAGACTTTGTCTGAAAGACATCATGTTTTGGAATTCGTTTATCTGCAGTTTCATAACTGATTGAGGGCAGTGAATTTAGGTGATTGTTCAGAGGGGACTTATTAAAGTGCTCAGGCTCCTTAAAGCTTCTTGGTTGCTCATCGTTAATTTGTAACTAGAAAATAAATATAGATGATTAACATGTCTTAAAAGTAGATCATTGTACAAGTTTTACAATATAAACTTGCTGCATAAACCTGAGAACATGCTTGAGTTGCAATGAAATCCATTTCTTCAATATCTCCTTCCTCAAAATCATCTCCCCAAAGATCATCATTTTGTACAGCTTTACTAGTACTTGGTTGATACTTTTTTGTCTTTGTTTGTGCCTGAAGTTGTGTTACAGTGATTTCTAGTTTTGCTTTCTTTGCTGAGGAAGCAAAACTACTTTCAAATAGCTTGCCATATCGCTTGGACATGTTGTTATATCAACCCTCAATACACCTGATTCTGTAAATTATATTTGATAATATAGTGTAGACTCACATTATAAGTATACGAATAATTTTAATCTAAAAGATTACAGTTAAATAAAGCCCCACAAACAATTATTCATCATTCAAAGGACTGTGTTGTTAAAAAAAAACAGAACACTTGAATGTAACAATTAAATGTGCAAATACTTTATAGTTGTAAGACAATTGATTGCTGAAGCATTAGTAATGAAAATTCTTAATTACTAAATATTCCCAAGGATTTTTTTTAGTTAACTATTACTGATATACTTGTAAATATTAACAATTTTACCCCATCACGTATACAAAATAACCGATTAAAATTTCTTTACGGAGAACAGTATACAAATTTTATAAAAATAGTGACACATTAACACAGCCTAATTTATACTGAGTACGAAGGAAAATCGTTCTTTGTCGTGAGATATTAAGATGAAATAAGGTTAAATAACGCCAGAACCTGTCTCATGTCACTTTTAAAGTTGTTCCTTTTTTTTTTTGTTGATCAGCATTTAAAGAATGCTACCAACAATCAGTAAAGTATTCTTGCCGGGAAAAAAATGTCATGCCCTGTCAGAAGTAAGTGGCGTCACCTAGTGTCAATAAGAAGTAACATTTAAGAGAGTGGCAGTGCACTGTAGTAATTTGTCTTTATTATACAAAACAATATCTATATATAATTAATGAATACAAAAATGTACTTAATAAATATAAGCATTTCTTATATTTATTAATATTTTATAATTTAGTTTCTTTCGTAGTCTCTTCTTGCTTTAAATTCAGTCGACGTTTCTTAATGTAATGTTCTATTCTATTTTCCAGACTTTCTGAAAGAAGTTTTAAATAAATTACTGTTTTCATACAAATACAGAACAAAACTATCACTAGCGGAACTTACCACATGTCATTCGTTTCATTAGTGGTTGGTATACTTTTGATTGTACACCTTGCAGTAAACAATAATTTTGGAATTTCGTATCGACATCATTCTCTAGTTTAGATTCCAGCTCCATAAGCATATTTCGAATCATTGTCGATCTGTATAAAATATTTATAATCGATAGATAATTAATTGAGAATATTTATAAAATGAAATATGGCAATCAGTTATTTACTTAATAGTATTAAGTGCCCAGTCTTGTTGCAGCGTCTTTATAACTTCCATTAATTCTTTATTATCGATAAACCATTCACTCTCCTCGTACTCACAGTGAAATAGATTCAATGGAATTTCATGAGCTAAATTGTATTGCGGTTTACATGGGTATTTTTCAACATCCAATAATTCCAGCATTACTTCAGGCTTCTCATTTCCTTGGCCAACAAGTAACAACACACCCATAATGCATCGAATCTGATGCCACAAAAATGCTTGACTCGTAATAATAAGTTGACACATATCATATCCTTTAACAAGAACAAACATAATTTGAAGACTATTATAAAACAGTTTTTAACATTGAACTTCTGTAATGTTAGTTTTTTACCCTCATTTTGATCAGGATCCCTTCTGTATACACTAACTTCTGCATGAAGAATTGATCTGTTAAAATTAACAACACCATTTGCCACATCCATTTTGCAAATATTTCGAAAATCGTGATGACCCATGATGTATTTGACAGCATTGTTCATAGTATTAATATTAAGATTCCCTCGTGGGAAAAAGTATTTGTACATTCTGTGTTTGCAGTCAAATCTTGCTGAAAACTGATCTGATGCTGGTGACCAAGCTATACAACGTATATTCTTGGGCAAAAGCCTGTTTAATATCTTGCAGTAAGGTAATTCAGCTTGCAAGTCAATCTGATTTTCAAGTGAGAGTCTACTGCGAATGTCTAACGATATAACTTGGGAGAATGCACTGACACCCTTATCCGTGCGACCACATCGATGATAATTTGATGTCTCGCGGTTCTGAATGCAACAACTTTTTATCAATGCTTCAAATAAATAATGCTCTACCGTATTGGTAGTATCTTCTTGTACAGCGAAACCATGATAGTCCCAGCCAAGGTAATAGAACTTTAGTAAAATATGTCTTTTTTGACTTCTGTAATAAAAATATTTTTATTATAATTTTACTCCAGTTATAACATTATTGGCTTACTTTGAAAAATCAAAATTTTTTCTGCTTTTATGCTCGCTCGATGATTTTTTCCGACCATCCTCGTTAGTTTTGCTGATTATTTTTTTTAATTGGAAGTTATGAGCTTCAAGCTGCAGAATTCTGTCAATCAAATTCTGAAATGTAGAAATTGATATTATACCTATAAATCAAAGTTTGAATCACTTGGTGCATCTAGACATCTAGTGAGCGTTTTGTATATTAAGAGACGCGTGTGTGCTTTTTGCTACGAAAACGCGTACAGGTGAAACAACAGCTATTTCGTTATGCTTTTTTTGATCCTAAATAAAAAAATCGTATGACAATGGAGAAGATATTTTATGATTTATTAAATGACAAACAACTTTTATAATTTATTTCTGACCGACTTTAACAAAACGTAGGGTGCATATGTGAAATTTTGCATGAATCAACATTACCTCTTTGTCTAACAGAGACAGCTCCTCTTTTGTAGACAGCTTTTTAGATTTATCTCTATTTAATACAACACTGGTCATTATTCTTTTTGTGAAACGGCAAAAGAAATAATGAACAACTCATTGATTCTTATGTTGAGTAAGCTTAAATATGTGTGACCGATATCTATCACGCATAACGTAACCTCACTTTAAAGGTAAATTCCGCCATTCTATCAAAACCAAAGATATTCCACTTCTCAGAGAGTCAATGTAAGAACTTAATCTATTATTTCAATGACAATATAACAGAATTTAGTATATTATTAATAACTAAAAATATGTAAATTATATTGGTAATGTAAAATAATATTTCTTATGCTCTTACGAAAAATACAACTTATCTTTGACTAATTTCAATTGTGAGTGAGAGGTCTGTCATGCTCTAGGCTCTTTGAAAATAGTCTTTTTAACGTGCATTTCATACGATACGGTATGTATTCACGAAATCTGTCGTTTTAAAAGGAATCTTTATTAAAATGTGATTGCAATAACATGCAATTAATAGAATATTAATTTATCTGTGCTACTAATACGATATTTAACGTGATTCTATGATATTTTACGAAATTACCACTCTGTAACATACGTATGGTTTTGTTGACGGCTGCAGTGAGTAAAATGTGGTTATGTGCAAAGTTTTGATCTAGTTTGTGCTTTTCTTTATTTCAGTTGCTTCAAAATAAACAAGCAACATGTCCATCCGCCCGGTCTACAGGCCCACTATCGTCAAGAAGAGGACGAAGAAGTTTATTAGGCATCAAAGTGATCGCTATGACAAGCTCAAGGTATTTACTTAACCTCAGTTTTGGAATGTTCAATGTTTTCTACTGAGATGAATTGAGAATTCTTAAATATTGGTATCATAAATTTAAGGATTGATACAAACAGTACAATTGTTCACTATATTAAATAATTTTGATAGCATATCTATAATTATATATTAAATGAGATATATTATTGTAACTCAAAACAAGGTTCGTGTTACCTGTTTCAATAAAAATCAATCCTTTCAGTACAAATTTATTTTCTGAGATGTTTATGCTTTATCTGTTGGACACTGCGAATAAATTGTCGCTATATGTTTACCACCTATAATTTATTTCTGTGCAGCGTAACTGGCGTAAGCCCAAGGGTATTGACAACAGAGTTCGTAGGCGTTTCAAGGGCCAGTATCTGATGCCCAACATTGGTTATGGAAGCAACAAGAAGACACGTCACATGCTCCCCACAGGATTCCGTAAAGTTCTTGTACACAATGTTAAGGTAAAATAATTCTGCAATGTTACTTAATCTCACATTGCACAAAAAAATAATTTGCACAGTGTACTGTGCATGAACTGAGAAATCTTTATTCACAATAGGCATTTCATAAATATGTAATTAACGTTCAATTTTCTTTACAGGAGTTGGAGGTCCTCATGATGCAAAATCGTAAATTCTGTGCGGAAATCGCTCACGCAGTCAGCAGTAAGAAGCGCAAGGCTATTGTCGAACGAGCCCAACAGTTGTCAATTCGTGTAACCAACGCGAACGCACGTTTGCGTTCCGAGGAGAACGAATAAATTGTATAACTTTTTATCGCTATGCCTAATAAAAAAAAATAAAAACAACTACATTTTTAATTTCTATCCTGTTATTTCATTTACATACCATCACGTTATCTTACCAGAAGCATTTAGTTAAAAAAAAAATTTGTTTTGGAGGAGCTGGGATTTGAACCCAGGACTTTCAGCATGCGAAGCAGACACTCTACCACTGAGTTACACCCCCAACTTGTAATGAAGTACAAAATTCATGTAGATAAATAGATCCATGCTATTGAAAATACGTTATTTAATTTATTTTACAATTGAATACCAGTATTTAATAGTGTAAATTTATTTTAGAAAATATGCACTGCCATTTTATACCGTCATTATATCATACTGTCTACCATTACCGTAATAGCAGTAACGTATGGAAACTTTTATTGTCACGTGTATGTGACACTTGACATATTAAAACATTTTGCCAGTGCACTAGGTCGAGGCGTCTCGCCAACTATCTTTAATGTAGCATCGATTTGCCCTCCATTAAATTTCAAAGAGTTTCGATTCCTTATCCAGTGACTGAAACAGCCATTTTATACCTGATTCCATAGTGTAGATATGTCCGAGTTCTACAATTCAAATAACCTCGACCTACCATGCCATAATTTCATATCCCTGTATCTGATTGATCAAGAGAAATTTGTCTTTTTTATCGATAAACTAAATAAATGCTGAAGTTAGCTTTTTGGCCTTCATACTTGCTATAGATCTAGGTCAGGATTTATACCGAAAGGACGACAAAATGTCGCCGATTCGTTATGCCGTCCTGACTATTATTCCCCAGCTGGCAGCCGGAGTGTCAGCAGTGCTGTCGAGGTCGGTGCAACTCGTCGTTTGTTAATTATATAAGCAAGTCGTTAATTACAGAGAAACAGGATAATCAAACTGATATGTCTCCGTAGTATCCACCACCATCTTTGAATGAATCGGCCATATTAGTATATCCGTCATCGTATAGATCAAAGATGAAAAAAATGAAATAAAGTCTACTTTTTAGTCCATACATCTTCTATCAAATTTCTAATTAAATTTCGTAATATACAATGGAAAGAATTTTCTAAAAAAATTTCAGCATAAATAAATTTAATTTACTTTATCTTCCTAGTAAGTTCCAACAATACCTACCGCAAGCCAACATGGCCGACCGAATTGACAAGTGAAAAATTTCCAAGGAGCTTTTTCTGCGTAGCTTGAAATAAGCAGAGGATTGCGTGACGAACAGTTGGCTGACCCAAGCGAGAGATTATCGACCCTGCTTGACCGTCTTGACTGGAGTTCTAATGTAAGAAGCCAAATGGCAAGTTCGAGCAGGCCACCAGCAACAGCCAATTTATCTCTAGATCTTGCTAGAATCACATCGCTCGAATTCAACTCTTCTCATATATAGTGAGCGACTCCTTTGTCCAGTCACGGCAAGTCACTAGTTCATTTTTGATATACAGAATTGATTAAACGAAAATTAAGGTAAGACAATTCTGTGGAAGTCCATATAGTATGTGCGTAGTAAACACATAACCTTTATTTGCAGAAATGACGTTTACCTTTCACAAGTAATCCAATTTAACTGAACAAATACTTTTTTGACATTTGACTGACGTGTCATTATTATCCTGTAACATGTATTACATAGTCTTCATGTAAAATATGTATAGGTCAATGACCTTTTACATCGCACAAAGTGTGCTAAAATTTATGATAAAAAATTTGACGATATTTCTATGGAGTGACCGACAATAAATTGCTTGTCAATTCTGGAAGTCCTTTATACAGGATGGGAACGTTATCGAGATTATTTCCCCGAAAGAATTAGCATTTTCCGACACGCCATCTACCAGCGTCCTTCGTTATTCCTAAACGCGACTCTCTAGTTTCGATATAATCGACGTCGGTCGAAAATGGCGCTTTTCGTCGATATACTTTGAATTTTATAATTACGATCATTTTGATCCCCGCAAATACTCCATTATGCTGTACTATGCTGTAAATTAACGTAGGACAACAGCATAACATTATTAATACGTATTATGACCCTCTTACGAAGTTACAAGATACGTAATAATGTCTTCATCTATATGTATATGAAATACTGACATTTTTCATATGAATATAATTCACTTAGCTAAAAACATTACGACCTTTAAACTATACGTCCCTGACTAAATTCATTTACATTTATGTCCATTATTTATTAGCACAGTCCACATATCCACCTACGTGTATCACTGCAATGTTAGAATATCGATACTCCAAACGGATGCAATGTAAGGTAATGCAAAGAATTTTGTAAATTAAATGACTTTTTTTATAGCTCCTAAAAGTGTATGCGTTTATAGAATGTATACACATAAGATCACAATATGGCAAACTGCACTGGTGAACTAGTCGCATGTATTTTAAAAATCAGAATATCCTGTGCAACCTATTTATGGAAGTGCGTCAGCATCACGATAGCGCGAAAATGCATAAATTACATTGCTCTACAGGGTGGCGGACGTTTAGAGGCCATCCCTCCTTGAGCTACCGACGCCATTACTTGTAATGAATTCAATTCCCTTTGTAAGAATTTATAAAATAGCAAAGTTCTACCTGATTACGAATTTCTTATTACAGGCATTGAATAACTCATCACTGAATATTATATTGTGAGGCAGGACATTATTTAATATAGACAAAAAACAGATACGTCAACGGAAAAGAAGGAAAAAAATAGTCACGATGACTGCAATTCTGGAATTTTACGCCGTCCTGTATACGCAGCTATATTCTCCATAGGTGATACAACGTATAACGAAGTCAGTGACTCGAATCGTATGCTCTCGACCGTAAATTCAAGTTTCATTTCGAATAACAATTTATACTTTTCGATGAAAAACATATATTTTGCTTAGCTCCCTCGAGTATTCGAATTACGCAGTGGGATAATTGAATTGTGAAATAATTTTTCGAATTATATTCGGATTAATAACGAATAAATATTTACAAAATTATGAAGACTCAATATCGCAGACGTAATTATATAATCTTACCTTGTGAGATTAAAAAGATACTTAAAAAAAAATTTGTTTGTTACAGTAATAAATTTTATATGTAATTACAGAATTCATTATTTATTGTTTCAAGTATCGGTAAGTATATGAAATAAAAAAATGATTCATTCTCAGCTTCGAATCGGGTAGGGTAGTATAAACTGTGAGTGGGGAGCAATAGTTTTGCCACTGCCTTCTGCGGCCACAGTGTGTAGATCCGTTCGCTAGGGAAACTGTCAGTGTTCCGTAGGATACCGAAGGGTGAACATAGTGCGACTTCCACGCCCGTGAAATTCACGATAATAAAATAATAAAAAGCAAAGGCAGCCACAAATAAAACCATAGAGCCTATTTCTAAGAGAAAATTTGTGTGCTATTTTTATTTAAAGTGACTTTATCGAAGCTTATTAACGATAGAACAGCAAGAGATGAACTGCGCCATGCATCGAAATCTCTTGCTCTCGGTAAGCTAACATTTCAATATTTAAGATATGAAAAATTTTTATTCATAAATCATATTTTTTTATACAATACAAAATTGAGATAACTTGTTATGGCGTATCTTGAGTGTATCAGAATGATACTTGGTGCCTTAAAGCATTAATTCGTTATCGATTATTGTTCGAACACAGTTTCAGCTTAATAATTAATGTGTTTATTTGGAGGACAGGCACTAATAGACATTTTATAATAGTAATTGATTAGTGGATACTGAAAACTTGTTAATGATACGTTCTCCGAATGATTATTGAAATCTGAATTGATAGAAGGAAGGATTGGTGCAGTTGGTAGAAAAAACTGTACTATATTAAAATAATGAATCCCCACCTCCCTTACTAGTTGAAAATATTGATTACACTGTAGAAGCTGAATAATCAAATTACAATGACTAGCCGGTAATACCCCATATTCATGAATAAAGTAAGAATATAGAATTCGAGGATGATTAATCAATTTTGAATTCATTTTTTTAATGGCAAATGAAAGCAACATGCTAACTATTGTATAATTCTTCAGAAATGCACTTTTATCTGATAACAAAAATGATACCATAGTATGTATTGTAATTTGATAAATACAAGAATATATCATTTAAGTCAATATCGAACTATTGTACGATTAATCAGATTCTTAGTAAATTGATCTTGCCGTTCAATTCCGAAATAGCGTAAGCGTAATTACATTTACCCTTATCAGTACGGTGCTTGAACTCAAATATAACGTATTACGGCAAAGTCATTACGTGGGGCTAGTTAATGTCACGAATGGGGTGAAATCAGCTGGCGCCATCTGACGGCAGAAGAGAAAAAGCTCTGGAAAAGTAAAATCAAATTTTTTAAAACCGAAATATTATTTCGCCCTAAGAAATGAAAATGGCACTGTTCCTCATCTCTAGAATTACAAATAAAAAAAAGAATGTAATGCTTGACGTTGACACGATCTCCAATTGATTTCAAAATATTCTAGTCTTAACGGAAATTCGACTTTCCCGAAGGAAGTAAGGACTTACCTAAGTACAAACTTATGCAAGAAACTTTTACATTAGCCGAAAGAAATTGTTCTTGCTCCGAGTGTACTGCGTCAGTGTGGGGGTTGAATAATTGTTGGAAAGAAAGGGGATTACCTTAAACACGTACGACACGTCGTATTTTCACGCCATGCACTTCGGTTCAGCGGTCACATGCCTGTGCCATGTTTTGCCATCGGGTGTGGTTCGTGTATTGTACTTTAACACAAGTGTTTGTAACGTCCGGCAAATGGACGAACACGATGGCAGGTGTTCGCCGACCCTGGCTACTCAGGATACACCATTTCCGCATTTACGCTTTGGTTACCAGTTGATCTGGATGAATTTACGTAGATTTCATTAGAGTGACAACAAGAGAGTCAATGATAGAGACACAGGACGGTTATATTTCATAATTACGAAAATTCATTATTAATTCTAATAAAAAGTAGATACTATTTATTGAATAGATTGAAAATGTGAATTAATGCTTGTAAGAAATTTAAATTGATACCATTTGTTTTATAATACTTTTAATTTACACAGTAATTAAGTACATTGGATTCATGGTGAAGTCCTGCTCTCACAAGATGACGTCGCGATTCAGGACTACCGGTATCGCTTTATTGGGTAAGATTTGACAAGTTCAATGTTTATTTGTATGCTGACAATGAACATTGACATGAATTTTTATTTTATAATATTATTGTATGCACAGCCTGCAGTGTATTCTACATTGTTAATGGTCAGAGTTGTTCGAACGAGGAACATCAAAGATGCGTATCTCTTGCTGATCCTCTTCTCAAGGATCCGCATCTTATTTTTCCTGATAATATTCAGGATATAGATATGGTTTGCAGGTAGCGAAATAAATTATATGTACTTTAAATATATATATTTAATTAGTCTACTAATTTCAATTGACCGAATTCATTTAGTAGCCTTCAAACTTTTTCTCTGAACAATGTTTTACTTACCGCTTGCAAGGGAATTTGGTTAGATAGCATGACAATCATTGTTCTATGGAATTTTCATAGCTTTTGTATTCGCAAGGTTATCCGCCTATCATCAGTCGCGCACAACACGTTTATGGGTGTTCACAATAGGTATGCGTCGCATCAAAAACCATATAATATTACAAATTCAATAGCATGAAACACGCGTGCGTTCAACATTTTAATTTTGTCACCACTATACAGTTACGAAACCGTGAAACTATCGTGAGATGACAATGCTGACAACTTTATTTTTACAAAACAATGATTTCATAATAATACTAGCTATATATATGATTTACATAAATTTATAATAGTGTATTGTTTAAATTTTTACTATTTTTATAGGACATGGACCAGCTTTGTCGATTGCATCACAAGATACATACAAAAATGTTTTACTGAACAAAGGCGGGAACAATTTAATTCTGCTGTTCAACAGCCAATAGCATCTGTGCATCAAATGTGCTCGGTGTCTACGTACCAGACTGGTAAGTTAATAGAGTTTATGTAGGAAGAATTAATTATGAATTAATTTGTACGTTGAACTTTATATAATTGTAATTAAACAGTTTCGTTTGTCTTGTTTAGAGTATTTGAAATACGCCAGCTGCATAAAAGCGACCGTTACCGAATCCGAGCATTGCGGGAATCAATATGCTGCTTTGGTTGACGAAGTTTCTCGTGGTGAAGTTGCTAAAACGAGTCTTTGTTGGTAAGTAAAAGAATTTCAGAGGACCTGGAACCTTACGGTGAAGCACGAATTATTGATAAACAAGAATAAGATTCATGGTTCCATTTTATTTAATTGCAGTTCACACTATCACTTCCGTACTTGCGTAATTTCTGAAGCGAGGAAACGATGCGATGGCAGTCAATCAGGCGGAACTGCGGCTAGATTTTCTAGACAAGTCCTGGATAAAGCTTTGAGTTTTTTGCAGGATCAGTGTCAAAATTATATGTAAGTGTTATTTATGTCATAAATTGTCTAATGACCTTGATTGGTGTTTTACTGAAGTATTTTTTTGCTGGTTTCAGACCAAACAGTGGAGATTGTCCTAATTACAGTACAGAAAATTCTGTTTTATCTGTGAGTCCTCTTGGAGAAGGATTGGAGAATATTTTAGGGACCAGGAGCAGACCTTATCATCGTACAATGCCTACAGACACTTCCTATTCTGGTCAACCTAGTGATAATTATGATTCAGATAGTAATTCTGCATTACCAAATGGTTTCAGAAGTACTGGTCGATCTTTAAATCTATCTCCAAGTAATCATTTAGGATAATTAATCAAATTTCATAATGTAAATAGATATATTAAAGTAAGGTCTTATGATTTCTTAAATGTTTTGTAGCAAAGGAACCTGACAGGGAAGAAGTCTGGTCACCAGCAACAGGATTGTCAATCAGTAATGTTCCTATGAGGACTACAGCTAATAAAATGGAAGGTTCGATGACACCAACTAAAGTTGGTGGAGATATGGAAGGGGAAATGATAGCACAGGTAGAATCGACAGCAACAAATTTTGTGCATCATGACGAACAACCAGGTAATAGTCTTCTGAACAGCCCCTATAGATAAAAGTACTATGAATGTGCTGTTAGATTCACTGAATTATAAAAGTGCCAAATTAAATTTTTGCCTTTGGCTTTAATATGTCTGCAGCTGTTGTTGTTACACAAAGACCAGCTACATATGGCAGAGGTATGTCTTGGACTTCACCAGCTAATGAACCAACATCAGAAGTACCAGCCTGGGCTACAAGTACTTGGCAAGGTTCTGATCAGGTAAAATATTCCAACCTATTAAATTACACATTTTATAATAAAGAATTTATATTAAAAGAACTGTTCTTTGTCGAGCATTTGTATTTTATTTTGATTTTTTTTTAGATACCGGTAACCGATGAGTCCTGGTTTTCAGGACTTCCAGCCGGAAGTTTCGGCGGAAATCACATCGATGAGCCGAATCAGCAAGGCCTCTCAAAGAACGGCCAAGTAGTTTTGAGAAGCAGCGTCTACATCCTCGGGATTGCTATCAGTACTTTTTATTTACTGTGAAAAGTTTCATTTGCGCGATACCTTTTCCTCAGACGAGGGAAAATAGTGGTTTTCAGATATGATGGGGATAAAAGAATTTTGATTGATGAAAAATGCAGACTTATCTATTGGCTCCATCTTGTGTTGCATGCTAGAAGTAAAATTGGCGTTAAAGGTGCTACGATTTGATGTTACCACGTTCACCGAAAGTGAACGCATTTTTAAATCCAATAATTGGTATTAATTTAAAACGGCCGAATCTGCTTTATTACTGTGAGAAGCAGTATCGTTTTCCAGCATTGTAATTGCATCGCATTGTATAAATACTTGATTGAGAGAAGAAAGAAAGAGTAATTATTAGTGCTAAGGCGGTAACGGCTGTTGGTATTATTATCGTTGAATCTGTTACATAGACATTTTTATATATATACATCCTTTACTATACTCGTTGAAAGTTGCTTTGGTGACAATGGACGAAGTGTCGTGTATATGAAAATGAAGATGATTGAATGATAAAGAAAATATAGTAGGTAAAAGAAGTGTCTAGTCGGTCGTAAACTCAGAAAGTCTTTTCCAGTGTTAGATCCTCAATCTCGGATTATACAGAATAATTCTCATTATAGTAATTCTACTTTTGATGTAATTTTAAAGCATTATTGATGTATTTCACTGTTACGCGCACGTGCTGGACTATAACCGCGTTTCTAACTAAATATTCAAAAGGAATATTTCAAAGAATCAATCAATCAGTCAATCAACCTTGATGCAAGGTTTTACAACTTTTAATCCTCATAAAATACCGAATCATCTCGGTATTGAAAATATATGTGACACAGATATTAATAAAATTCATTCTTGGACAAGTAGCGAAAAAGACTTCTAAAAGCTGACGCTCTTGAGAAATTCAGGAAATTCTCATAGAGATATTTTAGATCCATTAACTTTAACGGTGACACATGGGTAGGAGATTAATAAAGAATGATTTAAAAATCATCACTATTATTGTAGTCATTAGAGATTTACAGCATACTATACAGGAGACACAGGATTCTTTATATTTAACGTATGACCATTTTATATCTTATTTTCCTGATACAATATAAAAACAAAATAACCACCTTTGGAGGTAGCCATTTCTCTGTATTAATGTATATGATTCTGCTGTGCAAGTATTAAAAATTTCTAACAGAGAATAAAACAATTGTTTTCTCGTTTAAACGTAAGACGTTGAATCGAATGCTATTTTATTCCTTGTTTTATTCTCTTATTATTTTCAATGTAGGCCATATATTAATTTCTACGCTTTTGCAATGGATTCGTGTGAGTTTTAAAAATCATCGTGTTATAATATTTTTTTTTTATTTCCGTCTATTCGTCAGAAAAGAAAATTGTTTGCAGTACAAAAAAAGTGGCTTTTAATCCATAGGAGTGTACAATAGCATTTTAAAGCTCTAATTCCAAATATTTAAATAAACTATCTCCATTAAAATCTATGACTCGTCTAAATATTGTTTATCGCTTGTAAATATATCAAAATGTGAAAAAAAATTAAAGTTAAAGAAAGAGACAGCAAAGAAACACTACACGAATCCCTTGGTCGAATCTACTGTTAATTGTTCGTTAAACAATAATGTGTAAATAAACGCGATAATCACATAGTACGATCTCTGTGAGAATATGTTTGAAACTTAATAATAATAATGGGACCCACTATAACAATCTACAATGATTCTCTATGAAGATAAGGATTATTGTAAAGTCCCGTTTGGTCGATGGCACGGTCTAAGCATCTAATATAATCGAGTCTCAGAGAATTATCATTACAGTTACATATGGTATCTAGATTTTTGTCTATTAGATAGTTAGACATACGATTCTTCCATAGTTCTCTTACTTCATCCTCCATCTTTCTTTTTTTTTATACACAATATAATATTCTTTGGTCTTAAAATTCTGTCTGATACCTAAGAAACGTATAAGGTTCTTCTATATAGTACGGTGCTCCTCGACGAGTCACGGATTGGCACACAGCCATTTCATTTTTAAAAAATTTCAATTTCCCTCACTCGTCAGCATCCACGAGGACGATGATGGTTGATCGTACAAAGACGCTAGGCGTTGGGACGCTCCTAATTGACTTTCTAGATGCGCGAGAGGCTACCGTGTTATTGCACAGCTTTGTTGTTCCGCCTTGTTTCTTCTTTTTTTTTTGTTTGACAACAAATTTGACAGAATATCTAGAGACAGGACCGGCCATTAATTCCGTGACTCTCGAATTATAAAAGTTTCTGCAATATGGAGGTGACATCCTCCATAATATGACAACATCCGTCATTCAGAAAGAGAGTAGGAGTCAATTATTAAAACGTCCATGACCTCCGATTTATAACTTATGTCGACTTCGAGATGGAACACCGAATACCAAATATACAAAATATGAAAATTTTGCCACCGCGGGAAATTTTTTGAAAAAATAGGTTGTCACGGCCGGCGACATACATGGTGTATTCGGTATTCGACATTTTAGATGGCAGAAGCTGTTATCGTATAGTTGAGTATATAAATGATTGGTTTAACTAAGACGTAAATCAAGATGCTCAACTATTAGATAAAGTTCTACGTTAATTTTGGACACACTCTATCCCTCAAGCACGATCATTCACACATGATACGCATGTAACTTCTACGCCTAATATCGTCCACTAGTTAATTCATAATTTATCCTTTTATCAGCTTCCTTTGTTTTCTTCTTCCTCCGTATCTCCCGGGCAGAAGGTACGAATTATCAGATAAAACGTCCACTAGGATATCCTCGCAAAACTTAACTTACAGCGGATAATACTTTTTCTGATAAAATATATATACATCGCTCTGTGTAGTACGTCAGTCTCTTAAGCCACTGGAGAACGAATAACCTGAATGGCACATCTAACCGTTTCAATTAGCTCAAAGTGATCCGCCATTTTGGTTCGGTGCTGTACCAAATCTTTGAAAATTAAGCAAATGAAACGAGTATACAAAAGGTGACGAATTAATTGGAAATAAAATATATGGAATATTTCATAAAAGTTGGTGACGTTGTCGCCACTGTCGTCGGAAATGGATTGAGAACCAAGATTGATCGGGTCAGGCGATAAAGAAATAATTGACACCAATCGATCTGCGACGACAGAGGAAAAGTTAACGACAAATGTCATCACGATTATTAGGACGCGCTCTAATACATCTCTTGTCTATACGACAACTATCTTGTGATTGTTGCCATTTGGCAAGAGAACGTAATAGACACGCTTCCCCTTATCTCATTGAAACTGCTGCACATTCCCGTGATACTGGTTACTTGTGAATGCCCCATTATTCGTCTGATCATTTCTTTCAATGACACTTTGTATTTCCACGACCGATGTACCACTCTGTCCATTGCTGGGATTTATATTTGCTGCAGAATTGGTAACATTGCTGGAAGTAACATTGACTCCGTTAGGCGTCGTCGACGGTTGCAGCTGCTGCTGCTGTTGCACGTTTGACGTATTGTTTCCATGATTACTATTGTTCTTAGACCTGTGTCTTAGTTTATGAGTAGTTAGATACTGCTTTACGGAGAAGGCCTTCATACAGATGTCACACTTATAAGGTAGAGGATCCTGACATCCAATACCGCCGACGATGCTTGGTGCATGCGTGGTAAGATGCATCAAGTAATAATGTTTTACAACAAAGGATTTGCCACACGTCTCGCATATGTAAGGCCCCGACACCCCATGGGTTTTGCGATGCTTGTGAAGATTATCCTTACGTGAAAAACTTTTCCCGCACATCTCGCACTCGTGCATCTTCTGCCCGGTGTGAGAGACCGAATGTCGCACCAGGTGTTCCTTGCGGCTGAACGCTTTGGCGCAGGTTGTACATACATAAGGACGTTCCCCAGTGTGGAGTTTCCGGTGTTGAAATAGATGCTCTTTCCTCTTGAATGGTTTGCCGCAAACGTCGCAGCTGAAGGAACTGCCGTTCGTTTGCGCGCTCTCGTCCTTAATGCCTACGTCTGATACTTCGCTCAGTAGTGGCTGTGCTGTACATGTGTGACCGTTTAGCTGACTGTTCGAGGAGAAGTTTTCACCGCATTCACAACATATGATATTGCGGGACGACTGTGATATTGCCTGGGGATTTACGGTAATAAGAGACGTGGATTCCGGGACTGTCCGTATCCTGAGGAATTCGGATATCTGACCAATGGAACTGCGGGAGACGCCGTCGTCAGAGTTGTTCTTTACATAGTCTTTGAATTCCTTATCGTCTCTTCCCGAGGCGGCTTGGGCAGCCAAAGCAGCTTCCTTGAAGCCTAGACTTAGCAGAACCTCTGGGGATGCTTGGACAGTCGTATAGGTTTGCACATTTGGGTTACCAGCATCGTTTTCCTGAGACTCAGCTTGAACCTTCCTTATCACTTGCTGGCTTTGTTCCACGGTCGGCTCACTTTTTAGTATTACGTTGTTGTTCTGATGTTGGACTATCTGCGCCTGTTGTTGCTGCTGATGCTGCTGCGCGTCCTGTTGCGAAATCTGCACCTGTTGCTTCTCAATTTGTTGCAGTTGCCGTTGTTGTTTCTCGAACTCGCGATGCTGTCGTTGCAGTTGTTGTATCTGCTGTGTGATCTGTGCTTGTGGTTGTTGCTGTCCTATCTGCTGCGAAGGATTTTGTTGTTGATTTATTTGAGTCGGTTGAGTCTGTTGCTGATTCAATTGACGCTGTGGCTGGATTTGTTGGGTTATTTGACTTTGGCTCTGTATTTGATTTTGAACTTGCTGCATCTGCGCAGTCTGTGGTTGATTCTGCTGTTGAGGCAATTGACTTTGCGTTTGATTGGTTTGCGGCTGTTGCTGTTGCGTTACTGGTTGCGAGGTCTGTTGTTGGTAGCTGTAGTGTGTCTCTGCCGTTGCTTCCAGAACTGCCGCCGCGACGCCACCTGGTTGCATCTGTAAAGAGAAGTAAAGTATCGGCCTTTTTATACCAAGGACCATCTCGATATCCTTCAGTTGTGTTACGAAGTGGATGATATGCTAACAGGAGCGGTTCCTAGTGATTTGGTGCGAATTTTCTCAACTACTCGTATTTTCCTTGGAAACCAACCTGCATAGCACATTTGTATTGCTGCACCCTTGCCTGCACTCCACTGATTATTTGAATATTTGACCCATTGACATTGCTGACAACAAGGGATTGTGGGTGTTGTTGCTGTTGGGACTGTTCCTCCGTCGTAGCTATCTGATTAGCTGAAACTTGTGATGGAGATGGAATTTTCTCTAGTTTCAATGGATCTTCCTGAGGACTAGATGGTCTTTCTTTCACGTTACTTTTCACATAGACCTTGCCTTCTTTAAGGAAGTCCTCTGAGAATCGCAAGGACGTAAAGTATGATTCCAACATTCCTTCAGCACTGACAACAGTTTCTCTAAATTCAATGTAACTCTCCAGCTTCTTTACACATTCGTGACAGACTATCTTTGGCAATGAATCTCCTTCGAGAACCTAAAACATATTAATAGCACATCAAATGATACATATTTTGATCACTATAAATGAATCATTTCAACAATCTTAATATACTAGCCAAAAAACCCTTATAAACATTTCTATGAAATATGAAATAAATACATTCTATTTCCCAATCCCCAACTAACCTTCTGACAAACATAATGTACATTAAAATTCTTTAGTCACATCAGTATAAAATTCTCAATGACACACGACAATAAAAAGTACTGAAGCCAATAAAAATTCATAATTGAATAGAGCATTATACTAAGTGTCAAACTAACAATAATAATACATTTCGAATGAGCAACGCAACAAAGATGAAACAGTAATAGAAATAAACTCAACCTGTATAGGCAAATAAGTCTGTATTTTCGTTTGCAATTGTCGCCTGCGACCCTCATCACGAAAAATATTAATTTTATCTCCTTCGCTGCTCGTGCACAATCTGCATAACTCGTAGTAGTTGACCCTGCGGTATCCTGACATTGTTTTATCCCCTATGTAGCCGAGGCCACTACGTTCCGGATAAGAAATTGCGACAAATTTCACACGCGGCACGAAAACCGCGCGTTCACGCCCTGTATAATAGACCAAACATTACTCGCGACTTTTATTCATCCAAGGAAACGTGACATTTGTTGTCATCGGGTATCTCCGGTCCCCGTGAGTATCAACTGCGGCCATTTGCAACTTTGCTTCAACACTCGATAGCATTGTGGCGCTGAATTTATGAAACACAGATGTTGCAGCATGTGGTTCCGAGTCGTCAAAGTACCAAAAGTCGAAACTGCGATCAAAATTGATGATCTCTGATAAGGTTGAATGATCTTTGAATCTTTGACTTTATCACTTGCTTTCATTTTCTAAGCAATCAATTAATAAGACGAATGAATACTAATTTAAAACTATCCACTTGTTAATCTACAGTAGTTCACGAAGGCTACGAAGTATGTTTATAACGATTTTGGGTGCGAATTTTTAAAAAGATTGCAATTGGTCAAATTTAGAGATTCAATAACAAATATGTTCAATTCTTGCTTAAAAGGTGGATCTAGGATCATGTCAATATTGTATAATATAGATAATTCGTAGTAAAAAATGAATATTTTGAACTTCTTATATACTTCGAGATGTATCGATATTTATTCTGTCAGGGCTGCTAACTGTGTCGCCATTGTCTTTTACCGGAAGGTTTTGTCTGCTTCGGCTGGCTTCGGCCACTTCGTAGATCATCGGGATCGTCGTCGGTTGTCGTCATCGTAGTTCGCCATTGCTGTCTTTACAGACGAATTTTCTTTGGGGTGTTAACGAATATTACGAACAAAATGTTGAACCAAATAGTGCGGCCACTTGTGCGTCAGGCTGCAACGAAAGGTAGACAAATCAATTACGATAATTTGCGTTACGTTTCACTTAAAATGAAGCGTTGCGTAAGTTTTCTATGAGCAGTTACGTATTGTGAAGAATACATCACCTTAGCAATAGTCAAACTTTTTATACAGACGACATTACGTAATAATTGTTTAATTAACGCTTAGCAGTGTTTTTTTATTATTTTAACTTCTTTTCTTTTATAAATTTGACAGTTCTGACATTCAGAATGAAAATAATGGGAATTTTCTCATTTGTTCCTTGGTTATCTGGCGTAAATTGTCATGTAGTTTCTTGTTGTACCGATACCAGAATAGAAATGATAAATAATTATACTGATGATAGAATTTATGACTGTTAATGTTATATATTAATTTATAATATTATATATGTTAAGGAGCACGCTCTTATCATCCTCCATCCACTCTAAAAAACACAACCATGGATGATTTACCCAAACCACAGGGATCATGGCAGAAATATCATGAAGAGCAACAAAAAAAATTTAATATGCAGTTAATTGCTGGGATTGCTCTGTTTACTGCTACATTCACTTTTGTATGTATTCATTTATCTTTTACACATTTTTTTTCTGTTCATTATTAATATTACTCAATAATGTTTGTTGCAGGCTCAACTCAATGGCTTCTTATACTTGAATTACTATCCTCCGACTCCTAAGGAAGAAAAGTAAAGGTGGTGCTGTGTAAAATTATGTAGGCTATTAAGTAACTATTCGTGCTATTGTATGACAGCTGTTTGGATCCCTGGATAAAGGTTTAGGGATATTGAATTAGTCGTTTCATTTCCGGCTGAATAAACGCTGTTAATATTGTATACACACCCTTTAAATGAATGCATTTACAGAAGTATTTGCAAATGAGAGAGGAATAGGATGTAAAAATATATAAAGAGCTTCCTGCTTTTTTTTTAACTAAATAGCTATATTTAAATTATTATCTGCAAAATTATACACATATATCGCAGAACTATATTACTGTAATATATTATGATTTAATGTTATTTACACTTTCAAAGGATCGAACTTTTGATATTTTGGGGTTTAGTGAGATCGCGCTATTTCCGAAAAGAATTCTAAAATATCTTGTATGGTAAATTCTAAAGTTACCATACTGTCCGGATAACAGCGCTGGATCAGTTCTTCAATGTAGATATACTGTGCGATAAATTCTCCCTGCATCTCGCGCCATACAACCTGTTTCATAAAATTGTCACTAATGAATGAAACCTATTATGATGAAGTATTATGAACTTTGTTGTACAGTACGGAAGATTACCTGAAGCAAATTTTCCTCCTCGCACAAGTGTTTCTCAACCTTTCTGTACAAATTCTCCAGCCCTTTCTTTACTTCTCTTGCTGGATACTCTTTAACTACTCTTCGTAATTCCTGTTTACTAAAGGCCATTTGATAACTAATTTCTGATTCCTTAACACCAGCGCCTACTTTTGCTTGGACTCCTTCGAAGAATAGCTGATGAGAGTAGAATATGAAAGAAAAAGAAAGATGAGAAATAATAGTAGGGTAATATAATAAAATTATAATATATTAAATTTACGTTTAGTTTCTCTAAAGGCCGCCCAAAATATTGTATAACATAAGCTCTTAAAGCATCATGATATTTTTGCTTCGCTTCTTTACGTTCGTGATCCAACACAGAGATTTTTAATTGAGACAGAAGATCGTAAAGATGATGAAAGTTCTCTGAAATGAAAATAATCAAAACATGAGCATACACTTAACTAATACAAAATTAATTTTAGCCACATACCCATTTTAATAACTTCCTGTGGCGTTTTATGATGTTCTGCACTATGAATAACAATGGCCTCGAACATGGCACTGACCAATTTCGTGTACCATTTCTCAAGGTCAATTTTTCTGTCTGAATTCTTGAAGATCTTCTCTGCAGTTCTAGCAAAGTTCTCAAAGTTCTCCACGTACGGCAGTATACCACACTTATTCCTGCGATTGACCTTAGTGTCGCGTAAAATAGATTGAAGCTGGGCTTGCATGAATTTGTCGAATGACCTTTTGACTTGGACAAGTGCAGAAGCAAAGGTCATCGACAGGAACGATCCAGTATCCTGTGCTGACATTACGTGTTGAGATAACCGCACCAGGACGAACATACACCAACTGAAAATAAATGATCAATATAATTTCTATCTTAAGCCAGGATTATAGGAAGGACCTACAAGCTGTCTATTTTATCTAGATATGATATAAAGTTATTCAGTTCCGGTTCCAAAGAAGGAAATATGGCAGCCATGGTCGCTCGCACTTCCTCGTTGAGTTGGCGTTCCAATTTTTTACTAGCTGTTGAAGTGGCTGATCCAGGACTTGTTGCTCCGTTACTCATATTATCAACCTCATCAGCTTCACTGCCCTGAGGATCAGAAAACACAACTAGAAATTATATCAAAAAACTGTAAGACAATATAAGAACCATGTATTTACCTTCGATGGGGACAGAACGGAGTCCAGTTGAAGGAAGGATATACAAAAGGCTTGTTCAGCTAGGCAAACCGGTTGCATCTGAGATAGGGCACGATCCAAAACAGAGTCCAGGAAAGCACCTTCACCTTGAGGCGCCCAGATTTCACCGCCAAGAAGACAAATCGGTGCTGCTGGCACCAGGTCCTCGCCTTTCTGCCCACTGGACTTTGATGGGTTGTCTGAAAGGTAGATGGATGTCTTCCTTTTTCTTGGATATCATAATGATGTTTGATTTTCTCATCGATTCCTACTGTGAAGTCGTTTCCCGATTAGACGCGTCTTGGCCTCCTCGAAGAAGAGCTTCAAGTCCCTTTGATACAATTTACTCATTGTGCCCGTGTAGACCTTTGTTAATTGCATGAATGCTTTGTTATCCAGGGCCCGCAGTAGTCGCATCAGTTCTGTATAAGGTTCTAGTTCACGATGAACTGTCTGATGAGCTGGCAGTGTTAAGTCTGTTGTCGATGCTGGAGTCTCGCCAATATCGTTTCCCTATTAGAGACCATATTAATTAGCAGAACTTCATTAGTTTCAAGTAATTGTTTTAATATGATTGATTACCAGATGAATAAAAAGATTGTTTAAATGTCTAGCAACTATTAATGAAAATTTCGCTTTCAGTTTATCCAGGCGTCTTCTTTGTTCTGAGACCGCACCGAGTCTGTCGAGCCCCGGAGGAAGTGGAGCTTGCATTGCTTTTAATAATGCAGTACCTGCTAGACTTAGTTCCTCTCGACCACCAGGAAGCTCCGCTTCACTGAGGACACGTTGATGTTTAGCCGGAATATCCAGTTGAGTCTTATGAACGAAAATTATAGGTCAATTTATAATTAAAAGAATAGAATTTTTTCTCGGTCTTGATATTTACTATTACAGCATCCAATTGTTCCAAGAGTAGTCTAGCATTGTGATTCGCTGTATGAATTGCTTGATTCTTCTGGCCCACTCTAGCCATTGCTTCTCTTATCCTACCAAGAGCTTCGTCGTACACTGCAAGTCGAGCTTCTACAAGGGAAGCTTCTGTAATAGCTTCTTCAATACCATTCATGAGTTGTGTTACTTGAGTTTCAGATGCAAGAACTGATTGAACATTTTCCTAAAAGATACAATAGATACTGTCTTTTTTTCTTGCTTTAAACTCTAGACTGTTGGCGAAAATTATCGTATAAAATTTTCATACCCCATCAAGAACCGACAGATCCTTTGAAAGAGTCTCCATGAAAAGTTCTGCGTTAGATACTGCATAATCGCATCCTGACATTAAAGTCGCCAAATCTGCTGCTTCCTTATCGGTTATTGGTTGATAATCAGATGGGATAGGAGATGCCAGTAAATCTATAATGTTATTAGATAATGATTTTCTATCAATAAATATACTCTTTAATATTCTTGCGAAATAAGAGCTATGCAGTAAGAGTCAGTGCTTGTGAATGAGAATATGTGAGCTGCATACTAATAATAAGTGCTTAAAGGGCCAGTATGTTATCATGCTAACTTGGGAAGCAAGGTTAATTATATGCACAAGTTTGAAGGTCATGACTCTGACCAATATTATTCTTTATGGGAAACCCTTGAAGAATGATGGAACATGAAAACACACCTGGTGTAAAACTTATACTGTCGCTCTCCTTCAATGTGACTGGATCCATCAGCCAATCCTTCGGAATATTCTTGAATGTTGGTCTCTGTGGTAGACTGCATGAGTAAGTATACAAATTGCTTATGAATGTTCGTCGTTCTTGTGCTGTTGTAGCAGACCATTTGTAGACTTTGTCAATATGTAATTCTAAATCAAGAGAATCAGGAGTAACACTGTCTACTGTTTGTATATCGGTAAGAGGCCAAGATTGCTTTTTCTTGAAGACATTCTTATCGTTCTTCTTAACCTGGTAAAGTAACAGTACTCCCGGTGTATCTGTAGTTGTTGTCAAACACAGAAAGCTTGTTTTCTTTTTTTTATATGCTTTGCTCACGTAGCATACACTTAAAAGTTTCTCATCATTTGGCATGAAGATTTCACGTTGTAATGTATGGCGAATTGCTGCCATTGTGTATAAATAATAATCTGTACTCTCCTCAAATCAATTGTAGAACCTTCCGACGTTGTCATGTAGTTTCCATAAACTAGCGTAGTTCTTGCCTTAAAAGAGAAAATTTTAATATCAGCTTAATTAATGAAATTTGTAAAGCATTATTGTAAAGGAGAAAATAAATTGTGAAATATACAAAACTGATGAACAAGTTGCAGAAGTGCGTTAATCGAAAATTAACATTAATATTACATATGAAAAATAAATTAAATGTCCTTACATATTATTCACTCTTACCAAGACAGTAGCATATGCAATCCTTATTGGTTCTACGACTGCTTAAAATAGTCTTATTTATTTTAACATGTATGCATGTCATTATTTTGACAGAGAGGCGTAACCAGAGCCCATGCTCCATATATACTGAAGTTGTACGCAATCGTACGAAATAATCGCAGCAGTAACAACTACCTTCACACAACTGTACAAATAGCGGGAAGTAGTTTAAATCTCATCTTTCCACATTAGTATTATACATACTAATATAACTATCATAATTCGGTTAATATTCTCAATAAACAACAATAAAACGCAAAAAACACTTATGAGCACTTCATATTACGTTAAAACTGTAACACTATATATGCGTCAGCATTGCACAACAACATTAAATGAAAACATTGCTCAATTAAATACACCTTGGAGAAGTACGTGATATTTTTCTCAATATTTAGGTCATTAGAACACAACACGATGCGTTATCTTTTATGTTATCTTATGATCCAATTCAGTAGTCATCGTCTTCGTAAATCTTTTAATTCCAATGATTCTCCAATGTAGAATACCAACATGTTTATCAGGCTCTTATCTAAATGGAATGTTTTTAAAAGTATAGGATTTTAATGTTCAGGACACCAGGAATTGTTTTTTCATAGAATCAATCAACAAGGAAAAAAATAAATTGAATTGAACGAAGAAGCCAGAGAATGATAAAGTTACTTAAATATTAAAAAAAAAAATAAAAAACTGTTTGTTATTTAAATATATCGGCGTAACGTATAACGTATACGTGTAAAATAGTTGATACAAGTGCTTGGAATGCAAAGAAAATAATCTTTCTTCTTATTTTAACGAGATAACTCCCACCGCTTATCCTATCGGAATTTTTCAAACACTGCGTATCCGTAATGCCAAAATTATCGATTACCTCTTATCCTATCCTAGATGATACTACACTCACAGAGCATATAAGATATACAACTGTCAATCATTACTACTTCAATTTTATTAATGATAAAGCCTATCAGACATGATATATTTATGATTGCTTTATACGGATTTATACGAAAGCTAAAGATTTCTAGATCTGCGTGGCAGGTGAGTTCGTTATCGTTACTGTCACTAAACACTCTCTATAAGTATCAATTATCAAAGAAACCGAACGCAGTATGAGTGGGAATGATTACAAGGAGCAACAAGGAACAGTGGATTTAATGTAAGTGTTAAATTAATACCTTTCGTTCATTGTCACTTGTAATAATGACAGAATAGCAGATAAACAAAAACAAGAAAAATTATTGTGAATTCAAGTTTGTTGAAAATGTTCTGCTTTCTTTCCTTTCTATTTTTTTCGAATTTTACCTAAGCCTCTCACGAAACAATTAGGTGCTTTTGGTGGGCCGTTCAATCGAATCGTGAATTAAATTTTACGATGTGTATTTTCAAGGTAACACGATTTCATTGTATCTGTATAACGTGTCAGGGATAAAGCCTTCGACGTGAGTTTCTTCTTTTACCGAACTAACTGAATGCAAAGCTTGACTATTGGTTGGCTCGAATGGAAGGTTTTTTAAATGACCAATAACACAGCTTTGTGTGGAGCTGTGTCAACTCGGGATGTATAAATGAAAAACTTATGGAGCTACCAAGTTGTTTGCAAATATTAGCACGCACTGTGCCAGAACTTGACAGTTTCACGAAGTCTCTTCAATTGGTTACATCGTATCAAGAAACATAATAACATACTATATATATAGATTTCGGATATTAAAGTGATTTCTGGTAATCAATTTACTGATTTCATTTCAAGTTATCTTTGACCGAATTCGATAAATTTTTATGTGTCATTGATAATTTATATAATACGTGTAACAATCGTACTTGTGAAATGTATGAGCTTCTCAGATTGTTGGAGCAAAGCTACTAAATTGAAGTGTCAAAGTACTAATTTCTGGTACCAGTATATTGTATTTAATAAATAAAATAGGATAATATATTTTTGTTCTATTCATTGTTCATCTGATCTATTATATTATTCAATAGCGTGATTATAAAGTAGCGTAACTTCTACCTATAACGTGATAAAATAATTAGACTGAATTATCAAAACGGTATAGTGCATTATGAATATATTTATGAGACCCTATCGTAATGTTTTTGATATTTGTATTCTGTACTACAGTCTACAGTAATATATATATACAGGGTGTTCGTTATGAAACGCACTGTAGTAACACTGTTCGGATAAGCGCGTTTCCTCCATAGAGTTAATACAGATAGAGCAGACAAGCTAGCTCTCAACCCGGCAGCGGCGAAGAGAGAGATAGATGCAAATCAGGGTGCAAAGACGGATAGCTAAAGGGGTTCAGCTATCTCTTTCTTTCTCATTATGAGCGAACGGACACTTCCACTTGCAGAGCAGCCTATGGCTTGTCTGCTCTATCTGTATTAACTCTATGGTTTCCTCTTTTGCGGGGCACTTATGTAATTTACACTTACCCATGATGTCTTTTAAGAGGAACTAATGGAAGAAACTGCACAGTATTCTTTAACATCTTGATAACACTGAAAGCTTAAACAGTATTTAAATTGACAGTGTCAAGAAGAAGAAGTACCAAGCGACCATGAAATTTCTTTGTCCCATAAGAAGCGGAAGAGAGATGGATAGATCTGGGGAGAAAGAAGATAATGGTAAAGAATTGAAAATATTTTGAAAAAAATATTTTTCTTTTTAATTGTCGTATTAACGGTGTAATTTCGTTCGATGCAGACAGGGATATACCAGGAATGCATCAGATGGATAAAATGGGTTTATACCAGATCACTATGTATATTATTATCAGTATACCTTTACTTCTTTCTGCTGGTTTCACAGTGGGTTACGTTTTTTCTGCTGGTGACGTAAAATACAGGTCGGTTCACTTCTTGTTCATGTTTACATCGTCTAGTAGTTATATTATCTTTAATAGACTGTATTCTTTATTTTTGAAAGTACTTGTTATTCAGATGCTTCGTTCCGGAATGTGAGGATCCGTTGAATACGACATATAGTACAACCTGGTCATCATACTCGGTACCCTTTACCAGCTGTACCAGATACTTGGTGCATAATGTATCTGAAACGGACGTCTGCACGGAATCCTCGTTTACCAATGAAACTGAACGTTGCGAATCCTGGGTTTATGATTCTACTGAACGGACCATTTTGAATGAAGTAAAAAGAAAATATAGAATAAATATAACACTGTCATATAAAATATGTACAAAGAATCGGTCTATTAATTAAGAAAAACAATTATTCTGCAGTGGGACCTCACGTGCAAAAATAACCAATGGAAACTTACCCTGGTAGGAACGATAAATAATATTGGTCAATTCGTTGGACTTATATTTACCGGCTACTTGTCAGACAGGTAAGATTTTTTATTGCTGGACTAGACAGAGCGTTTATACGATATTTACTAATTCTCTTGTTCCTATGTAGATTTGGACGAAGAACAGTACTTACGTTCTCAACATTTATTACCGGTGTCGTTGGTCTTTTTCATTCGTTTTCCGTGAATTATTGGATGTTTCTCGTTTGCGAATTCCTGGTTGCAGTAGCAGCTGCCGGTATTTACAGTGCTGGATTTATACTAGGTATGTCTCAGTACGTACGCTTACCGGCAGATGGCAGTCGAAACTAAAATTTTAATTATAAGTCAGAATGAACTTTTTTTCTCTTGCTTTCAGGAGTCGAGCTCGTTGGCGTCAAGCAAAGAGTTTTCGGAGGAACAATAATAAGTTGTATGTACGCCGTGGGAGAAATTTGTCTAGGTTTAATAGCAATGTGGTTAAAATCCTGGCGTGTTATTCTTAGAATGGTATATGGGCCCGCATTATTGGCTATTGCCTTGCCGCTTATAATACCAGAATCGATTAGGTAAGAATTATCTAAGCAAACATAAAAAAGCGAGACAATGGATTGTCTACGTGAACGAATTATCTTTAAAGGTGGTTGGTGACGAAAAGAAAAGGCGACGAGATTGTGAAGATTTTTAAAAGAATGGCGTGGATGAATAGAATAGAAATATCCGAGGAGGCTATATTGAAATTCAAAGAAATGAAATCAGAATACGAAAAGGTATTAAGACGCATAATACAAGAAGTAATCTGATGATTAATTTTCTCTGAATTATATTTTTTTTAGCAATCTCTAAAAGAACCAATTGACAAATTAAATCTCAAACAAGTTCTCAGCAGATCTAAAATTCTCATTCGATTGCTGGTGTGCATTTTCTGCTGGGTGACAAATACTTTCGTCTATTACGGACTCTCCTTAAATTCCGTAGCTGTTGCGGGTGACAAATACCTGAATTTTATACTAGTGTCAGCAGTGGAGATACCTGCTTATTTCATTGCTTGGATATTAATTGAGCATGTCGGTAGAAAACCAGCATTGTTCATGTCCTTTATTTTGAGTGGATTATTTTGTCTGGCAATCGATTTCGTTCCGTCAGGTGCGCTGAAAAATGATAAGGAAATATATAATAAAAAGATCCCTAAGACCAAAGTAGTAACAATATTTATTTATATTCAGGAACGTGGACGTATCTTCCTCTGGTGTTATACATGGGCGGTAAAGGCTGCATAACAATGGCATTTGGAATAATTTACATTTACACTGCAGAAATGTTCCCCACGTCACTCAGGCATTCCTTGTTAGGAATATGTAGTATGACTGGACGTATAGGATCAATATTGGCACCGCAAACTCCATTATTGGTAATTTAAAAATAAGTTTAAGCATTCGAAATTGTTTTGAAAATTAGGTAAATATTTTATTTATGTTTAACACCCGTTATTTTCCATTTAGGGAAGCATATCCGAGAGCCTCCCACTTATACTATTTGGCAGCATGGGGCTGATCGCTGGTTTTCTCTCGTTAATCTTTCCGGAAACTCTCGGTACGAAACTTCCGGATACGCTTTACGAAACAGAAAATATTGGCAAGGATTTGAAAAAGAATCATAAGGAATGGTCATCGTCGTGAAAGTAAAACTTGAAGGAACAACATTGTAAACGCATCTAAGTTAGTGAATCCCTCAGAAAATCTCCAATCATCATTTTCTATGTAATTAACAATGCGACTTCAGCATTTATCTCGACGTTGTTATTTACGTCGTAATAAAGAACGAAGCATTATTTTACTCTATAACAATGTCTACATTTACAATTAACCCAATTAAAACTTCTTGTAAACATCATGATCAGTATTTTCAGTTTATCCTCCAGATAACAATAAACCGATAACCGATAAGCAATGAGACCGTTATCAAATCCGCAATCAGTCATACAAATAAACTGATCCAGTAATCGAATGACTTACCAAATCAATAGAATAATCCATATAGAACTCGTTCAGAGTATGTCATCAAGAGGCTAAGATTGTAATATCAGTCATCGCTCATCCTTCATCCTCGAATGGAAAAATACGACACTGGCGCCACCGGCGAAAATCTTATGTTATCTATTTATCTATTTATATATGGTTATTTATCTAAAAATGTAAAATTCGCTTTGTGGATTGAGAATCAAAAGAATATCCACATAACGTATACCTTATCCCTTGCTAGAATTATCATTAAAAGAGTCATCTTATGGAATAATCAAGTTGGTACGATTGATCGTAGCAACGTAATTACGCCAGCAGACAAGGTACGGGTACCTTTCAATTTTCAAAAGAATATTTCGTCGAGATGCTCTTGGCAGCAAGTGAGTGAAGTAGCGCAGACGATGACAGTCGAATAGTAGAGTCAGTAGTGGCAGTGGAGGATCCTGGGCATCCGAGAGAATAAATTGGACTGTAGGCGTTCGGGTATCTTCGGATTTTCCTACGCGCCAACTCGGCCGCCATCGGTTCGTCAGTCTCTCACACGAGTACAAATAGCGAGGGAGGCCACGTTCGTGATCACTAGCACAGGCGCCGTGAACGAACGTCGGGGCTCGGTCACTAGGTCCTCCTGAATACTCTCCCTGTTCGATTCCCGTTCCCGTTGAATAACGACGCTCTCCGCTTTTGCATCACAGAGACGCTCGTCGTACGGTCGACGCGAATTTATACGGTGCGGTGGGATTAATTGACTTGAAAAACTGTAGGCTGTTATGCGACCGTTACGATTTGAATATTTGAACGGTTGACGTGTTCGATTCAATTTTTGTGCTTGCCTTTTTACATTCTGTACCGATCCTTACATATATATACTATTATATATACATATATGTTTGTTATCACCCTTGTGCCTGGACAAATCCTGTACGTGAGAATGTGGTTATTTAACGGCGTGTGTAATTGAATTTATGATATTTATTTTATGGATTTTTGATGATTAATTTCAGTACGATTAGCCTAGTGTTTCTATGGGTTTGTTTGATTGATATGTGTTACTAGGATTGATATTGATACTATTTGATGTTGGTTATTATTTTTTAACTACCATTGGCCACTGGACTGAGCATTTATTGTATACATTATTCCGTTTAAGGTAATTACAAACTTTATGAAAATTATAATACGCTGCCGTGTCTGAGTATTTTATGCAATTTTTACGGGTCTCTCAGTTGCTGTTCTAGATGGTTTTATAATTTTTTAATGAGGGACTGATCGTATGAAAATTATGCAGGTTTTTGATGACATCGTGTATCTATATTTTCATTTGTCAATGAGTCGTGCATTTCTTAAGGAAAAGCGATATCTTACTATGAAAGTACGGAAACCGTAGAAACCGCAGTAAATGTCGAAAACCACAATTGTCATACTATTACAATACATAACCACGACACATCTGTCGTATGTTAAAAGGAACAATGCTGCCACAAGGAATTTGACATAAAGACGATATTGAGATAAATGTATGAAGATTGAAAAAGACAAAAATATTGAGAAGTAGGAATCTCTAGGATTAGTCGGAATGAAATTGTGTAAATCAGAAAACCATAATTCGTGCAGTAACCGTTAATACCGTTGACTAATCTACTTAGTCGGGAGTCGCGGAATTACAGGAAACTTCAGAAGGATCAAAAGGAATAGCTAAGTGATAATTTGAATTTTCACAGCTTTTAACTTCATGGAAATGATCGTGAATGAAAAGTGTAGGTAAGCTGAAAAAAAATATGCATACAAAGAAATCTAGTAAAAGACATAGCAAGAAGGAAATAAAGGGAAGGAATTGTCTGGACAATATAAGTTCAAAAAATGGGAGGTAAAATTGAACAAAAGGAAAATACGAATAAAATCCATATATCCATCTCTTGTAAGACAAAAAGAAGGGGAAAAAACAGTAAGAAAAAAAAGGTTTATCCCCAGGGATTTTCCATGACTACAGTTATCTACAGGTACACATATCCATCCTAGTAATTTCATTCTCGCCAAGAAAGTGGCCAATCGTAATTTCGTTCCTCGATTACATCGTAATCCCCTCTCGAGAACTTCAATTTCTTCCTACAGGATAGTCCAGGTCTTGCGCTACCAATTTCTCTTCTTCTCCTTGATCTTGGTTAGTCGTACTTCCTCCATCTCCATTTTTTCATTCCGCCAATTTCAGTTCATAGATTAAAAAAGAAAAGAATTTCATTCGTCCCAAGTATCGTGCCCATCTTGCTCTCAATTTTTCTCTCATTTTTCTTCTGGCAATTCGCTGATTGTGATGTCACCTTTATGTCTGAGCAGAATAGACAGAAGGTGACTGGTAATAAGAGAGGGAGAGAAAGGAGAGAAGAAAGGCCTGGAGGATCAGGCAGTGACTGGAGTGGTATAAAATGAAAAATGATTCCTACGGACAATACGTGAGCTCGTTCCTGCCATTGTGTCAGGAGGGATTTCCAGCGATTACCCATTCTGCAGGGTTTCCCGTACTCGTTCATTCGTTCGATCAGGTGAGTCCTCTTTTATGTACTAAAATCAGTCCTTAATGTTTTTTAATCCTTTTTTTTTTTAACTATTTCTTTCCTTTTGTTGCCCCCTCACGCGATACCTTCGTATTAATCTACAATTCTATATCGAAGGTGTAAAGCAGCTGAAAACACGTACTTTATATATATATATATATGGTGTATGACGTATTTTCTGTTTAATTGTAAATTCCTATTATGACTTCAGTGGTTCATTAAAAATGAAAAAGCAATCCGCAGGATGGGTAATTGGAAAAGGTTATTATACTGGCAATTTCACCGAGCATCAAGTATATATAAATGTATGTACGTACGCGTATACCATCTGTATACAAAGGATCCAGATACGTACAGGGTCATTCAAAAATATTGTATCACGTGAAGTTGGTGCTACTACAGAAATCAAATGGACGTGGCTAACTTCAGTCGGTGCAATCTCCTGGCTAACCCTGTATGTAAAGTACATATGTACTTATGGGATACGAACACAAGAGCCGTTACATGCACGAAGTGAAGATTCAACCGTAGTTAGTCATGGCATGTTGTTCTCGTAAATTACGAGTCATAAATTACGTTACTTCATATTGCAGTAACAACGTCAGATTAAACTTCCTTATACAGGGTGGCCGAAACGCGCTCATCCTTTTTATCGATTGACGTAGTGACGGGTTGCAAAACATGAGAATTCATGGTCATTGAAAAGTATATAGAAAGGACGAATATTTATGTTTTGGAAAAAATACAAAATGAAGTATTAAAAACCAAAGAATTCATAGATATTATCGTTTCGGAATTGGTAGCCCTGATTTTTTCTTTCGTAACGGGTCTCCTGAGGCCGCTTCAGACGATACCCCAGGAGAGTCCTTTTGCCCTTTCAGGGCTTTTTGAGAGGTCTTGAGGGTGGCGTGAAGGGGGGTATGTTGTGGGCGAAGGCCACTTCCGGGGGTGGTATACTTATTTATTGGAGGATTTGCACGTTCCCCTCATTTCTGCGGGTAGAAACTACCCCCTCCTCTATCCTTTTAGCTGATCTCCCTCATCTCCTTGGCTGGTTCATCGTGTGTTAACGTTTTACGGCCGTGACGCGACTATTCACGCTACGCCGGAAATTGTAAACATGCCAGAGGATACCCAGAGAATGGCGCAACTTTGGTATAAGGGTGCGAATTTTTAACTATACAAGGGATGAAAAAAAAAATAGAAAAACAGGAAATTAAGAATTCGTAGTAAATATGAAAGAGCATTTTAGGTCAAAAATGCCCGGATGTTATTTTCACGTAATTATAAAGGAGACGGAAGTCGATGGAAACCAAGATGGCGTTGGGTGTATTCCTAATTAGAATAGGGTCAACTCTTGACCCTGTATGGTTTAGGGTATTTGAATAATATTCAGCAAAGTTCACTAGGGGCTGTCGAGTGTTTATAATTTTTGAAAATTCTTAAGCAAACAGTACGAGGTTCTTGTCGCGTTATAAATTGGTACTTCGTATCCTCGTAGTATGTAGCGTTGATTCAAGACTGACCTGTTGATTCGAATTTGTTTTAAAAATCGCTTGGATTGTATCCAAAATAAAATGATACAAAAAAATAGGGACATAACAAGTGTGTCAAATTTTTCTGGCCGCGATCCTCACCTCGCGTTTTAAGCTTTTGTCAGAGCGATTTTACAGAGACTGGGCAGCAGGCACGTAGTGCTGCTACCCGTTAAAAAAAAAAGTTCCCGTTTCCATTGGCGCGACACAATGAGACACCAGCTCGCTCGTCGCTGGAGCTCCGTGAATTTCGAAGCTTAAGAAGGAATATTTTGAAGTTTAAGGAAAAACAAATTCGAGGGAGTGCTCCCGGTACTTATAATTGAGAAAAAGTACTGGAAGTCGCGACTGTATCTTTTTTTATAATACTTTTGTCTTTTATTTTAACCTCTTGCACCAACCTTAAAATCTCGGACACGGTACAGTACATTAATGGGTACAGGATAGGTGGCTCCACCTGTGAAAAAAGTTGATAAACAAAATCATCGGTTTATTTTGAAACGCTAAAAAGTGATTTAAAAATTAAGCAGAAAAGCAAAGAAAGAAACAAATTAAAGAAACGAACGAGCGAGTAAACTATATTGGCGAAAGAAACATAGCGCGAAGCGACGCGTCCAAGAAAAGCTAAGAGAAATGGCGGCGAGAATAAAATGAAAAATAAAAAAGACAAATATTCGTCCAATAGAAAAGTTCCAAGTCGGTTTCAGTCTTGGATCTCCAATACCACTTACAGTGTACGGTAGCGTATATAGAAGTGGAACAAAAGGATAAAGTCATTGTTAAGACCCCGTAACAGCCGTGGGCAATATAAACAAAAAATTTGGATTTTTTTTAGTTCAACAAAAAAATAACTAACTAAATATCGCAAAATATCCGTAGAACGTATTTTACATTTTATTCAACCTAATTGTCTATTGTCATTACTGTGTACGGATAGCACCCCATTTATTGAATTGGATCATCAGTCGCCTATATCTTTAATTAATTTTTATGATCTAACCCAACTACTTCCTCGATATTTTATTTATATGAAAAATGTCTATCAAAACCGATAGTCGTGACAGCGACCTTAAGCCACACACGAAATCCCATCATTGGAATGGCGGGGGTCTTCGTCGAATGCAAAACTGGTAGAAATGCATAGGGGGTGGGCTGGGAAGAGGGGTTGGAGGGGGGTACCGGCAGGGTGCATAGTACGAATGCAGATTTCCTCATGCCTGGGGAATTCCTGGAAGCAACAGTGCTACGCGTGAATGACTTCGTATTTTTTCTTTGTCTTTTCTTTTATGTTATGCCACCACCTCTCGCAATATATTTGTACCTTTTCTATCGTGAAATATTCTCGAATCTATAGGGAGACTATCGATTTGAGTGCAGCGCCGGTAGACCATTTGGGATTCGCGAGCTTAATTTCGCAACCGAAAATAATTCAATAAATTCACTTCTCGATAACTTGGAAATGGCTGAATGGATTTTGGTCCGCGAGGTTTTAAAATGTTAAGAAAAAAAAAACGTGCAACATTTTCTTATACCAACAGAAAATGTTTCATTGAAAAAAAAATATGTAACATGCTGTATCTCGGAATCAAATGAATATTAAAAAAAAATCATTTTGATAGAAAGTCGATCCCCTTAAAACCATACAACTTTTGTCTGAAACTTTTTCCCGTATCTCCATTAGTAACTGAGATAATCGAGGTATGCACTTTCGGTTAGACACCCTGTATACGTAAGTCTACGTGGTATGGAAGAACGAAGTATACAGATATATATTGTACACGGGATGTGTTTTGGATCTCATTATAAATTGCAGCAAGTCTACAGTGTGCTCGTTAACTTGCGTGAATTCGACAGAGAATGAACTTTCAGAGTACCTCGTTCCATTATTAAAAAAAAAAAATCGTGAAGAGACCAGATGTTTAAACAATGAAATAAAACATGCGTTGTAATAATTTCAGATAATTCGTGAGTGCCGTGAATATTATTAAATACCCTGAAAAACAAAAATGCAAATAAAAAATATTATCGGGTAATTCAGATATTTCATATGGTGCAACAGTTATAGCCATTCAATGTTGCACGGACTGCAGTAAATTCGCGAAAGGGTACCACCCATGATTTACAGAATCGTTATCTACGTCCTCGTCTTACTCGTGTAAATCCCGATGGGTTCGTCTCTCTCGCACTCGCATCGGGTATAGGAAATATAAAAAATCCAATGAAAACTTCTCTTTTTCGTACTCGAATAATAATTTGAATTAGCCTCAATCGCGAATACAATTGCGCCTGACTGAATTGCTCATAAATATATGAAAATTGCCTGTACACTCGGACTACAAAGTATTGCTAAAAGGATGATCGATCGAAGCGATGAAGTGACAGCTGTCAAATTTGACAGTTGCATACAAAACAACATACATCCTTACGCACTTAAAGGCAGGACAATGGCCCAGTGAAAGTTTAACTTTTTCAGTGACATTTAGAATCGTCTCTCGAGAGGGTTGCTTGGCTCAAACAAAATGGTGGAAAAAGAAAAAAAAAAAGAAGAGGTTCTCTGACCTCTCTGTAAACCAAGTTAATAAGTCCGTTGAAGACGTAACAAGTACGTCCGTAAACAGGGCTGTTGCTCTTTCAAAACAAACAGATCATTTTTGGTACGTGGAGCCTGTTTTGCTTACTGGGATATTACCCTCGTGAAATTAATTCTTCTTTATTATTTTCCTTTGCCCCTCGTTGTCCGTTCTACGCCACTGGTGCCATAATCCCTCGGAAGAGGGCACCACTGTCGCTTGGCTTCTTCGAATAAATTATTAGCATCTGTTTTTTTGAGTAAAAAAAATATTCCCATACTGTAAAGACTTGCAGTAATTTCTATACATATATACCAGATTCCCTGTCTCTCTTGGCTCCTATTCTAAATCAATCGGAAGTGCACTCTGCCGGAAGTGCACTCCCTGTACGATAAGACTTAACAAGAAGAATGATAAGACCAGAGAATTCTTATCGCCGGACTGTCAGGCACACTGGAGGACCCATTGATACCATATGAATAGGTTCCCTCACGTTATTAAGCGAATGAAATAAAGTATGCCAGGTCCGTTGCTCAGCGTGAAATGCCGCAGTGTGTGCCATTGGCGAAGGATCCGGAATGGGCCTTAGAGTCCCAGCACGTAGAGGGACGTTGCCGAGGGGGCCTAACGAAGAAGGGTCTGAAAGAAGGAAAAACTCGGCAGTCACTCGTAGGCTGCGCCTTGGTAACTGCGTATATACTAACCAGAGCTGTTATGGGTCGTTTCACAAGGACATGTGCCCTTTCGGAGGCTGAAAATCTTTCAGGCCCAAATGGGTCCACGAGTCCCCCCGGTTCTTGTTCTCAGTCGGAATGCAACGTCCAGCTGGGACGCATCATGTGCAACAGTGCAGCTATACAGTTTCCTGTAAGATAGAAAGAGAGAAGAGAGAAAAAATTGTCATAAGAGACTGTAAAGCGGTATGGAGTGGAGAAGATTTTTTGGTGAGTTCAGTAGTGCTTTATGTAAGAAAGAGAGAGAGAGAGAGAGAGAGAGAGAGAGAGAGAGAGAAAGAATGTTAAATGGATAAAGATAAAATGTGATGCAATTAATATCTTGTACGCACCCCGTATATACTGTTGCACGTGTGTACCGTATGTATTATATACATTTGTATGGCATTCGGTCATAACGTTATATCACGTTAAATCGATTTTCATGGGGTATACCCCCTTCATGGTAATGTCCTTAACGATTTTACTCCCGCTCGACTAACGATTTTAATTTGCTCCAGTAACGTCATTTTCTCTTCCATCTACCTGTACACGTGTCCCGTTACGGAGACGTTGATAAAATCGTCGGCGAATTTTATTGTTGCGATGGTCGCTTCAAGCTGCTGAAATAGATGCGGATAAAGAATACGGGCGAGGTGAAAGAGAAAAAAAAATAGAAAAAAAAGGAAAATAAGAAAGAACCACCAGAAAGCAAACAACGAATTGGAAAAAGCTGTAAAGAGAGAAATGGTCGGAGTGCGACGGAAGTCGGTAAGAATTTACGACCGGTCGAGATACTCGCCACGTGGAGAAGGAATAACTGTGGGAAGAGAAATAAAAGGTTGGGAAGGAAAAAGAGAAGAAGAGGAAGTTCTTGCACGTGCGCAATTACGAGTGCTTACGTAAATTTATACGGAGGCTGGAGGAGGGGGGAGGGTGGTTCGAATAACCCAATCACGTGTAACAATAATGGGGTTGAAATAATAAAGTCGTATTGACGATACAGGCTATGGAATTATTAATGCCTTTATAAAGGGAAAAATTTTTCTTTTTTTTACCTCCGGAAACGCTCGACATTTAGAATGTAAATTGACTCTGGACGTATATTCCAATTTTCATCAGTATGCTCCTGAACGTATTAAACGTGTTTTTCTCGAGTGAAAACATCCCGTGGGCGTGCTACTGGATAACGAACGAAGTTCTTACCGGCGAGGGCACTTCGCCCACACCGAGTCTGGCATGAGGGCAGAATGTTCATATCTCCAGTGCGGAATGTCTACTAGGTTAGATCACCTGGCTAATGTATTATATAGAGATAGTGGGTGTACGATGAGGTTAGGTCGGAACGGCTGAGACTCTTCTACGTCGGCACGTGCTCCCTTGTTCCTCTCTCTGTCTCTCTTTGAACCCCTTGATCATTTCAGGATTCTCTCCATTAAAATCGTCCCACCGGAACTGGCTAGCCTGTTTGAATTCCAGAACGCTGCTTTGTCCTCCTACCCGTCGTGCTCCGGCCACCAAAGAGAATCCATAAATGTATAACGACCGTTGGCAATGAAATCCTTCCATTAATTCTCCCATATTTATATGGCTAATCGAGAAGACCCAGGAGGCAGTTACGTGCACGTGAATTGACTCGAAGCCTCTTCTTCGGGTGGAAGTTCGGTATAGATGGATTTGTTTGGAGATTTTGCGAATTTTGCCTAAAAGGTCAAGAGATAAGGAAGAAGGTTATTCGAAAGGGAGAACAATTCTTTTCTTTGTTCTTGTAGGCATCAATGGACATTTTTTCTGCGGGGCTACCTTGGACAATGGGGTCTTGTTCTTGGTATGGACAATACTGCGGACCCTTTTTTTTTTCGTTTTTAACCTTGTACAACGGGCCTTGACCATCTTTGCCATTAGGTATGGCTTTTCATCGCCATTATCACGTTTACTGTATTCAACCTTAGACGTCATAATAGGGCTGGGCTTTTTTGTATAATGAGGTGGAGCATCATGGGGTGGTACGGCGTCGTCGAGGCTTCTGTCGTTTGAGACTGGAAAAATAATGGTGGAAGAGAGAATGGGAGAATGGGGGCAACAGGTAGATAGACAAGGAGGAGTAGAGAAGAACAGGGAATAATGAGTCTGCTAATGGATGACATTTATACCCACTGGAAATTTTGTTCTTTTAATACAAGAGATCGAGGACTTTGGTGCGGTGGGTGCAATTTGGCACAATTGCAATTGCAGTTGCACGAGTCACGTTGCACTAGAAGCTGAAAGGGAATGGATGAAGGAATTTTTGTTAACGATGAAAATATTTTATCAGTTCGTTAATCGCGCTTGTAATTTTTTTCCCCAGTGCTTTATGAATTTTGAAATTTGGTAATGTGGGAGAAAAAGGAAAATGGAAGGCGTCCTTTTGTTGGTGCTGGATAAAAGTTAATAACGCTTTAAATTGTAAAGAAGTACGGTTGATCGTTTGAAGAGCTATGACATTTTTTTTCGATTGACCTGGTATTTCGAAAATTCAATATTGCCATGGAATTTTCGATATGCCCAACTATGCAGGTATTAATCTTAGAGGCTGTTTCCGTGCTGAGGGACGTTAATACAAATTTAATTTGACATTAGGCGTATACTAATTGCCCTTGCCAAGTGACAAGTACTGCATAACCATTACAAAAAATTTAATTTTTTTTCCACAAATTTTTATATATCCTTTACCTGTTGGCAATAACATAATTTAAGACCAAATTTTTTCACAAGATTTTCACTTGAAAAACTCTCATGGTACTCAGCCTACAAGAAGGCTAAGGAACCTCTCACCTTTAAGGACAGGCTAATTGCGATTTAGTGAGGTAGAAGTAGAGTCGAGGAAGGATGCGTAGCCAAGTACGATATAAGTTAGAGAGAGGAGGACGGGATGATAGTGAAAAATGAAAGGAGAGCGTAAAATATAAATAATGGAAAAAAAAAGAAAAAGAGATATTCGAGAAAGCGAAGGAAATCGAAGCGAAGGAAGGATGAGATCGGTTATGACGCGACTACAGGTCTCTTCGGCATCGACAGAAATTCCACTCGTCGTCGAAGGTGGATGAAGGAAGGTAGTCAGAGACTCGTAGGTAGGCGGTAGGAAGTCGCTTATATAGAAACGTCGTAGTGGGCCCTCGCCGGTAATCAATACTCTTTGCCGTCATCCCTCTTCTCTCCTACTTTCGCTCACTCTCCGACTCTGAGTCACTCTCCGGTCTGGAAAGCCCCGAGTCGCTGCTCAAGAGAAAATTGGATATTAATTTCTATATTTTTTTTTACAAAATTTTTTAATCATAGTCAATACATTTTTTTCAGACTTATACACACATATGTATGGATATAATATAGTTGACGTTATACGTATGCGGTATTACTCCTTTGACTTATACATTTTGTACGCAGCACTCTGTACTAGGTATACGTAGAAGGGAATCGAAGATTTTAATAAAGATTACGGTGAAGATCGATCAATTATTTCTCGTTCTTGGAAATCTATTTCCGTGACCGGTATAACCGATGTAATGGATGAATAATTCTTGCTGATGGAGGTTCGAACGTAAGGGTGAATTTTTCAGTGGTACATCGACTATTTATTGCCGGTATTGCTGTAGCCGTCGATTTTTATGGAGGTTATGGGTTGTGCTTTCTAGGAATATTTTTCTGTGATAGGAGAAAAAAGAAAAGGGGCAGTCGAGAAAATTAGTAAATTAATGGAAATTTATACTACGCGAACTATTCGCAGGATCATTCTCGCCAATCGTGCACTCGGTGCTTCGATTAAAACGGTAATAATCGCTTCCAATAATTATCCTGATTTTCGACTTAACGAGCTTAACGAGAACCGAACGAACCACTTTGGGAAGCTCGTTAACGACCCTTTAAGTACTTAAAAAGTAGAGACTCTTTGGCTCCCGTTTGTTTGTCGTTGTAATCATTTATTTAGTAGGGAGACGCAACGCGAATCCATCCAGCCCTAATCAAATTTTAATTGCCAAAATCGTCTAAGAAATTTTTCATACACCGTCAATATCATGCGTCATTTTTTTACTTGACTAATTTTCAACGACGTAACGTGTCACGAGTACATACGGGGTGTAAAGAAAAAATTTAATTTCATTCCCGGGACATATTTTCTTTTCTCTCCCACACGAACAAGCCTGGAAAAAGGTCATCGAGACTGATGAAGTGTCTCCTTGGGTCGAACCTTAAGGATAATCCGTAAGTGAAATCCACGAAAGCTCCTGACGAAAAGTGTGTGTGTGTGTGTGTGTGTGAGAGAGAGAGAGAGAAAGAGAAGAATATAAAAGAAAAGAACATTCCAGCTACGACACTAGTAGCAGAGTGAAATCCAGCATATTTCACATATTCAGACAGCATAATAATATAAAAGAAAAATAAATAAGGAATACAATCTAAAATACATCTGAAGACACTGAAACCTTTCCCACGGGGAAAAAAAATGCTCAAGTCGAACGAAAAAGTGATGTCATATATTAACGAAAGAGAAAGAAACTCTAAACAGTCACGTGATGACGTAAATTGCGTAAAGGAAAAAAAAAGACGTAATAGGTATGGTTTATTGCTATTTAAAAAATATTTTTCTTATACCAGCCCCGGACTATAGTCTCCGTCGGTAAGGCAGATCGAGGAAAAATAAATATGAGACATTATGAGAACAAGGAAAGAATAAAAGGAAAAAAAGGAGATTCACACTTCATAAGACCCAAAGAGTTATTTCAGAATTGGAGGAGAGCGCATAAAAAAATATATATCCCATAAAAATAACATAGACAATGTATGCTGGGGTCTGGTAGTAGCCCTTACCTCAAATAAACAGATATTCACTTTCATAACAGTGCTATAACACGGCCTGTCACTTGTGACGAGCAAACTCATTAGACTGAGTATCCTCTGCTTGATGAAGATAGACACGCTGTATTGGCGTCAAATGAAAATACATAAACGCACGTACGAGATACGCTACCAATAATACTACACCGTGCAAACAGTGTACTCATTGTATTTTTAAAAACGATAAGCTGTATCGAAGTTGGGAATTATTAGTCCCATAAGTACGTCACGCATACTCTGCATTTACAATAGTTCACACTGTACTATACATATACATAGGGATACGGTTAGGAGCTTATGAAATTTACTAATACAGCTTAGGTTGTTGGTAAAGTCCGAAATTCCTTATTACTGATTACAGATTTAATTGCAGATTAGGTAGTACGGTACTTTTGGAATGTAAATTTCTGAGATTGATACCGTCTGAGTACGAATATGAATTATTGCTGTGGCACCTATGCTTTTTAATATAAATTATGTAAAAATGTATGTGTATATTATAGTGCTCAGTGGAAAATAGTACTATTTGAGTTTCGAAGCATCAGCCGGTGAGCATGAAGATGGCTCTTGTCGTGCTCGTTGTCTTTGCTGTGAAGGTCGTGGCAGCATCTCAGCAGAGTGAGTCTGACGTTTCTGTAACGTAAAGATATACGGTTCAATGGTGGATTAGGAACTCATGGTACGATTGAACTATGACCTCTGTGTTTTAGAGTTTCCGTGTCGAACGGAATCAAGATTCCGGCCAAGGCTTCAGGATCTGGGGGATATAAATCTCGAAAAATGTGGACACGGGAGATTTCCGACAAGTAGGCTAATAAATAATTCAAGGATGAAAGATGGATAACGACACGAGTTAACCGGTGAGGGTAAAACAAGGAAGAATTTATGTTATTTAATCTGGGATCGATATTTGCGTAATATCATGTAACGGTACGGAGAGAAGAAAAAAATGTATACGAAGTAGAAAGAAAATAAATTATTTATACTTATATCGCGTACGATACTTAATGGAAAAATATTATTGAAAATCGCTCGAAACTCACGGGGCTTTAGCCGTTTCATTTAAAAACAAGTAATGGCCGCCCTGGGCACGTATTCAATTTATGGAACAAAGCGCGCCTCTTAGCGGCGGAGCGAAGAACGAAAAAAAAGATAGTTCGAGAAAATATTATAAAGATAATACAGCAGAGGTGAGAGGAAGCAAGCGAAGACAAAGATAAAGATAAATATACAGGATATAAGCGTTAGACTTGGCAGTGACAACTCTGCGAAACATGGCTGCCGTCTCTTTTGATTCCTCCCGCAGGCGGGCCAACTTAAATAAAGAGCTGAATGTCTCTCCGCGGTTCCTTTGAAATGTCACGAGTTGCGACAAAAGCTTTCGGCTCGATGCTTTTTCAGAGGAAAACTGCCGAGCGGCATCCATCCGTTAAACAGGTTCGTTTGCCTACGTCAGAAATGGAAGGGAGCGAAGGGGGAATGCCGGAAGAGGGAGCTTACTTCCGCTTTAGGGAGAAAAACACCGAGAGATAAATTCATGAAGAATTCACGTCAGCCTGTGGCTTATCTGGGATTATTTGATTTTTGGGGAGTCCCCTTCTTCTTTGGCCACCATTTCAGAGCTTCTCATAATTAAAGGTCCAACAATCCCTCACGAGTGCCTGGGTACTGTCATTAATTGAACGGCAAATTGCACTATGATAAGTTCAAGAGGGAAGATTAATGCTTTATGAGGATTTTTATGAAGAAATTGGAAAACACCAAATTTTACCTATCACATACGGCATATGCATGAACGAGGAACGAGGCCTGGTACACGTCTCTAAAATTTCTCCTGCTCTTTAGCTGACTGAGAATTTCATACTCTGGAGATTATACGAAGTGTGTTTGATCTATAGCCGGATTTACAAGAGAAACGAGACCACGTGTTACTTATATGTTGGATATTTCGTCTGCCTGCAAAGGGAAAAATGCATAGTGAAAAAAAGCGTACATAGAAAATCCGCATGTCCGGTGGCGATTCATTAGTCAGCGTGTACACACCAGTGAGATGGATATTAGGCAAAGTAGCAATGTTGCTGGAAAGTGTACAGAAATGGGGACGATAATGATAAATATTACAAGCACTATGTGGTGTGGTACACCAAACTCATAGCAAATTAATTAACATCCGTTCGTTTCAAATGACCGGATACTATATGCATTATATATCTACATATACAAGTACTAAAGTCAGTGTGGTTGAACCCTAACGAAATACATATGTAACTACTAACCGATTATACGTGATTGTTACCACGAATTCCAGACGCAATGGAATTCTAATGCTTGCGATTCCAAGAGATTTTCCAAACAATTCTCCATGTTCTGCTACATCATGTAGTTCCGCTTGACGCTTTGCATATATACGTCAGTTGTACAGAGTGATGTCTTAATGATGGTCATAGGACATACAGGCAGACCTGGAGTGAACTTAGGCAGGAAATTATCGACTTCCTTGATCCAGGTACATTCTGGTTAGCTCAAGAGATTTTGGGTGAATGTAGAAGTGGATTAATAGGAATTCCAATGTAGAATAGTTGAATTTGTGCCTAAAAGTTTATATTTAAATTTCAGTACTGATTGTGAGTTAAATAAAATAGAAATCTTCTACATTCATACATACACCTCCGATGTGTCCAATGAACACAGCCTTTTACAATTTTCACAGAGGCCTGTCCGTGCCAGGGAAATCCAATAATTCGTTACCAGTGCCCATCCACTGACTTGGAAATTGTTCTACCTGCCAATGACCTTGAATTATATTAGGGTTGATGGATACCACTCTGGGTATTCATCTAGCTGGCTTATGCGCAAGTCTTATGATCAGCTGAACTCAACTTTTTTTGAGAACGTTTTTCAAGCTGGAGGTAGTGAAGCTAGGGCAACTAAGAGATAAAATCATAATAATAATTAGTACCACGTTACTCGACGTAACCTTAATTTTGATATAATTTTAAATCGCGTGCTTATCATCTGATTGTACGTTTCACTGTGGTAAAGTGAATGAGAATAAAAAATTTGAAAATTCTACCACTGTCTGTATACTGCATCTATTGTACAGGAAGTTCATTCTCTGCTACAATTCTAGGTACAACTGAGCTCAATATCATTATTAATATCGATTGGTGCTATTTTAGGAATGGCTGATAAATAGATCAATCGGATATAGATTTAATCATTTTTTCTTTTCTTTCTTCAGGAGGGCGATGGTGCACCTCCCTTAGCGTGGATATGGTAACGATGAGCTCCGAAAAGTCGGCGTGCCGGCGCAAGCCGGCGGAGAACAATGGCTCGAAGGCAGGGGCTGAACAGCCAGGCGGTCGAGGTCGGATCGACGTGCCGTATCATCGCCAAGAATCGGTCGATCAGCCTGCAAACGCCACCACGACAGCTTCGTGTGCTGAGGATACACCAAACTACCTCGTCTACAAGAAGGTGGGTTACTGAAAAGTATATTCCACGTAGATGGGTATTCTTCATCATTGGAATAAATAATGGATACTAATGGTTAATTCATCAAGATGGTTACCTTTTTTAAATCCTTTATGGTGGAAAAGCTGATTTTTAAAAAATAAAGATACAACTTATGTATGAATATCACATGAAGCATATTTTACTGTTTTTCCATCTTCTTCATCCTCCATGACTGTACCTTTACTTGCAAAACTTCCGATGCAAGTCAATGTGTTTCTTGTATTTCTATGTTGGAGTATTCTGGATAAGATTTATAATAAGTTACTATTTTGACTAACAAGGTAAATTTGCTTTTAAGTGCTGTTGTTACTATAACTTTTATGGCTTTTATTGCTGATCTTCCAATTTTCTCAGGCTTCTATTTCTTTTTCTTAATACTTCAACCTAATGGGAATTGCTATCATTTCACGATGAAAGCCAGTTTGACCCTTGGCCGACATTTTTCCAGAATCTTACTCGCTCACTCTCGATGCCCTTTTATAGTGTCAGGTTACGCCGGAAGCTAAGATCGATTGCTACGGAAGCTTCCTAGTTCGTTACTCCTCGGAGTCTACCAAACGAATTAGGAATGTCAAGACGAAGCTGCGGCCATTTCTCATTAGATAGTTAATTGAACCGCGTCAACGGGTTCCTGGTAGCAGGAATAGAACAGTCCTTCTCAGATTCTTGTGAATTTTGCCTTTTTGATTTATGTCGATGTTGCCTTTTCTTAACGTTTCCTTGCAGGAAATCGACGAACGGCATGCCAGAGAGGCATTTTGAAAGTTTAGTTCCACGATTTACACGTGGAGACTAATGCGTGTTCACGTGTACTTGGCACCGCATATCGATCGGTATTGTGACGAACGCATTTCGTTTTACGAATCGTTTCTCTTTGACTCCGAAAGTACTCTCAGGTCTTCATCTGTACTTGGTACCAGCAGTTTCCAATCCATAAATTACGTACAGTGCCATTGAGACTCCTAACAAAAGAAATTTTGTTTTTGTTTTGTTTTGATTTTAAAAAATTTGTATACCATGAGTTTTATTTAATTTTATTTGACTTTTAGTTACCTTAAAATATTAACTGTCGTATATTATAAGCTTTTCACTTTTTTGCAGATGGAATCAATAGTGGAAAAGATGTTGGATGAAGTTACAGGTGTTCCAGTGAAGACTGTTAAAAGTTTCATGACAAAAATCCCTTCGGTCTTTACAGGTGATTATCTAAGTTTAATTGCTGATTTTAAGATGTCGTCAAGTATATTGTAATTCATATAAATATCATTTTCCAGGGACCGATCTCATTTCTTGGATGATGAAGAATATGGATATCGAAGACCAAGGTACTATTATGGTACTATATGGGTCTACCATACTATATATGGTAGACCCTATAAAATATTGATATAATGATCAATGATAATTATATTTAATGAATTTTACAACAGAGGCTCTTCACGTGGCGCATTTAATGGCGGCACACGGATACTTCTTCCCAATAGACGACCACTGCCTCACAGTCAAGAATGACAACACGTTCTACAGATTTCAAACGCCCTACTTTTGGCCATCTAACTGCTGGGAGCCTGAGAACACTGATTATGGTACTAAAAAAAAAGAGAGAGATAACATTCCAAGTAAAAAACCGTAACTTAAAAAAAACCAACATGCAAACGAAAAATGTTGTTCCCATACCTTGAATTTTTCTATACGCAGCCGTGTATTTATGCAAGAGAACAATGCAGAACAAAACACGCCTGGAGCTGGCGGATTACGAGGCAGAGAATTTGGCACGGTTGCAGAAGATGTTCTCCAGGAAGTGGGAGTTCATCTTCATGCAGGCGGAGGCGCAGAGTAAGGTTGACAAGAAGAGGGACAAACTTGAAAGAAAAGTTCTTGACAGCCAAGAAAGAGCCTTCTGGGACGTGCATAGACCAATGGTAAATATTATTTTATTTGGACCAGTAGAACATGCTGCCATGTGTTCCGTGGTTTAATGGTACTTCTTTTTTTATCTTTTTATAGCCAGGCTGCGTTAACACTACCGAGATGGACATTAAGAAAGCCTGCAGGAGCCATAAGCCCGTTGTCAAAGGCAGTAAACATTTGCAGCTGGGTGTCGCAGGTGGAAGAATCTCACCCACTCATACGGATTCTGATTTGCCGTCGCCATTGGAATCCTTGCAGAAGGAAATTTCCCTTCTGAAACAGAGACTCGACAGACGTAATATTAAACTGTCCAAAGTCGCAGAAGCGTATGTATAATTTTACTAAGACTTCTCACTGGCATTAATTTGAAACATTAATTTCCACATAATTTATTCTTTCCTTCTTAGGCTTATTGGATACTTCGAGCAATACGCAGAATACGATCCCTTTATCACACAACCAGAATTCACGAATCCATGGATATCAGACAATCCTGAGATGTGGGAGCAGGAGAAACTAGCGTGAGTATCCTATGGGAATAGAAAAAAGATTGAGAATATATTCGGTATATATTCCTGAGTTAATATATCTTTGATATTCATGCAGGAAGGAGATTTCAGCAAGAAGAGTAAAGAGATGGGCGTTCAGTCTCCAGGAATTATTACAAGATCCAATTGGGAGGGAACAATTTATACGTTTCTTGGATAAAGAATTCAGTGGTGAAAATCTGAAGTGAGTAATCCTGAAGAAGAGATGCGGGTATCTTGAAAATAAAATTATATCTTACATACAATGTATATTTATCTCGTCAAAGATTTTGGGAAGCTGTGCAGGAGTTAAAGACATTACCTCAGCGTGACGTACAGGCGAAGGTTGAGGAAATCTGGAACGAGTACCTGGGCGCTGATGCAAGTTGTCCGATAAATGTGGATTCGCAATCCTTTGAGATGACCAAGAGAAATCTTGAGAAGCCAGATCGCTGGAGTTTCGACATAGCAGCTGTAAGAGATATTTAATTTAAATTAAAAGACAAAATTCTATTTCAATTATCAACTGCAGATTATTATTGAACGAACCTTGTTTCAGGCTCATGTATATCATCTGATGAAAAGTGACAGCTACTCACGTTACTTGCGATCCGAGATGTACAAGGATTTTTTGAATGGCTCCAAGAAGAAGGTACAGTCGATTAAATTACGTCAGTCTTATAACTTTCCCACGTAGCTGATTTCCGTTACCTTCTCCTTCTGTTTCAGACATCAGTGAAGGGGATACGCTCCATTGTTTCATTTACGGGACGAAAAGATCCCGCGGGCTCTTAATTGATTGGACCCCCTCAACTCCCCGTCCAGTTATTTTTCGCGTCATTTACATTAATCGAGTGGCCAGACGGGCTTATCTTATCTGACGAATCGCGCGTCCCTTCGTTGTTTCTTGTATACAAACCGAAGGGTCCAAAATCAAAATGAATGGTAATAACACAGATAAATAAAAAATAAATTATGCATGCTATTGGGTATCATCGGATAAAAGTAGAGTCGAGGAATGCTTTGATTGATACTCGAAAGAACGAATAATATTTTTATTCAATAATAATGAAAGGTTTCGACAAATTTTATTAAACATTTTTTTCTATTTTTCTCATTTCAGAATATCCGGTCTGGGATCGTTCTTCACGATCGCGGAGCGAATCGTCCACCAATCGTCTACATCGTTGCGATTGGCGCTTTGCGTAAGTTCCAAATGAGGAAATTAAGGAAGAAAAAAGAACATAATTTGTACGTTCAAAATACGTCTGAGGACGGTGATGTTTTTAGTCATTGTGTGTTCTCTCGGTTGGCTACATAAGGAATACGAGAACTATACTGGATTTTTTATATCAAGAGAAAAATTGATCGGTTGAAGACTTTTCGAAAAATCGACCATTTTTTCTTCCGTTAATAATACCTATTTTTTCTTGCTGTATCTTACACAATACCATACTATCAACGCATGAGAAAACTTAAAGTGCAAATTGAACAATCTACAATTAATCGATAATCGAATTAATCGATTTCGATTATCATTACATACTTTAATCTCGTAGATTATTTGCGAATCGGCGCGAGTGCGTTTAGTAAACATATATACATTAATATATATATACTTTACGAAGAGACTATACGAACTGACTACGCTAAGACGTCACCAAATCAAAAATCAAGAATTTTCATAACTCACCGTACGAGCTCGACGAAGATTCACGTCCTAAACAATAAGATTGTACATGCTTGACAAAATGGGCCGAACGAGTAGAACCGTTGGCCTTTTTTGGCAAAAAATCGACCGGTGCCATTTCCATGTGAAAAAGGTGAAAAGATAAAAAAAAACCAAAAGTAACAATCATTTCCAAAATGCTGATAAAAATCAACAACAAATCAGTGTGCCAATTGCCATTCGAAGAAACATATTTACTTATTGACTTAAATATATACTACTAATAACAGCAGCAACAACAAAAACAAAACCCGCGATATATATAGACATATTCCCTATGTAGCTCAACTAGTAAAAAAAAATTCACATATGAACGTGTGTACATAAAAATAAATAGCATAATAATAATTCATTGCATATAACATTAGGAAGATTGCAAGGGGACTTGCCAAGACAATTAGCAAATCTCTTGATTAGAAACCAAGGAAAGGAAGAAAGAAAGAAAACAATGATGATTCTACAATGGACGAGTACTGTGATTGTGGGCCAAACGAGAACAATGGAATCGTGAGAATTTCATTACCATGGCGAATCTTATGGTAAAAATTGAATTATTCTAACGGACAATGACAATATATTTAATTGTCCTCTTCAATTTCTATAGACGCTAATGTTGTCACAATATTCGTCCATAGTTCGGGCCACATGGACAACACACGTGTATGAAAAGTCTAGCAAATAGGACACAGTCTTTCCCGGGTGGCTCGAACGACACATTATTAAAGTCTCGAGTAAGAGAAGTGATTATAAAAAAAAAATACAGAGAAAAGACAAAAAAATAAAGATAACTCACAAGTAATTCGATGAAAATCGATAGACAAAAAAAATAAGAGAATTAATAGTTGGCCAAGGGAGTACTTACTATACAAGTATAGTTGTGATAGTTGCTGACTAGATGAATCGCGGTTGTAAAATAGGCTGTATAGTTAGAGAGTCGTTTAGTGGCTGTAACAGAAGAAACAAGTGTTATGTATCATAACGGTGTAAATACAGGTGTGGCACATCATAACAACTTTTTCTTTAAGAAAAACATGAGTGAGAATAACGGCTATCACGAGATTGATAACGATGATAATGATGATGCGCTATAAACTGTATATTTGTAATCGTACCTTAGCCTAGCAAGTTTATGATAAGAGGTGAAGGGGTACGAAAGGATCTCAAGTGAATAATAGAGTGAAGAAAATGTGAAGATAAGCGTGAAGAGAGAAAAAGAGAGCGGAGGAAGATGAAAGAAAAATAAAAACAAACATCGCTACTCGTGTTCACGTGCTGTGTGTGAACTCTTCGCAATAATTATCGGTTGTAAAACGATTGCCTGTCGTGAATTGATAATTAAATAACATTTGTCAATGCGAATTGATTACTATACACAACAATACTCGCTAATTAATAATTTATACAGTAAGGACGACGATGTCTATTATTCATGAAACAGTGAAATTACATGTCACACGTATTTCAGAAAATGAAACATAAGCAGAACCGTATTTAATGAATCATTGTAACGTGCCCGGATAAACAAATTTTTAATTGATATTGTTAATTAACTAAATACTTTGTTTTCTTTTTTTTGTCATTGATGATTCTGTTGTCGACAGCACCTTGTACTGTCACTTTGTGAGAACTCTTTGCTAGAAAGTATGAAAATGATAATCAAGAGATAAGCAAAGTATTATTGTCCATTGTTTTGACGATCAGCGTGTTTTTGAAATCTGTGGAATTGAACGCTTGCCACTAAACAAAAACAACAATATATGAAAATACTATATATACGGGTCTTTAATGATTTTATATTATAAAAGAATTTGTGTAAGATGTATTGTTTACACTACACGATAAGCTTTACTAAGGGATATTGATGATTTAAAGAGAATATGACAATGGATACTCTTGGTATTAGTCGTTGGGATTTGTAGATGAATTTTGAGTGATGATGATAGTGATTAGAGGTCAAAGGTGGAAGCAAGGGCTGGCAACATCTAATCCTTGGTATTAGTAGTGCTAGTGACACTGTCATCACTTTTATAATTCTGTCAATGAGCTGTCATCAATCGCGCAACAATTTCAATTGCAAGAAAATTACTGGTTAAATAATTCACAAATATTTATAAAATCGAGCATAATTGAAGTTGAACATTGTTCTGACCTTTAGATTGTAACAAAGAGTCAAGAATAATCATTGAGAAAGATAGTCCATATATCCTGGATTCGAGGCGATGGTGATGACAATGATAATGAATAATAGTAATTATTATGAAGAGTAATCGTTGACAATCGCGTGTACGATGTGCGCGCGCACCACCGGGAGAGATATTAACGAGAAATAAATTTAAGGTATTACTACGGTAAACTCAAAATCGCGTAATCGAGCTGAAATTTGTTTTACGTCTAATTTGTATAGCAGTACATCTCTCTACAAATTTTTAACACGATTCACTCATCAGTTTCCGAGTATTTCCGAGTTAATGTCAGGACTTGTAACACGTATTCCCTATACCTGGCCAATAAAACGCGCATGGTTTTTTTTATTGCATTTGACTCGTCCGCGTAATTCCGAAGAAAAACTAGTATGTGGCAAAGGAAAAAATTAGGAATTTTTTAGATTTTTAGTCAGAACTTTTTACTCATAGGATTTATTGATAGACATGAAAGAAGTTCGATATTTATTACGAAATCTCTCGTACGACGGCTAGACAAAAGAGCGTTACGGCAACATTGAGTTTGAGACTGCATTCGGTGTATATACGTATACACTACTACATCCAATGTACATTAGTGTGTGCCTATCGATGCAGGGATGGGCGTGGGTGAGTGAACTGTACCAGTTCAAAAGTTGACGCTGGATTGTTCAAATCTTACATTGAAACTTTTGTTATTTTTCGGTCCGTAGTAATACCTTAAAAGGGAAATAAAGGAGTACGATTGCATGCAGAATTAAAAAAAATCAAAGATATACTTACTTCAAAGTTCATCTGTACTGGACGTAAGAGTTTGTTTCTTCAGAATCCCAAACGCGAGTTCCTTACTTATTATCATTATCATTAAAAAAAAAAAACTCGATCCAATTTCACACAAAGCCGAATTGGACGCTGTTGATGATAGATATAAATAGAAATTGAAGTACTAATGAAAATGAAAAGAAAGAGTGAAATTACTCACGTAGATTTATTAAAATAGTCAGCTGATAAATGTGTACGTCACTCACGATTCACAAGAGACAAAATTCTCAGAGGCTTTGTGACTTTATATATTAGTAGAAATATGAGGAACGAGTTTTTTCTCGTAACTCAGAAGTTGCGTGTAGAAACAGAAAAAAAGACAATTATATTTTAGAGAATAGAGGACACCGTGATAATAATGTCTATATAGAAATATTAGATCTCGTTATTAGAATGTGCGACATAATGCGAAATGTCAATGAATGGAATTAGTGCATATGCCGGACGTCATATTGTTAATTTCTTTGTATACTTTAAAAAATTAACTTACCTACATTGCGTTTCATGAAAAGTAACTGTTGCATTTTCTTGTTTCACCCTCTGTGCGAACTATCGTGATACATAGCTCGCGCATAATCGTGTTCCCCTTCACAATTGTTTAGAAATAAAATGAAAACAAAGAGACACGAGACGACAGATAATACTGATCCCTTCCATGGTGTTCCTCTGTATGTATATCTATAGGTAGCATAAGAAATTTGAAAGGATTAACGGAAGTCGTGGCGGGAAAGAAGATTAAAATTCAACAATTATGGCCGCCCACTCGTACTAATGTTATTGTCCTTGTTATTAACGGTTTCATTGGTTGATTCCGGCTCTTGACACTGGGACTCGGTAAATTCGGTGTCACGATATCTACCGTTAATTACATAGTTATTTATCAATTATTAGTACAACTAATTTTGACGTGACCTTGTTACGTGTTCTTGGATTAACGAGACGCGGCATCCTTCATCATCATGAATGTCCGACTTTTTGGTATCCAAGAGATATTACATGGACCAACCTACGCTTATAGTATGTATTCGATTATTACGTTTTTACTAAGTATGTCATTTTTATGCTGACCATGAACGCTACGCAGTGCGTTTGTACATTCTTAAACGTATGACTAGATACACAAATACGAAACAGGGTTGGGGATGAATGAGTAAAAATAGATTTCTTGTTTAGTCGCATTTAGGGGATGATGGAAAACTATGAGATACCTGAAGAGTTTTTAGTGTAGACTTATTTTAAAGAAATTTGTCAGTAACAAATTGTTCCTTTGGGTCGTCGTGACGACCTGCGTTATGATTTTTATATAATATATAAATTGTCAGTTTGCATGCAGCTCACTCTGCCTTTTCTTTCAGTATAAAAAAATGCAGTATGAAAAAGTCATTATGCTAAAATGCTTGGATCTCCCTGTTACGAGAGCTGCACTTGAGTGACACCCTTTTTGGGTTGTTCTATCTTCCTGGTATGTCTTGACCAGGAATAATGTCAGTACTTCATTGTTCTCCTGGCGTATACTCTTTTCAAATTAATCTAATTTCTAGAACTTATACACCTTCGACAACTTTCTTATTTTTTTTTATGATCGGTACTGCTGCCCAGAGGGCTGTTCCTAATATAAGGATTATTCCAAATGCTAGAAAAATTGGTTTGTATGATCCTACTTGTTCATAAATACTACCACATACTGGTGGACCCACCAGTTGTAAAACACCATTTACAAATAATGAAATACCATACGATGAGCTAAGTTTTTCTGTGCCCAGCATATCTGCAAGTATCACTGTTGTAATACCAATATACATGCCTGATGATAATCCAAAAAGTGCACAGAAAAATGATAACATGGTATAACTACTAGCCATTGGTAGAAGGGCCAAAGCAATGCCACTAGTACCCAGCCCTCCGACAAAATAATAGTACTTTGGTATAAAATCTATGTCTGATAATGAGGCTCCACCGATCCTACCTACAAGATCCAAGGCAGAGACTATAGATAATAAAAGAGCAGACATGTTTTTATCAAAACCTTGAGAAATAGCATACGATGGTAAAAGAATCATAAAATTAGTATTGCTAATCGCTGATGTCGAGTTTGATATCAGTATGACCAAGTACATAGGATCACGTAAAACACTGAAGTCAAAGAATTTCATGCTGCTAGAATCTTCTTGAGATTCTGTATCTTTCACATTTTTTATCTTACTTGGCTTATTCGTTGCTTTTTTAGATGGTTGAGCTTTGAATATTCTTCTAAACATGCGTGGCACATTCATCTTAGGACTCAGCGCTATGGTACCCATTTCTGAGACTATACTGTGTTGTCTGGATAGACGATAAGAGGTCTCATTCTTCATGCTATGACGTATGGAATTATTTCGACTAGTCTGTGGAGTCTGCCCTGAGATTACATTAAGCTCCTTTCCAGAAGGAGGGTCGCCGTTTTCCGCTCTCGTATCTGCAGTATCATTCACTACGGTAGCAGTATCATTACTTTGCTCTTCGTCATTATCTATTTTTTGAGGTACCACTTCTTCAACCTGATCTTCCTCTTCATTAATCGTTTCCACAACAGTAAAAATTACTGTTTTATCTTGACCAAGTGACACTTCGGACATTCGACGGGCCGTCTCCTCTTCGGGATTCCCCGATTTCGGTGGTTCCATCTCTTCTTTCTTATCCAGTGCAACTTCGTCCAATGAGAGGGCTTGGTTATCAACGCCATCTTCAATGGGAATCGGAACCTCTTTCATATGTTGTTCTACAGGATGATAAAGAAGTCCACAAACCAGAGTATTTAGAGTAATGGCACCCATAATTAATACTGCACCCCTAAAAATAGTAAAAATAGAAATTAGAATTTAAATAACGCTCAAAAATTCAAATATGTTTCTCACTAGTGTACCAATTATTGGATGAAAACTTCAGTGCTTACCTGTATCCGAATTTGTCGAGGAGGTATTGTAGAAAGGGCGGAAGTACTATGGTACCAATGGCACTACCAGAGATGCAAAGTCCATTGGCAAATCCTCGTAATTTCACGAAATAGGATGTCACTATATAAACAGTTGGTGGAAACGATAATCCTGCTCCAATCCCCACCATAAGTCCATAACTAGTTGTTGGGAAAAAAAAAGAAATATACAATAGTAGATAAATAGTATTCAGCTACTTTTTATTCAATATTCGAATGGATTGGTTGAGACTCAACTCGGGCTAGCTTATGAGACTCGTATTAAATGAAACTACCACCTTTCTCTCTCGTTACCTTCGCGTGTTATGCAATATTAGAGACTGCAGTTGCAGTCGGAATTGAGCTCAGTTGATTTATACAAGAGAGAGCGGAAGAGCGTGAGAAGCAAAAGAACGCAAAACCGCGCAGGAGATGGAAAAAAAGTAATATATACAAAAAATCGAAATAACGGAATAGAGGATAGCTGTCCAGTTACCTGAAATAGAGGTAGGTCACTGAGTTTGCAAAGTAACTTAGCATCATTCCACTAGCAGCAAACGCTCCTCCAATAATAGTTACCGTCTTGTAAGAATACTTCATGGATAGGACACTGGAGAGTGGTCCTGAAAGTTTGTATAAATTAAAATTTTTTAAAAATTACTTTCAGATGGATTGAATATATATATATATATATATAAATGGTACACACCTAGGAAGCTATAAAGGAAATAACATAGTGCCGGCATCCATGACGCTGCAGTAGGTGACGCTTTGAACACCTGAAGAAACTCGACGAAGAAGACGCCGAAGGACTTCACTGTTCCTGGTATTAAGAAGTTGACCACAAGAGCGGATACAAGTACGACCCAACCCCAACCACCATCGGGGGCGACTAGTTTAGTTTTTTGAGTCTTGGCCACCATTTTTCTTTCTTTCCAGGCACTTGCTTTTCTTTCTTTTATAGTAAAATCAAATTCTCGAAACAGCCTGTAACAAGATGAGGTCAAATTTGAAATCAGAATACACATTGCTTTTGTTGTTGTTCTAAGAAACTGACAATATCGTGACGCGCTATTAAGCTGTTACATATAATTAATTAGTCAGTGTTATATTTCAATATAAATGATAATCTACATATGCATCGGATATCATTATATATTTATATTGGAAGCTAGTTTACTCGTATTACCATATCCCAGAATGATCCCATTTTCATGATGTGGATGATACTGATAAAGTTCGAAATAGCAAAAATTCTAACAAGTGCCTACGTGTATAATTGTATTAATGTTCAGATGCGACTTCACTAAACAAAAAAATTTAACCTCGGACAGTGATGCGCGAGCATAAAGAAATTGTTTGTTGTTTCCTCAATATTCCATGTGGATGAGAGATGCAAAAACAAAAAGTTGCTGACAATCGCATGCATAACTCATACTTTATTTTTTCATAATTATTTCATAACGCAGTTTTATTAGCAAACTTACCAATTGGAAATACGTCCATAAATAACATTCAAAATTCATATTGTCATATTCAAATATCACGCAATCATAATTTAACGTTCATCAGATATTTCATCAAACTAATGTCTCTGGTTTACCATAAAAAATTAATTTCACTGACTTGTTTCGAAGAAAAATAAATTAAAACTAAGGAACCAAGTGAAACGGTGGTCGACGTAAGGCAACTGAATTGGAAGAGACCTCCTTTCAAAAATTAAGCTAACGTTTCTTGTTTATATCGGTACGTTCGATTAGCGATCGAGGTGGGCGAGGAAGAGAGAGAAAACGAAAAAAAAAAAGATAAACTGTCCCTCGTCAGGGCATTTAGTTCGTATTAACGTCTTAGACCAAGTAAAAGCTATTGAATAGATACAGACTATGATTAAGACTGTAGACGGCGGCAATTCAAATTATCTAAAAAAAAGACGGAAATCTTGTATGAAAATGAAATCAGGATTTTCCTATTATCCCGTGACATAAATACTTTATTGCTGTTATTCAATATAAAAGTGACGCACGACAGTAAAAGTAAAAAATAAAAACCATGCATGATATATTATGTTTCTTTGGGATGAACAAGAACATGAAAATGAAGAGGAGATTGAATAAGAAGAGAAGAGAACATTTGATACAGCATTACATAAGAAACTAATAGGGAGTCATCGGTATGTTTTTCGAAAAGGTCATTGCGATCAACTATTTTGTATTCTAGAATCAATCGCCAATAGCAACGTACGTGATGACTTTAAATCATCAGGCGGAATATTCTTGCCTATGCGAAACTTCAACTACAGTCTGAAGCCAAAGTGCAATTTACATATGTATCGTGAAGATTACTTCTGTACACTGCGGTTACAATTTTCTTTTATCTCTTTCCAAATATGTTTGTGATAAGCCGTTTTGCTTTTGGAATGGATACGCAAACTCCATTAATGGTATAATGGTTGATTGACGTAAATGCTCGAATGACTATTAGAAGTCATTAGAGACTTTGAATCTTTCTTGAATGATAGGATTTCGTGAAAATTCTAATTAACGATGAAATCCCTAATGACCGCATTTTGTAATACATTCAAAATGTAATATCTATAGTGACCGAGTCGTAGTAACTTAAACTGCGGGACAACGAGCACTGATTTATTGATTGGCGCATATTCAGCGAGTAAAGTATAAATTGAGAGTTATTGCGAGATGAAGAGGTGCCTGACGATAATTAAATTTGTGACTCTTCTTTGTTGCAGAATTCCAAGAGTCTTTCAATATTTTGAAACATCAAGTGGAATTTTTCTTTTTGAAATAAATGAGCGATGTCAACAACGCCATTTGCTTAAATCATTATCAAGTTTCCATGATGAAATTCATGGGCGAAAGGAGCGGAGAACTCTAGCCGGAAGTGAAGTTTCTCATTGAATTCTACAGAAGTGATTATTATTTAACGAAAAAGAAAAGAAGCTCAGTTGGTTCGTGTCACTCTGCTTTCGTTATTGTCGTACAGTACTGACAGCAGTGACAACCTCCGAAAACTTTCTATGCGAGAAGATAGAGAAATTATGAAATTACAACTAACCTGATGACATCTAACGTCAAACTGAAGTTCGTTCGTGATTCTTCTGGAGGACCTTCCACTCGTTGCAGAATCTTCAGCAGACTGGCTTCGGACACGAACTCGGCTACTTTCTACCTGCTTCTTCCTTCTCCTACTGCTTCTTCCTCTTCTTCTGCTTCTTCTTCTTACTCTTCTTTATTTCACCACCTCGCAGGAGTGAGGACACTGTCGAACCTCAACCGCGTTCCCCATTGGTATATCAAGCAAGAAATTGTCCTTATATAAATCGGCGGTAATACAAAACCACCTAGCGTAGACTCGAAAAGAAACTTCAAAATGCCGCAAAAGCACTTATAGCCAGCTACAGTAAAATTGTGCTTAAAAAAATCCAAGAATTCCGTAATTCAAACAAAAGTTGTTAATCTACATCTATAGTCACTATTCTTGTACACTGATTGTCCTAGAGCTATAAGGAAACCGTGGTAAAGTAAAGCGCGCCAATTTCAAAAAATCTCAAACTAAAATCGTCTTGCACGTCCGATTAAACAAAGCGTAAGAAATTTTTTCTAGGATGGGCACCGCACCGAGAGTCGATCCTTACTGTACCGCCAACCCTGGCAGTTTCCTTTTAATGCCCAAGCGAAGTTCAGTCAGGAGAAGAAATAAGCAAGTTTACTCGTCAGGCAATGGCTAACCAGCCTACCTATACATATAAAACTGACTAGCCAACTAACTATATCATATAGTATCATAAGTATTAGTATAGTAGACGTTCAAAGAGCGACTAAGAGTGGGAAATTCTTCTGGCGAATGTGTCTCGTGCCCAGTATACATAGAGCATTGGTATATGTATCACTAATACCAAGTAACGTAATGTAAAGAGTAACCGATAAGGCATCCTTCTGAATAGTCGTGTCGAAGACACCGAGTTGGAAGGACGTATTACGTATTCCTGACGTTTGCATAGCAAGAGATATAAAAGCTAGAATCCCTTTTCGAGAAAACTAATGATAGATAGCCGACGCTTCCCTCTTTTGTACATACTCTTGTTGATCCCGGGACTATTCCTATTCCTTGTTTGCTGGTAAATATGTTGTGGCTCCTCCATGGTAAACTGTGGAGACTTTTACGTAAATAGTAGTCATGGGAGACGAGGAGCGGTGAACGGTATAATGGCGGAAACCAACGTCCTCGGATACAGCTACTTCTTATGATACATGCGCTACCTACAGATACTTATGGATACAACTAGTTCTTGCAGCAGTAATTCCTGGATCGGAGTCTGTCCATAGAATTGAAAGAAATTGTTAAAACAGAATGGACATAACTGTCGTACCTAACTACAAGAATTATTTAATCCCAAGTTCTGTTGTAAACTGCAAACTGCAAACAAACGATTGAACTTAGATATTAGAGAAAATTATTTTTCGACGACACACCATAGTCATGCAGATCATGTTATGGGATTATTGGTCGAGATAGAAAGTGGTGAAATGGAGAAAGCCATGTCTGCACTTCATCTTGGCAGTCATTCAGGTGTGTAGATTAATATTAAAGATGCATGAATTTCATGTGCCTATGTTATATTTATTACATGATCTCTTCTGAGCAGGACCCCTGTCAACTTTAATGTGACTTATGAATAAAAAAGGAGATGAAGACTCGCGAGGGAATATTTGGTGGACGCAAACTTGATGAAGGCCGTTCTGATGTCGAGAGGCCAACGACATCTTCTGTTACCATATACCGAAACAAAGTAGTCCTTTGAGATGAGAAAAAAAAAGTAAAAATCCATTACGACTATAAATGGTCGACCTCTTATCCAGGTATGAGCATTAACATGAGTCCTGTCTAAGTTTAGCCAATGGATGTAAACGGTGAAAGTTCTTACCAGGGTAATAATAGCATCCCTAATAACAGTACCGAAGAACATGAAAAGTGGAGTTGCAATGAAAACCACAACTGAAACTACCAACACCGATAGAAGTTAAATGAAAAATATTAATAGCAAGCATATAACCAAGCAAAATACAAGAACAATGCAATTGCAAATAATGTATAGCAACAATTTTTCATCTGCTATTCAAAATATGTATAGATATTGCATAAACAACTATATGACACGTAACAACACAGTAGTACCAAGTATAGTACTATTAATATAAAAATATGTATAATCGCAAGTATATTGTTCACTCTTTTTATTCTTCTTTCATTTTTTTCTTCTTCTCTGGCGCAAACTATTTTCTTTCTCCCCCACCTGATGAGTTAGCCTTGCCTGGCATGCGGTCTGTGCAGTGCTGGAACCCGTATAGCAACCTATAACACAGAATCGCGTTAGCGTGCATGCACGTAACGTAAGTATGCATTCAGAGTGCATATATGTTAAAGATGTTAATGTATAATATACATATATACGTAATACATGTGTACATGTACTATGTAGGATACCTAAGGGCTGTGCGTGCTTGACCGCAGCCTTTCTCGTCCGACTACTCCTCCTCGAGCACCTTGCCGAGAATCTCCCGTCTGGAAGCTGGTTCCCATGGCGTCTCTCTATCTCCCGGCATTAACTATTTTTTCTCGGGCCAAACTGGTTGGCTGGAAATAGCCACGCCGTGCCACGACACACCGGTGTACCAGGAATAAGAAGAGGAGTGTTGCTCCTTGCCTACCCTCGCTGGGATGACCGCAGTTGATACTACACAGTTCTGTGTGTATGCTACCTTAATAATGATAATCCTGGATCACCCTTATGAGACAACCATCGAGAGACTCGCAGGAGCATCGCACGCTTATGGCTTTGACAAGCACGTGTTTACATAAATATATATACAGATGTAGACTAGCATAGTGGTTGTAGATATTTATGTACTATATCGTCCAACTGTTACACATTATATAATAACTTAATACGTATGGGACCATGTAGGATATAAAATTAATAGAGGATGAGTCAACGAAAATTAAAATATTAGCAAATTCAATATTTTTCTGTCGTTTTTTACAAATTTTATATTTTAATTGATCAAATCAATCTTTCGAATCGTATGGGCTATTAAGTATAGTTGAGTCGTATGTTTACGAATGCCTTTCGGTGATTATCGTTAGATTAATAAACGACGCATCCTTACGGATATTGACGAAAGATAATTGTCGTTAGTGATAAACAATATTATAATGAAGTCTTAATAGCGTTGTTCATCGCGTTAAAGTAATGGCTGCTAATACAATATCTACGTGAATTTAACATTAATACTGTGATATGGTAGTAATTGTATTGTGTGCTTTGAATAATGTCGTATACCGGTTGCAGGCATAGAAATGTACGGCATAATTATATCGGTAAACCCCGAGGACGTTGGAGAGTACGATATACCCAGAAGATGACGTCGCGCAACGCCGGCAAGTCATGAATGGCGCTGTTTATTATTGAAAGAACGTTTTGACGTCCTTCGCAACGAGTGGAACATGGTGGATGACGTATTGTGTACCTGGTACGAAGATCTCGGCTTTATCCCAAGACTACACGAAATGCAAAAGGTCATTCTACTTTAATTTCATTTGATCCTTTCGACTGACAGTATGGGTTTTCATTGATGAAAATAATGAAAAGAGGAAAAGAATCATATATATACATATATACTACATGCACTATAATGTTTCCAGGTAAAAAAAAAGAAATCCTGTCTCCGTCGCATACGTGATCAGACGCGAAATGATCAATCGCAGGATTCTCCAGCTATCCTTTTATTTTACTGAAAGAAGCCGTAACGACGATGCTGCTGATGCTGGTGGTTAAAAGCTGACGTCCTTGAATACGATTACCATCCCCGGGAAGGATTTTGTCGTCCTTGCAACAAGAATCGTACGTTCCTGGATCTGACTACTAGCAGCGGCTGACATACTCACGTATGCACGTATGAGCTCACGTGCATTCATACACGCCCTATCCCCCCCCCTCCCCCACCCTTACGGTGTATAGTTAAGTGTAAACGTGTAGTATATTAAATTGCGTAGTAAACTTGTAGAGAAAGGAAAGTGCGTATTTGTGCTATTTCCAAAAGGGAATATGGGAATCCTTGAAACTGATGAAATATTCAGGTTACGAGAAAAATGATCTCTTACGCCAGGTGGTAATTGGATATGAGAAATTAACGTGATATACCGACTGCATTTATATTAACGAATAACTATGCGAAATTAACGTTGCTAACTATTAAATAATGCGGCTGGACACTTTGACACGATTAATCCGGCTTAATGATAAATTATCAGTTCCATTCAGAATTTGATGGGAATAACGGAAGATTATTTTTATAGTTTTCTCATTTATGTCATATGTGGAATTACGTAGAGTACATACATTAAATATACATATTATACATATATACATCGTCCTCGTAATATTCTCGACCTTGCGCCAATCAGAAAACATACTGATAGACAAATCATACGATACCATATATACAAAAGACATATTGTTTTCTATAAATACGTAATTTTACCTTGATATTCTAATTTTTTCCTATTCTCTGTTTTTATGTGGAAAAAAGAAAACTGCATTTCTGCGTGTATTCATAGCTTTGATTTCTTGTGTAATTTGTTCTTTACGCTGTCGCGTATGCGTCTCTTATTTATGTATACGTACCGATTCGATCCTCAATTATGGTACGATGACTCTACATGATTTCGAATATATGAAAAAATGTCTCGCGTGGCAATTACGTAAGGTCTTACGAGACACTCGTATCCTCGCTACGTGAGTAAGTGCATGCGTTATTATGCATGTGTAATAATTGCATATTATAAGTATATGCTATCGAATTAATCCGTATGCATTTTTAGGCAGCTGCAAAGGCAGAAATAAAAATAACATATCATATAGATATAGTAACGTTAACTTGACGATGGTTTTTTTGCCTGATTCTTTTTCTTCTTACTCTACTTTTATTTCCATATCGTCTTTCGTGTTTGTCGCTTCACAATATGTATTATGTCTTCGAGGAAGATATGTACGTGTGCTTGGGTACTGATTTACACTTATTCTATGTCACGTGTCGATTATCGAATGTCAAAACGTTCGATTGTTCGAATATGAGTCTTTGTGTACTTTTCCACTGAACATAATAATTATATACACATAAAATGCAGAATACATTCTGTATGGTATAGATTGTGTTCCATGCTTGTTATGTAGGAACGAAAATTTTTTCTCCATACAACTTTGGCATATCTTTGCTCTTAATTTTTTGTTTGCTGTCTGTCAGCTGATACCAATCAGTATGGTATTGAGTTTAATAAGAAATGTATTATTCCACTGCATAAGACACGACACATAAGTATGAATCAATAAGTTATCACGTGATGACAGTATGGGTAATGAATTTTTTCTTGGTACCAACTAAATCTATCTGATCTCATATCCTAATTTGCTATATAAGTTGTAGGAAAAAACAGCAAAAGATTCCATTGATAACTGTTCGTGTTCCGGAGTCGTAGGTGTCAACTGGTGTCCAGCCGACTGTCACATAGAGCCAAAAGTCCTTGAACTATGACCACTGCATAAAGAGACCATCGGCCTGCCATGATCTCACAAGTCCAGTGATGCAAACTTATCGTCGTTTTTGACACCTGAAGTGATCGATGGTCAGTGTTCTGTAAGAAATATACAAATGGTCATATCTGTTACCAGATTCAACGTCATTTATAATGATCAATTCGTTATCACTATTTTCTTTGTTTGCTTAAGTCAGAGAATTAACAGTTGATTACCTGGGATTGATGACAGTCATTTCAATTACGCACTTCAATAAGAAACGTTGTCTCTCTATTGATTAATAGTGCCTTACGAAACGGAGAGCGTATTGCTATTGCTTCGCTAGATGTACGCAATAATATTTGATATGTCTACGAAAATAAGTAATGAGTCAGCTCCTTTATTTTTTGTTTACAATTTTAGAGTCCAGATTAACAACGTGGGGTCCATGAGTGTTCAAGGTAGAGGGCCTATGAAATTTCAACATATTACACATACCAGGACAGCGATTAGAGCAGCACACGAATATTTGACAGTATTGCGATTAGTGTGTTGATACTAATAGAAGACCTGGAGTGAATAATGGCGATTGCACAATAGAAAACTTGAAAACAGTCGAGCCTACGTTCTAACTGATACCGTTGGTACTGGAGGTATTAATATAGAAAGAAGGCTAACGAGAGGTAAAAAGAAACTTACAAATTAAAAGGAAACCGGGAAAAGTCGAGAAAAGTTTAATTAAATAATCTTGGGATCGTTCACAGCGATGAAATAAAACTTTTCTAGACGTTGAAGATACAGTTATATCTATCGGAGACGCGAGTGCAGTGTTAATGGACCTAGCTGATGATTCGATTTATACGTAAATATGATTCAATTTAGTATTTCTAGATGGTGTTACTTGAGATATATTTGTTATTTAGTTTTATTGCAGAGGAAATATTATGCAAAGTATGTTTAAAATTGTATGGCAGTACTTGTACTGTACCACGTGGTACGTTGTCTTGACTCCGTTAAGTTTGATCACTGGTTTTTTGAAATTAAAAATTTATAGTAATTTTTTGTATCTTGGTTCGTCATGCTAGGGGAAAAAATTCTTGATTGGATATCACGGTGAGTAATTAATAAATTAACAGCTCGTTATTATTATCCCGTTTAATTTATTCAAGGTCGTTTGCGAGCAACAGGGAAATAGGAACAAAATCTGCATACTAACGTCGATGTACCCATCACGGATCCCATCGTGAAAACTGGACGAAAGGTCACTGAGAAATAAGAGGACCTGCGTAGAATGGTACAATGACCCAACGTGTTAAATATATTGTGTTCCAGCACGACTGGCACGTTTTATCGCGGTGATAATATACTTTTATATGCTTGGTCGGAATGACACTTTCTTCATTTCGTTGGTTTTTTTGCTATTAATATATGCATCTTGGTATAGGCGCTTGGAAAGTTTTCGGGAATTCCCGAGACTCTGGCGCCATGGAAGGTTAGCGGATGCGACTGGAAAATGATATCCAGTAGGTATTTTCTATCTTCTTATTCACGAGTTTCGTCGTTGTCTTATTTACCTTCTTTATTTTCTAGAATGGAAAGGCTGGAGAGCATAGGGCAAGTTTCCAACGCCAATTGAGCATGATTATGGCGTATGACGCGACCTCGATTCGATATTGCTGCATACGAGTGGTGTCTCTAATTTTCTAGAAGCGCATAGAGGCACCTGCCGCCATTTACGTTCTCCGACTGATTGGAAATACTGAATTGGTAGTGACGTCAAGAAAAAATGTTATGGGTTCCACTAAAGTATTATTGACGTTTCAACCCCGCAATTTCCGTTACGGATGTTCATCTATAGAGCAAGATCTAGTCTAATATTACCTGCGTCGTATTTCTTGATGGTGATGATATTTCTGGGACATAGTTTTTATATCTTTATCAGGAACGGAAGAATATCCTACAAATTACAACATTACCATCGGAACGTTAAAATGTATTGCATTAGCCATTTACGATAATTACACTGACAAGAATTCTCAGAATTAATGACAAGTTACAAAAACTGTCGAAGACAGGAAATTCTCATCGTTATTAGTAACTCGTAAACGATTGAGCAAAAATTATACAGGAAAAAAAAAGGATGAAGGCTAGGAAGATTTATTCAGACATATTCGTCTTTATGCATCGTCTCTATCCTTTATGATGATTTATGATGATCTACCCATGATGGACTCTTCGTAGCTTTGTGGGACTAGTCGGAAAACTGAGTAAACTAAACTTCTTACTGATAAAGATCAATTCTTCTGTTAATTTTGGCCAATTCTGACGCTTCAATCGTACGACTGGTCCGACAAAGCTGTGAAGATGCCTTAATAAATAGACAATACCGTGACCGATAATAAAAATAATATATTAAGTCCACAGGGAGTAGCGTTACAAATCGTCACATTAATCACATGGCGACGTATCAGGTATTAAATGATTACATCATGATTTTACATCGATTATTAAAGAATGCGAGAACCCCTAGGTTATCCGGAAAGCTTACTACCTAACGAGGAAAAAGAAAAATAGTAAAACGTTTTACCAGGATAAATAACTTCTAACATCTTAGAAGCAAAGGGTTGGACATTCGGATGGGAAACTATTTACAATTTAAATTTCAGTATGTTTGCACAGCATTCTGTCGGATACTTCAATAATAATGGGTATCGTTACAATAAAACGTTTGTGATCGGTTTAAAGATAATCGTCAGTTGTCGCGCCATTGTTTTCTGTTTTCTGGTACATCTAGCAAATACATAAGTATTTTATGCATTTCACAAAAATTCCAAAGACAAGTATGTTGGCTACTCTTACTCGAATATCGAGATTATTCAATCCGGTAAATATTGCACTATAGCCGCGTCCTTCCAATAATCTTTTTTGTCTGAGTAACCTCGAGATAAAAGTCGGTAATGTTTATCCTTTGCTATCCTCTTTATACAATGGCTCCATGCTGTTGCGTTTTCTTCTCCCGTTATTGCGAAATCGAAACCCATCCTCACGGGATTACTAATCATCGACGAATAAACAGCAATGGTGATCTTAAGATATCTGACAATCGAGAACATTCTCTTAGGTAGAAATACGAAACACGTTTTTTGAATAATTACTATAATGGTTTTTCGCATTTAAATATTACGCATATGCGCACGCCTGTTGCTACTTCCTGGGGATGTTGTCTGGCGAAATACATCTGATGTACAATTGCATACGTAGTTTACCATGAAGATCTCAAGTCGCCAAGAATTCATTTTGTTTTAGAGAGACCGTTCGAATAATTTAGTATTTCTTTTTTTAAATCACTGCACAACGGGACGAAAATTAAACCGTAAAATCGCGCCCAACGTTCATTGTTTCGCGACGTAATTATCACCTAATTTCAAATATCGAAATTTTAACGATAAAAAATATTACGCCTTAGAGCCCAACAAGTATACAGTTAAAGTATGTAGAATTGTATAATACTAGTCGTTTTGGCGCAGACAACAACAGTAGCCGTAGTATAACTTGGCGCCAGGAATTGAACGGCTTTCGATTTAATGTAAAGTCAATAGGCGCATTATCGGACTTCCAATTAGAAATCCTGAATACCGCGTGAATACGAATTTCTCGTCTCTTAAAATAGACCTTACTTTCCTGAAGGCTATCGCGTGACACTATTCGATATAACTCCGTAGCCTTTCACCGTCGTGAGAACGCCCATTAAGTACACCCTGGACAATAAGTCATCCTCTGGATGAGAGATTCAACGTTCTAAGGACTACGACAATGACAACCGTCTACCAACGACTGTTCTCATTATGGTCTTTCAGCCAAACATTTATTGTATCCCAAACGAGTATTGAAAACGGATATTAATTAACTCGTCGGCAGGATGGTACCGTCATCCTGGGACTCCTCGGATCTTTCACTCTTGACAGCTATCATATCAGCAGCGTTACTATGCTGCTGACTTTTGTGCATGTTATTTATACTGCCAACACTGGCAGCAGGATCGACAGTACCGACAACGTGTTGCGTCGCGTTACCGACGCCTTGGCGCCGCTGCGCCGCATTTTCACGTTCTTCGCTGTTCCCTACGGTCACGGAGTTCACAGGATGCTTCTTCATGTGCGTCGTCAAGTTGCCACTGTGGTAGAATTCCTTGCCGCACACTCTACACTGAAATGGCTTGATGCCGGAATGTATTCTCTCGTGAATGGAGAGATTGCCACTGTGACGAAACTCCTTTGCGCACACGCTACACTTGTATGGTTTAACGCCGGAGTGAGTCCTCAGGTGGGTTGAAAGATTACCGCTGTGGCTGAACATCTTACCGCATATTTGACATGCGTAGGGACGTTCACCGGAGTGCGTTCTCATGTGGATGGCTAAATTGCCACTATGTGTGAAGCACTTTTCGCACTGGCTACATTTATATGGACGTTCGCCATTGTGCGTTCTCATGTGGATAAAGAGATTGCTCTTGTGACCGAACTCTTTAAAGCAGATTTCACATTGACACTTCAACTTTTTTCCTGTAGTTGTTGTCGAACTGCTTGACGACTTTGGAGGCCTTCCTGGACCATTGTGCTTCGTTGGTGAGGAGGATTGTGTTGCCAGGATTGTTTGGTTTATCGTTGCTGTTGGATGCTGCATAATTTGTGAGAGATGATTCGTTTGGCTGTCCTGCGATAGATTTGTGGATGTTTGGTGATTCGGTAAAGATTGATTTCCAGCATTAGTTTGATGTTGTTGTTGTTGTTGTTGAGCTATTGGGAACGGCATACCGTTTTGTTGTAAATAACTGGAGACAGACAGCTGTGGCATGGGTTGCTGTAAACAAAAATTATGTTAAAGGTTTGAAAGATTTCAAAGTAAACGAGTCATTTTCTTATTAATATTTTATATTCAAGCCACTTACCGCCATCTGTGGAACGTCTTGACGGACTATTGTTTCATTTTTTGAAGATATTTCTGTGGGAGTTTGATTGACCTGCAATTGTGCTTGGCTCCAAAATTGTGGCAGTTGACGATACATATATTCAACATCCTGATTGGTGAAAATAGGATATTCTGATGATCCTTGGACACTGTTTGTAATATTTTGGTTACTGTCCTCCACAGCTGGATATTCCTGTTTTATCTGGACCGGGCTAAACATCTAAAAAAATTGGAAAGCAAGAATTCAATTATAGGTTGAAAAACATAAATATCTGGAACTTACATTGTATTTCTTAGAAGTTTTACTAAGTAGAAATACGGATTTAGTATACGGCATACAACTGAAACATAAGGTATATCGAAATTCCTTAACGCTGTCATTATGAAAGAAAAAACAATCTCCTTAAAACCATGAAAGTGTCAGAAGTAACCTCAATTTTTTATTACTCACAGTAAACCCAGCTACATGATCGCCGTATTACTTCCTAGCAACAGTGCAATTACATCAGCGGAAACTTGCAGAACGAGATAATCCTTATTTTAAAAAATCAAGGTATAACATGTCTTGAACGAGTTCAGAGATGGAAAATTCTTACGATATACAGTATTAAGATGGCGATACCAATTTTCGTAATTATGTCGAGAACAAGGTCATCAAATCTGAATGCACAGAGTTATCCTGAGCGACGCGTTTAAAGAACCTCGTAAAACTCTGGTCCGGAATGCGCAACAATTTTCACGTTATTTTTTTTTCTAATGAAAATGACACAATAGACAACTTGAACGTAGCAAAGAATCATCAACAATCATGAATGAATGAACAAGAAAAAAAACATTAGAATGCTGTTCACCTCGTTGCGCATCAGCACTGCGCGCTAATGTCGAGTTCACATCTCACTTTTTGAATTTCGAAACAGCAGCCAATCGCAATGCACTTTCAGGTCTCGTCACTGATGCAACACTTGTTATTTGTTGTTATGCATTCTTGTCGCTCGACTCGCTTATTACGAACTAGTATGAATCGAGCATTCGATTGTAAAAGTTATCTAGTGAAAGTCACTAATGCTCCTTAGATCCTCTGAACAACGTGTCAGATTGTGAAAGCGGTACCAGTGCAGTTCACAGTAAACCTTTTGACATCTGTTACTTTAACGCAGAGTTTTTAAAAGTAAATCTGTATTATTGCATTATGAGCGAGATTGAGAAATTGCGTCAAAGGATTAAGGACTTGGAGCAACAGCTGTTAGAATCGCAATGTAAAAGTGCAGCTAGAGAAAAAATTGCACAAATGTCTAGTGAAGTGGTGGACTCGAATCCTTACAGGTAGTTTATGTCTACATTATATACAGATTTAGATAATGGTTATGACAATTATTGCATGATTATTTTTCTCCGTTAAATTGTATTTTTTAATATTTAAATATTTTATTATTTGATTTTGATGAATTGTATGTTCTACCCATGTGTAAAGGCACAGTTAGTTTTTGGAGTTATATGATTTGAAGTATGTATATGAGTATGTAACGATTTTTCTTTTTTCAGTCGTTTAATGGCATTGAAACGTATGGGAATTGTAAATAATTATGAAAAAATACGTGAATTATCAGTTGCAATTGTTGGTGTTGGCGGTGTTGGTAGTGTGACTGCGGAAATGCTTACAAGGTGCGGCATTGGCAAGGTAACGGTTGCATTATTAAATATGTTAAAAAATGATTTTGATAGTTACGAAATATTTATTTAATGTTATTGTATTTTTGCAGTTAATACTCTTTGATTATGACAAAGTGGAGTTAGCAAATATGAACAGATTGTTTTTCCAACCACATCAAGCAGGACAGAGTAAAGTGGAAGCAGCAGCAAAAACATTGCAATCAATTAATCCAGATGTGGAGATTGAAACTCATAATTACAATATTACAACAGTTGATAACTTTTACAATTTTATTGACACAATAAGGTACTCTTTATAGTTAGCTCCAAAATTTTATGCATTCTTTGTCATTCACAGCATTTCCTTTTTTGCTTGTGATAATTGAGTAATTGTACTGTAAACTGAAATGTGGTTAATAATATCTTTCTTCTTTTTCAGTACTTCAAGTCTTCTTGGTGGACCTGTCGATCTTGTATTAAGTTGTGTAGACAATTTTGAAGCACGAATGACAATAAACACAGCATGCAATGAACTTAATCTCAAATGGTTTGAGAGTGGAGTATCAGAGAATGCAGTTTCTGGTCATATACAATTTATAATTCCTGGTGAATCAGCCTGTTTCGCTGTAAGCTTAAGCATCTATAATATAAACTTTTGTAATTTCAAATATTTTCAAATCTTTCTGTATTGTTTTTAGTGTGCACCACCTCTGGTAGTGGCAGCGAACATAGATGAAAAAACATTAAAGCGCGATGGCGTATGTGCCGCTTCGTTACCGACAACAATGGGAATTGTTGCTGGCTTCCTAGTGCAAAATACTTTAAAGTATTTATTAGGATTTGGCACAACTTCCTATTATCTAGGATACAATGCGATGCAGGATTTCTTTCCCACCATGATATTGAGGCCAAATCCAAATTGTGATGACAGTTATTGTCGTCAGAGGCAGGCAGAATATGCAGCAAAACCAAAAGTTGAACAAACCTTATCTGTGGCAGATGCTGACGAAGGAGCTATTCATGAAGATAATGAATGGGGTATAGTTTTTATCATTAAGAAATTGATAAGCATCGAGATATTGTAGGACCACAACCAAATTGTTATTAATTTCATTTTTCTCTTAGGAATTTCATTGATTGACGAGACAGAATCAATTAATGAAGGGAATGCAACGAGTGAGATTAGTACTGGTATAAAACTAGCTTACACAGTACCGCAAGTTGTTAATACCGAGTCACAAGAACAAGTGACCAAATCTGATGGACCAAGCTTAGAAGAATTAATGGCTCAAATGAAGCAGATTTAAATTTTATCCACTTAATTTTTCTATGCATTCATGTGAAGCTTTTTAATATGTATATAAAAAGGAATATTATACAAGTATTAAACATGGTATGAATCTATTACTTGATATTGTTTACCTTACTTTATTATAAAAATATTAATACAAAAGTATATTTACAAATGAAATGTAATGAGATTAGATGTCGAATCGTTCATAACAGATTGCTTGACCCTCTTCTTCATATTCCTCTTTTGTTACAATCATACTGGAGAGTCTTGAATCTCGTGATAACAATTTTCCACCCTCCCAGGCATAGGTGATAGGACTGGAAATATAGAATTATGTGAAAAGACCTCATTTTTGTTATAGTCAATAGTTCTCTAGTTATTTCATATACTTACTCCTCCGGTCGAACAACGTTCACTGAATACTGTGATGGTGCGAGACTCCTAACTTCCTTCAGAACTCTATCTCGGAATCCTGGAAACTTTGCATTCCCACCGGTGAGAACTATATTAGCTAGTAAATGAGGCCAAGTCTCTTCACTGCAAGCCTTCAAAGAGTCCACTATAGCTTCTGGTATTCCTATTTGATGAATGCCGACATCGGATGGATGAAAAAGGATTTCTGGTATCGCGAATCTTTCATTATTTAAACGTAGAGTCTGTTGTTCACCCGGCGCTTCTGGTTGTCTGAGAAATCCACGCCTCAGTGATGTATAGTCAGGTAATACATAGTCTCTAGCAATAGGATTAATTTCCAATTTATTCTTTGCTGTGTTCATGTCTTTGTAGAAATCTTGTGATACAAAACAAGAATCTTCTTTGGCTTGATTAATTACATATGTCTCATCCATAACATGCAACTGGCGATAGGATATTATTTCTTTGAGATGATTTGTTAGCAGCTTTCCACCAACATCAATTCTTCTAATTCCATCTTTGACTTTTACACCGTTCACGTATGGAATAATATGAGTGAAACTGTATCCACTGTCAACTATTATACAACACTTTGCTGTTGGATTTTTATTTCTATAATGATAGCAAGACAAGCCAGATGCATTAATTTTCAGTATACTCTGACAATCATACTCTTCAAAGAATATCTCTGTCATAGCTTCTTGTATCGATGGAAAATTGAAATGAGGCTCCGTTATAAATAATGGCATTTGACTCAAATTAGCAGAACACTGTTCCTTTGAGAATATGTAATCCCATACTGTTTTCTGAATATCCCAGTTAATGAGATAACCTTTCTGAAATGGCAAAATGTAAAAGAGTCCAGATGCATCGCGACATTCTTCAATTTGACTTCCTACAAACGGTCTCCGACGTTCACTTTTTGCTTTCATTATGCAATTTGGTACCAATCTGTGAAGAAAAAGTTATAGTGCAATTACTGTATATCTCTAAGTATGAATTACTATTACTCTCGTGAGTTATACATTAATAATATATTTATTGCTAATCATTTATACGAGAATAGATTAAATAGAGCCGGCTTTTTACTGTCTAGAATAACCTTTAGATTCATTGCAATACTCACTTTGGAGAAGCTGTAGAAAGTCCAACTTTAGCTGTACAAGCACCATTATCCAATATGAATGATACATTAGACATTTTAATTAACCACTTTAGAAATTCTTTAAAACAATAATAAACATTTTTAACTTTTTTACTACAGATGCACAACGCTACTGTTATAGGTACAGTCTTGTATACATGTCTGGACTGGTCTGGACACTTCCCTACCCCTACCACGTCATAGCTGTAACCGTTAATATTGCCGGTTTCGCCCGCAAGCACTAGCGTCGAAGAAGCCTGCTGCAGACACACAAGAGCGGTTGAACATCTTGCTGATCCTCATGTAAGTGGTATAATTTTTCGCGGGAAAGTAATGTATAGGTTTATTACATTTATATCAGAGTTTATGTTACCTGATTTAAGTGGAGACGAATATATTCTTGAGGTGTTAGAGAAAAAATAGTGTGTGGACTTCAACATACGATGGTTGTTAATACTGAAGATAATGCTTCATCTTTACTGTCTACACCCAGTAAAGAGAAACCTTTTATTCTGGAAAGAAAAACAGTTGATTATGAGGATTATTCTGTAAGATTCTCTCAAGAGAAACAGGACTACTCCGTACAATTTGCTCATGTATATTCAGCAAGGCTTAACGAGTTAAAAGATATCCTTATTAAGGAAATATGTAAAAAATGGGGTTGGTTTATTTTTTTATACATTTTTTAATTCATAAACTAGTAAATTTATGACTTACTCAAAGGTTATGACTTTGTATTGTATTATCTCTGTTACTATAGGAAGTATTCGTATTGTGAAACTTGCTGAGTTGGAAGAAGTTGAGAATGAGCGCTGCGTTATAATTGGTACACAATTCAAACACCAACAGTGGAAACCTTCAATTTTAAAAGAACTGGGTGACGACCATGACTTGATACCAACAGTGCCAAGAAATGATTACTGTTCTGAGAAAGATGTTCCTTTCTTAGAAGATGAGATGTTGCGTGTGAAGCTCGTTGGAGACAAAGTCAATATAAAAGATATTGTTACTGGAATTGTTTGTGCAGTTCTTGGACACGAGAAGGCAGATGGTACCTTCGAAGTATGCCATCCATACACTTCATTCAATACCTGAACCAACTTTTGAAGTTTAACATTTTATTTTGTAAATAAATTTATAAATCAGGTTGAAGACTGGTGCTTTCCTGGCTGTGCACCAAAAACTATTACTCCAGAACCTGTCACCAAGGGAAAAGTATTAATATTATCTGGCTTAGATATGGTTCATCATTCCCAGTCATTATCCCAGTCACTTTTAACGGAATGGATCTGTGGAATGGCTGGAAATTCAATAGCTCAAGCAGAAGAAGCTTCCATTGTCCGTGTTATAATTGCTGGTAATAATTTAACCATATAGAATATACATATATAGAAATATAATTACAAGTCACTAATTAACAATTTATGGAACTATTACCTTTCTTAATCAGGAAATGGAGTTAGATCTAGTCCAGAGATATTCTCTAGCACTGGACTCTACAGTGGAAAAGCAAAGGACCGTGAAGTTTATAAGGAAACTGCTGAGGGAACAAAACGCTTAGATTCGTTCATCAACGAGTTAGCACAATGCTGCTTGGTTACGTTAATGCCAGGTCAGCATGATCCAACAGGTGTCATGCTACCACAAAAACCACTACATCCTTGTATGCTACCAAAGAGTTCAAGGTAAAATTTGATTTTTCGATACCTAAGATCAATGTGCAAACAAATAATAATATTCATTGAAATAATCACAACGCCCATTCTTAGATATGAAAACTTCACTGGTGTGGCCAATCCATGGAGTGGTAAAATTGGTACCCGTGTATTCCTGGGCACAAGTGGTCAGCCTATTGAAGATATTATGAGAGTGAGTGGATTGGCAAACGGGACGCCTCTGGAGTGGCTTGCAAAAACACTGGTTTGGAGACACTTGTGTCCCACCGCACCAGATACTTTACCGTCTTATCCATATTGCGGAAAAGATTTGTTTATAATTCACGAATGCCCTGATATATATTTTGTTAGCAATATGGACAAATTTGAAACAAAATTGTGGATTGGTGAGTTTCTGATGTTTATCAAATTAAAAAATATTATTTGTCCTCAGCTTACTTGATCGGGTCAATATGAAATTCTTATTTTAGGACAAGACGGTCAGAGGGTCAGATTAATTTCGGTTCCTCAATTTTCAACAACTAATACGGCGGTCTTAGTCGATTTGGATTCATTGGATACACAGATCGTTTCATTTGGTACCAGCTGATAAGCATTTATGAATATTCAACTTTATAAAACCAGTAGTTTTATGTGAAAACTTTTGTATTATCTGTATACCTCAAATTTTGTACTACCAACACGTCACGTAATTTTTCTATCAAATATAAAGCATACAACATATTACTGATCAGCTTCTTTCATGGATGAAACTAGACAAAATTTACTATACTTAGTGCTACTTGACTACATCGTACTTTTGTTTGTGTTAAATCATCAGAAACTTAAGCACAGATTGAAACACACCGAGTTGAGGTTTGAATTGGCACTTTTATTTTACGCAGTTATTCGTTCTGAAATATAAATACATTTTTTGTACAAAATTGGTTTGATCTATTCCGGTGAGATTTCTAAAGGCGCGGGACAATATCATCGTCGTACAGCAGGACAAGAACGAAGAGAGATCAATAAATATAAAGATAGAAAACGAATGTGGTCCAGTTACGGAAGAATGAAGATGTACGATAAGAAATGAGAAACAGCAACGAAGAGAATGAGACCAAAAGAGAAATCAACTGTAACAAGGATGAAAAAGTGATAAGATCTCGAAAGAATTAATAACAATATTACAAATTGAAAACACGAGACTCCTCAAGTTCCAACAGTTCCCTAATAACAATTTTGCCAGAGACACAGAAGAGTGGCGTTTTTAAATGACAAAACAAAAAGAGAGAGAGAGAGAGAGTCAAAATGGCGCTAGTGACTCGTGTAAAACAAGAGGTTGTTGTTGTTTAGCCATTAAACGTAAAAGCACGCCGTAAATGAAGTTATAAAATTTATATTTATAATACACTTTACAGATTCGTAATACCATTAACTTAAGGTGCATGTCACATTACCCACAGGTATATATAACAATTGACAGGTAGCTTCTGCATATAGTAACGACGGCGTTATTAAACGTACTGTGTGTTTGTGTTGGTGATAGTAGTCATCATCGGCTCCTGAATTCCTATTATTTCCTATCTCTTCGCCGTGGGGCGTATCCTCTCTTTTTCGGTATCCCGGTCGTCCGCAACCGTCCACTCGGGATCATTCGGATCCTCCCCTTCTACGTCGCAGCACGCAGACTCCGTGGAATCCGATTCCGGCGAGTCCAGTGCGGCTTCCTGCAAATTCCCGGAGACAGCACGTTAACCATCAGCATTTTTTATATTCTCTTTTCTGTCCATCAATTCTTTCTGCGTCGTTCTCTCCGTCTCTCTCATTGTATACCATCTCTCCCTCTTTCTCGCTTTCTCTGGTATTCCTCGTTTCTCTTATTTATTTCTCCGTCTTCGTTTTTCATACTCTCATTTAATTCAGCCCCAAATACTTTTTTTTTTTCAGACAGAACAACATCGACCACGTTTATAATTATCTATGGTTAACTGTTTCCTTGCTTTCAATGACTTTTCATTGTCTCTTTTCAACGTAAGATGCAATGGTTACCGCGTATTTCCATTCGTTTCTCTTTACAGCCCCTTTCCTAGTGATCCTTTGATAATATTAATCAAGTCCTTTGTCATGGCGGCTGTTCGCCGATCAACGTTGCGGAATCGGATTCCATTGCTGGATTCTATGATAGAGGATTACCAGGGTTTTGTAAAACTATCGGTTTCAGTTATGAATTTACACTTAATCATTCGTCCCAATGACAATTCATTGATCATTTATTGACAGTGAGCAACGCTGCCACTCCAACGCGAAGTTTTTTCTTTTTCTCTCTTTTCTCTGATCTACTGATTAATAAGTGACTATTAAGTACGTACCTCGTCTCGTTTGTCTTCTTCTCTCGAGCATAACGGCGCAACCGATGGTTGCCAATGCCCATCAGGCATCACTTCGAGCATCTTGTCGTAGATCTCCTCCGACAGTGGAAATATCCTTGGCTCGTATGGTAAAACCTAAAACAGCAAAGCATACCACAAACTCAATAAAAATTAATCTACCATTAAGAAAAAAGAAAAAAACAGATACAAGTTTCCTTTGAGCAATAACACCATATGCATTTTCTTGATAAAAAAATATTTTTCTTAATTGCAATTCCTGCGCAATAATGATCAATGCTCTTGTTGAGTGATTCGTTGTCTGTACTATGTGAATTGGTTTTAATTGACAGACTTGAGCTTCGTCGCAAAATAAATATTACACTCCTAGGACCTTTGTTATTTTCTACTGCATCGCAGGTTGCGGTATTAAAATGGAACCTTCAAAAGTATATATCAAATATCTTCGTCAATTATACAAATGACGATGATTAATGAGGTCGGTATAATTAATTGTACAACTCAATGCTAACAGTTTTAAGCACCATTCGTTGGCGTGATTATAAATACTGCCATTAAAGCCGACACTACAAACGTAACAAACACGTGAACCTTGATAAGGTATATAAAATTAAAAAAAAAGAAATAGTCTACTTCACAAACACGATACGTAACATCTGGATGATGCGATACCGCAGAATTCATTTAATTGACCCCTAATAATTAAGTATGATATTAAACATTGATATCGATGAAGATAGAATATCATATTGCATATTTACACTAAGATAAATCACGTATAATCTTAAGCTACAATATTTACAAAATAAACATTACAAATGTGACGCAGCGCCGAAAATTAAATAAAATTGATGACATAACAGAGACTTTTTAACGAACGTTCCACTCGTGTGCAGACGACGCCTGTACTATATAAAAAAAAAAAACTAGCTGTTTAATCTTGAATGGAATATATATTTATTCCCACTTGAAATATCTATAGGCGTTATCGATTTTGCTAATTGTTGCTCTTAACTGCGTATAATTTGATGCGAGTGTTTTGACCGTTCTCAAAAATCACAAACGAGGACAATGCTAATCGATGAACATAACGACGGCGTTATGATACTTTCACAAAACGATGATTGTACCCAAGGTAGCAAAAGTAACGGTAATAGACGCGGGGGTTCCCCCTACGTATGATTAGGAACGTAGGCGTTAATTTATATACAGGCGACAAAGAATAAAAAAATATATATGTATATAAGATTATAAAAAAGAAAAAAAATTCAGGATCAACGTACAATAGTTACCTCGTTTTCGTCTTCCGTAAAAGACGTGCCCATCTCGTCTCTGGCCATTCTCGACGAGGATATGGTGCGTCGTCGAAAAGCATTTTGCAAAGCCGAAGGGCGGTTGGGATCCGTATGGTGTTCCGCATCCTGGAGAATCGAGGGCGTGGCTGGTGGCGACGTGATAGGCGACGCGACGTCACCGCCGAAGTCACTCGCATGAGGAGACATAGGATCTACAACGTATTGAGATATAAATTATTGCTATCCGACCATTACCGACTTTTATTTCCCATTTATTCGATAAAATAAACATAAAATTCTATTACTTCACAGCAGCAATCAGATGCACTATAATTAGCCACTTAGTCTTAATGATATTTTCAAGGTAACGGCAAATGGTTTGTATTCACTTTAAAAAATCGAATCGAGAATAAATTTCTCTTCTAAATTGCAAATAAGGGTATTTTAACGTACCTGGCGTATTCGCGCCGCTATCCGCTCGGCTGTCAGCCCGCCTATTGTGACGAATACGAGACTGAGGTGGCATGTTCACGTAGGTCATGAAGCGTTTATTTTCTTCCCTCTCACTCCTTTCGTGCCTCAATGCTATCATCTCATCCGACACGTCCTCGATCTAATTAAATGACAAAAAACCAAACGCTTTGCTTAGGTTCTGTACACGCATATTGACATCTATTTCGTAAAACTGGTTTTACACGTCGAAGATGATGAGTTTACAAAGTACGATGGACTTTTTGAGAAATACATAATAAAGACATGAAACAACTTGCTGACATTTTGGAAACCCTGTATAAAAATTAATTTAAAAACAAAAACCAATTTGATTAAACTTACATCGGTATCTTGACTAGGCCTACGCATGACACCATTCTTCACGTCCATTTTCGATGGTTCCTCGCACAGCCTCCACCTGAACAAATAATTACGTCGAGTATGAGAATGTAGCCAGGATGAATATTTTTATAAAGATATCAAACAATTATTACATCTTTAATTCATTGCGTGCACTCACTTTGGTGTCAGAATCTCCTTGTACTGTAACTTCTCCAATCTCGTAGAGGCAGCAACGCTGTACGGTATAACAATATTGTCAATGTCGTACGAATTCTGCCTCAAACGCCTAAAACATGAGATACGTAAAAATTTAGTGACACACATAAACGAAGGAGACCTAAAAGAAAAGAAATTGAATTAAAACATATCCTTACCCGTGGGGATTGGTACTCTTTTCTTTGAGTGGAATCTTCTCCACAGGTGTCGGAGTGTGTTGCAGTGGGGAAGGCACCGGAGAAGAGTGCTTACTGGATCCTGAGAGGGCACTCGCATCCTCGTCATCTTCGGGTGGCGTCAATTTCGCGATCCTCTTCCTACTCATACCGTGAATATTTCTGTCGTGGCTGTGCCGATTTCTCTTTCCCTTAAGCATCTTCCTCTTGATTCCTGTACGTGCAACCCAAGAAACGCATCGTATAATCATTATTAAGAATTTAAAAAAAAGTCTATATCCCACTTCAAAGAGTATACGCACGTGCAGTCAAGATACTCGACGAAGACTTTTTGAGTCTCGCAGCATACTTGGTCCGGTGTTCAGGTATCTTTTTGCTTCTTCTTTCGCCACTGTCCTTATCTTTGAGCCGTGTCATTCTCAAGTTTCCTCGTAGCATCTTCTGCTGCCACTCTACCGATTTCATGATCGCCTCCAGGTGCGTACCATGTGAAATTTCTAAAAGCAACAAGAATATTATAGCACACTGTTAATTCATGAATTATTGCTTAGAGTAGCAACAGTAACTAGTGATGATATTCACCATCGGGAAACGATAGGACTGGATGGTAACCAGGATCGACCAGGGCGACGCGTTCCTGTACGGAAAGTTGCTCTAAAGGTTCCTGGCTCTGGGTAGGATCTTGCCTACCAGTGCACAATGCACACGGTGGTAAAACGTGATCACAATCACATCTCACTGTGGAAGCTTTAGCAGCTCGCTTGGACACCTCGTGCAACCTGTCGACCTGCAGCAACTTCCGCTTCCTGTACATGCTCCAAACGAAGGGCCTTGTTCTACTCGCCGAGGACTCCGTCTCCGGCGAATTGAAACGACCCGTCGAACCCGGCAAGACTCCACTGTACCCATTTATGGTCTCCGTATTCTCGAGCATCACCAGTCCTTTGCTGGCACGAACATGACGCTGGAGATCATTGTGCTGCCGTATACGGTACTCCAGGTCGGATATTTGTGCCTGCAGCCAAGTCCACCGGGACGCTACCCCGGCACGATCCTGGGCATATCGCCAGCCAGCCCTTTTGGAACTGTAAATATTTTTAAGAGAAAAAAAAAAAAGAAAAAACATTCAGAAAACCTGGATGGATTCAAATGGATTTACTTATCACTAAATTGTTCTATGTATTGGGTTGGCAAGAAAGTAATTTCGGTTTGCACAAATAGATAGCGTTATGTTTACCGAAATTACTTTCTTGCCAACCCAATATGTTTGTAAGTTGATATGCCATTGTGAGTTGCTAAAATGTACTGGCTACTGATTATTGTTTGACAAAATTAATGTTCATGCCGCTGCTATTATTTGTATAATGAGATGTTACTTCATTTTCTTTCTTGTTCTATTAATATTATGCGACGATAATATTAATATGCAACAGTGTTTTATTGTTTTATCCAAAACGTGATTTGATCTTTGGTCATGATAATTTATTCATATAAAACTCTCTGACGCAGACGTCGGCTTGATAACAATAATAATTATGTAACATTATTTTATTTAGTCTCTGTCTTGATTGTATCATCTATTGTACATTAGTTAATTGTACAATAATCAGGGATGAAGCTATAGCAAACAATGTCTATCGTGAATGACACATTGGTACCGTCCTAAAAATAATTTCAGTACACCTAAGAAATCTTTTCAAAAATGTAAGGGTATATCAATGACATACGATGATGTACAAATTAAACAGAAAAAAATCTAGCATACATCACTAATATTTACTAATCAATGAGTGAAAGTGGATACATCAAAGATTAGTCAATATTATTGTTTGCATAAGGGCGTAGTGCAAAGGTATCCAATGTGTGAGAGAATTTGTTTCAGCAAGGTTTCTACCACATTGATAATTATAGATCCAATCAGAAACAATTAAAAAGCTTTTTAAATCTTTAACATTTTATGTACTTATCAGAGATAAGTGTTGAGAAATTAACAGGTGTCTGAGCGATCAGTTATCTTGTGCTTTTTTTCCCTTCCCCTTGCTCTGTGCTAATCCAACATTAGTTAAATTCGAAAACCGAGCCAAGTAAAGTCTATTCGGTTAACGTAACAGAGTGATATTATTTCCGCGGGAAGAAAAAGGTCAAAAGTGGTAGGAATTATTATAGGGACTAGCTTATGCATGCTACATGTGTAATCTGTACCAAAAGCTTATTAGCTGTTATGATAGGTAAAATAATGTTATATATAAATATTGATTTTGCATGATTTAGTGCATCTGATCGATAGATTTCAGCCAGGTAGCTTCGAAGAATGCTGTTAAATTTTAGTAAATGTCAGATCACAAGTATGATAAACATACTACATATTAAAAAATATGTATCCGCCAATATTATCAAATATCACGTGAATCTAAAAAAAAAGAAAAAGCAATAATCATTGTTGTGTTAGGTTTAAGATGACGCAATACATTGAATAGATGACGCATTCAGTAAGAGCACAACTTTGTAGACAATGTTATTGCAAATGATAGCAGAACTCACTTGAAACATTAACAAGGTTTATAAAAGACGACGACTATAATTTCATTTCGAAACCTGTCGCTGTCCATTGTATACTTACATGGGCAACTGCTGTTGATGAGGATTGTTGAAAGTCTGCATCTCGTCGCAGCTCTCGCCTCCACTGCTGGATGCTGTGCAGTCCGAGTCCAGGTTAGTCTGGACGATATGGAGTTGAGTAGCAAGAGGACCAGCAACGTTCTCCACTTCGTCAGATTTAAGCTTAACCTGAGGCGTGCCGAAGACAGGATGACGATTGCTATTGCCTCCAGCACTGGCACTAAGGTTGTCCTTGGAACCAGCGCCAAAGTATCGACAATAGGAACGTTGTCTGTTGACGGTGTTGCTCTGTGCGATGCAGGACTTCTCGATTTTCTGTAGAAATGAGTCAAGGCTGGTACTGATCTCCGGAAAATTCCTGACGTTCGACTTGGAGCTGATGTTAGCGAGCTCTTGAAAGAAGTACTTCTTAACGCCATGATGGGCAAGCTCAAGGACACCGGTGTTTTCCTCAGCAACATGACGACCCACGAGCCTCGCCTGGAGCTTCCTTAGTCTTCTCAAGAGAAAGGCGCAGCGTCTCTCGCTCTCGAACTCCTTCTGAGCAACAGTGTCCTGTTGGGCACGCAGAACGTTGACGGGTTTCGGTTGCTCGACGGCTTCGGCGATATTCATGTTGTCGTTGCAGAGACTCATAACGTCCACATCGTTGAGGAGATCGCGCTCGAAGGAGGTCAATCCCATTGGCAAAGAGAACATCTCCACCGTATCCGCTGCGCTGTTAGCTGGTTCGTTGGACCCAGCTGAGATGTTCTCGGCGTTCTCGGCGCCTTCCATGGATTTAATCACCTGGAGGATCTCCTCAACGTTGTGTCCGATGTCAGGAACACCGCCCACACCGCATTGTTCTCCGTCCGCGGATATCTCTGCACCAAAGCCAATTATCTGATCGACGTCCAGGTTCTTCTCGGCGCTGGTGTTGCCGGAGGTGGTCAGAGGTACGTCTACGTTCGATTTCAAAAAGCCCATGTCGTCTGGTTGATCACCCATAGATGGGTCGTTCATTATAATGTCGCTGGTCTTTCGATCAGGGCTGTCCGGCACGAGCATACGTTCGCTCTCGCGCTCCTCCGATCCTTTCCTCGCGATCAGGTTAGATCCGTTCGCGAATGTCGACAGACTATCGAGACCGTTCGCGTACTTTGAGTTGATGACATCACGAATGAGGTCCTTTGAGATGCCGCGCAAGCACTGCTCGTCTATCTTCGACGGCTGCACGTTGGCGGATACGACAAATTTGGCCAGGACCTCACGCTTTTGACAGACCTGCGCAGCCTGCTCGGCCGAGAGGAATCCACTGGCCGGTAAGGGAGGGAGCAAATTCTCAGGCTTTTGTGGACCGCCTTCCGTCAGAGCAGGGGCCATCACTGCCACTGACGATGCCAGTGCTGCTGCCTCCACATCCAGAGGCACCCACCTGCACCTGCACCTGCTGCAGCCACACTTCTCCTGGGGCGTGCTCACTCCCATTCATCCATTCCTCTGTTTTGTTCTTCCTTCTTTCGTTCTCTCTGTAGTCCTTCTTCTTACTGTGCTCCGTCCTAGCTTCTGTAGTGTCAATAAGTACCGAATAGGCAAATCCTTGTTCTTGTATAGGTTAGGGAAGCATATACTTCTCATCCAGTCTGTCAAGCTTCAAACATTCCCACAGACAGGATATAATCTAGGGCATAAAAAATTATCACATTAAAATCAACACATACAATCCACTTAAAAACTATCACTGACAGTTACTATCTAGATTGAGGCTATCAAAATGAACGACATATTTGAAAAAAACAGTGAGTTCCACGTGGAAACTTTCCGCATGACTCACCTAGTGTCCGAATACACGAGGACGAGGTAATTGTCTTCAACCGTTAAAATCCAGGTGAACAGTAGCTTAATTAGGAAAGGGCGTCGTAATGTTGCAAGGGTAGAAAGGACACGCGTATGAGGTAAGCCTGGAAAGACGTTGTTCGGGAATGCCAGAAGAAGGCAGAAGAGACTGAGGAGCCAGATGAGAGAGAGTGAGAAAGGAGAGAGTAAGGTAGGCAGGAGGGGATTTCCTATTGGTCGGATCGGAGCGGTGGGGGGATGGGATTCTATAGGGGATGGGCCTATATAAGCAAGCACAGGGAAAAAATGTATATCGCTATACAAGAATTCGACGTATGAAGTTCTGGAGATAAATTGCACTTCACTTTTAAACGCGTGGTCACACGCATGTAATGGAAACAATCGAAATAAAAACTCCCGCCGCGTCTCACAAGATTTTCTAGCGTATTACGAGCACGCACAGTCGATACATTTCCACGTGATCGAGCGTCGGTGTCTCGACGGCGACGTACCCAAAGAGTAAGAACACCAGTAATAGTAATAACAGTAGAGCTGGCACTGCTTACAGCGTTAGAAACAAAATTGTATCAGTATCACTGATACGAACCACGCGCACAATCATTACACAAGGATGCTATGTACACGCACAAAATTAAAAGCAGCGTCCTTTCGAGTAATCCACATCCGCAGTCAGTCCGGTGGTTCGAGATGTGAGAACAAAGATAAAAACATGCCGTCGTCACCAGAGCAAGAAGATCCTCTTCGACTGCATGTCTATTGCATAATGACGAGTAAAAGTCCGCAGGGGCACGACGTGACGCCGCGTCTACGTATCGCGCACGTTACTTTATCACAGAATGAATAACGTAGAGAAAAAAGCGGTCGAGGAAATTTGACGATGGCGATAGGCTTAACGATTCCGCCGAAGTAAGCGTGTCCGGATGACCGCGCGACACGAACGGTGAATTCGACACGGCAACCACAGCTAAGATAAAGAATAACAGCGGCGGCAGCAGCAGCAGCGTCGGCGGCGACAAACGACAACGTGAACTTAGGATGATTCGGAGCAACTCGTAAGCGACTTCTTTTGGCTGTAGCGCGTTAGCGTACGTACAATGGCGGAGCGAAGAAAGAAGAGAAGAGGGAAGAAGGGAAAAAAAGTACAACTCGGAAGAACTCCTTCCAAGTCCGGGGATATATCGGTTTTTTGTGGGATCTCTCTCTCTCTCTCTCTCTCTCTCTCTCTCTCTCTCTCTCTCTCTCTCTCTCCCCCTTCCTCTCACACTCTGTTTGTCTCGTACTAGTTCTCTCTCTCACCTCGCTTTTCGATTCGTTTTATCGCGCGCACCCGCCACTGGTGAGAATTTTCTGCCTCCTTCTCTATCACCGCACCACCATCTCGTCCTTCTCTTTCTCTTGGATACGTTACGCCCGACGTGCCGCACCACGAGAGCCACTGCGCAACACTCCGTACGCCGTGTTGGCGTTCGCGATTTTCACCGACGAATTCCGTCACACCCAACAACGCGAGCTATGGACTTTGCCAGGAGCAGAACTGTTTTACCGAGATGGAAGACACAGCGCGCGACCGTACCACACGACGACGACGACGACGACGACGACCACCGCAAGCGTTACACTCTGTCCTGCTCCTTCACTCTTTCTTTTCTCTCTCTCTCTCTCTCTCTCTCTCTCTCCCCGACACACTATCTCTGTTCTATTCTTTGACTCTCCTTCTCTGTCTCTCTCTCTCTAGGGAACTGCTTATTTTTCTCTCGCTTCACTCTCCTCGACCAGCCCCTCTTGGTTCAAGCCGACGTTTCTTCCCACTCTCCTTCCGCACTCACTTATTCACTCACTCACCTCACTCTTTCGCACTCTGTTTTCCTCTACGGTATAAAGTTCTTTCTCTCTCACTCTCTCTCCCTCTCCCTCTCGTATGCACTCTTTATCCCTCTGTCTGTTTCTCGCTCTCACTCGCGCGGTCTTTGCCTCCGTTGAGTCCGTTTGCGGCGATCTGGACTCCGCGACTACCGTCAACCTCGAGTTTTTTTGCTGCTCGATTCCGTCGTCTTTGGTTAGTAAGGTCGAAAGTCACACGACGGTCGACGCGACCGCTATTTATCAATAATATTGAGGAAATTCGAGCAACTTCTCTGCCACTGCTTCTACTGCGAGGCGGACCGACCAATACTGCGGCGCCGATGCCGGATGTGCCCTTCGAGCCACGACAACCAATCGTGAGACATTTCATTCCCGAAATGGCCACCAAACGCTTGGGAAAAATGGCGCTCTTTTTAAATGATCTTTTAGGTGCCTCGTTATTTTGTTGAACGTATTACGTATTCTTGATATAATATTCGTTTTTACTGCTAGCGATCGTCGGGAGATAGTTATAGAAATGTTTTGGCTATGTTTCATTGATGGAATTTATCAAAGGAGTAAAGAAACATTTGATTTTGGAAGGAGCGACAGCAGGCAGTCTGTCGCGCGCTTTTTCTTTGCGCACTGATCAAACAGAGTATAGATATATCTACCACTCGTTTCCTACTATAGGGAGTTTAATAAATGCGATTCTAGTGGTTTTGATATCCCGTTGCAACGTTATCGACCTATGGTTCATGCTGATTTAAAAAGTTCCTATAAAGATCGTAAATGAGAATTATTTAATAGGCGACTCTTGCGATTTCTTAAATAATCTACATTCATGTATTAAACGTGCTTCGCCGGCACCTTGGAAATGTGGACTGTGTAATCGTGAGGGTGCGTGCGCTAACCGTGTATGTTAGACAACGAGCAACGTAACGATAAACAAATAAATTAATGTAGTGGAAAATAAATTTATTTGCTCCATGCAACAGCTCGTCGACTTCAAATAGTTTAGTGCCGTGTGACAACGGTGATATATTTATTGAGAACCGGAGAATGCTTAGGAGTCGTGGGTGAGATCTTTGATTAACCACATTATCAGAACACGTTTTAGAATGCACTGTTGGCACGTGTCTGGCATTCTTTCACGACGTTTCAATTCCAATTTAATTAATAATAGCACAGCTCGAAATGCTTTATGTAACCGTCATAGTCGTGCTTATGGAAAATGGGGTGGGCATGGTCGACGGATAGGTATTTGGTTTAGGGAGCAAGGTATCCAGGTCGCCAGAGCATGTGCTAAACAATTTGAGTTTATTGCTGCTCAAAGGGTGAGACGGAGTATGCAAATATTTCATCTTTATACAAAGATCTGGGACGAGGTTGCTCTCAGAGAATTTATAAAGTCATGGAGATGCAGAGTTGGAAGGAACGCTAAGGAGTTTCTTGTCAGTGCTGTTGGTGTTAGCATTTACAATTGGGACCGGGAAAGGATATCAGATGAGGAGATGTATAGGTAAATTATATATTCTATAAGGATTTACTTTTCTACGGAAGTACAGGATTTGTATTTCTTTAATTCAATGTTATTAATTTATTATTTTTTTAATAACAATTCACTAATGTCACCATTAATCGATAGGTTTAAATAATCTGCTGGGGAATAAGTAATTTATAGTTATATAAATTTAGGTACATGATAAGTTCAATACGCTTTATCTATATAGTGACATGAATTATATAATTTTGATGTATATCCATTCTGGAGTGTTATATCACATCCTATTCATGAAATTAATATAAATCTCATACATTTCATAGTCTATGTATTGGAATAAGTAATAAAATTATAGTCTGTAAACAAATAAATAGTGTCTGTGTTTATATTACGTTCATATATGTTTTCTTCATTTCCATTTCAGTTATAGTAAAGAAATAGATGGAATTTACAAATTAAGAGAATCCACAGTGACATGCAACAACTGTCATCAAAGATTGGTGATTGACGTGACCCAAACTGGAATAGAGTATTGCAAGTGTCATGGAGCAAAAGCAGCAATTGCCAATTGCCAAAATGGTATATATAAAGAATATAAAAAGCATCCAGTGACAAAGCTGAATGGATTCCAGCAGATTCATTAATTTCAGAAGAAGAATGGCAGCCATTTATTGAGAGACAGGATATGCTTGTATGGCGAAAGGAGGAACCTGGTACTGGAGGACTTTATGCTTATAAAGTTTATGGCTCTTTTTCCGATGTGTCTGCTCATGATTTTCTGCAAGTTCAAATTGATGTAGAGTACAGAAAACAGTGGGATCATACAGCACGGCAATTGGAGATCATCGATACTGATCCCTCATCAAATTCGACATCTAATTCCAGCAGTGATATAATGTATTGGGAGATGATCTGGCCCGTAAGTTTTTAATAACGTTTTCCAAATAGCGTATGTCTTTATATAAATAAATTAGAGTTATATTTTTTTTAGAGTTTGTTCGCAAACCGTGACTACGTGTATCAACGGCGATGGTTACTGAACAAAAATCAAGGATTGATAATCATCGTTAGCAAGGGGACAGATCATCCAAAGGCACCAAAGAGAACTGATACCCACAGGTAAATTTCTTTATTTATAATCCAGTCAAATTCTACAGTTATTATCTAAGCAAGTCGATCAATCTTTTCTAGTTCTTGATATTTCCTTATGGATTGACTTTAATTGACTGTGAATACTCGCTGAAATAATCGGTCCTGTGTCCACGTAACAGAGTTACCTCCTACTGGTCGTATATGGTGATAAGGCCTTACAAAGATTTCGATGAGCCAGGAATCGAATTTTGTTTGACGTACTTCGACGACCCGGGTATCCACATACCATCAGCTGTCACTGCATGGGTTTCAATGAGCGGTAAGAGTTGAGTTTTTTCCAAAGTAAAAATCGCTATTATTAAATTAACTTCTCATACAAAATATCTTTTTTTTTACATAGGTTTACCAAACTTCCTATGTCGTATGCGACAAGCCGCGAGAGATTATCATAAGAATAAAGCAGAACTTGGAAAAAATACGTTGGTACCAAAGGAGGAATCCAGTTCAGGTGACGAGAATATTCCAAATAGAGTGTACGATGTAGATGGCGTGACTTCACCATCGTCAATTAAAAAGGAAAATCAGTCTGAGAAAGTGGACAAGGAAAATGAAACGGAAGCGGCAGATGTTACAACGAAAGATGAGGTGGATAACAATGAAAATGAAAACAAGGAAAAGGAAAAAGAAGAAGAATCAGAGAAGATAGAGAATCAAGAACATATACCAGAAGATTATGGATTCCTCCATTATTTTTTCCTTACTAAGTTGTTTGCTTGACATGCAATTCAATGGGGTAGTTTCAATGAAGGCACAATGATCGCAGAAATTCCGACAACTCGACAATTTGCAGTGGCGCAAATAATGTTAACTGTGGACTCAAATTAGTCAAGTTACAATTCTAATTGTCATGTAATTATCGTGTGGACTAATAATTTTAACTCATTCAAAACTGGGGGTAGTTACTTCGTTCTCTTGAATGGGAAGGATCAAATTATTTTGCAATACCACAAGAAACTGATCCTTATTAATTTATTCAACGGTCGATGGAATTTGGTATGAACATAATTAGATTTTCTGTTGAACAATAACATTTTGCATCAGTTTTCATCATGACGCATTATAGTTGTTAATGATAGAGCTAATCGATGAGGAATATTTTTGGAATGTATAATGTGGATATAAACAAACATACCATACTTCATGTAAACTAAACATCTTTGGATTTTATTCATTTTATCTATATTACTGCAAAATTTCAGTGTATCTATTACAAAAGATTAGTCCTATTAATTCAAAAATATTTCCTGAACGCAAATCAAAGACGTAACATAGATTCAAACGAGTAAATAAAAAATATAATCATATTTGTAATATAGTCAACATAGTCTATAATTTATATAGCAAACAAATGATTTTCCACCGAATTTAATATGATCGAATGGCTTCACTAATGCAATGTACAATACGAGCGAATTCGTTGCCGTTAGAATTGAAAATTATTTTTAACTTTTAAAATGTGCAGCGAACGTTCACCATTAAATTTTTTACAATTTTGAATTGAAACAGTCATAGACAGTTAATCAAGGATTTGACGATGATTCGGTGCAATGGCAGTTTAAAACAGACTGATTTTGCCAATTTAGTATATTGTAAATAAAATATTACACATCTCATTGTCAATGTTGAATTATATAATTGGATATGTACAATAATGAAAACATCATGCTAAATAAAAAAACGGTGTCTTAATATTTTACTTACACTCTCTTCATATTGTATTAATCCTTTGCGTGCCTAGTGAGATCTGTTAGATCCGCCCATAGTTATATATGGCAATAATTTTGCGAAGTCCAACGCCTGCATTTTACCATTATCGATACCACTTGAGAATGACAATTATTCAAAGGGAGAGAAAAAAGTTACTCTTACTTTCGAGTTCGACAGATCCACCAAGTATACGATGTTATCATTTTTCACCAGGCATGCAGAGGGCTAATAAAATTAATAATTAATGAGAATGTTACTCTAACATAGTTGCATCTTGATCAATTCTGCGTCTACACTGTCCTCTTCTTCCTATTCATTAGTGAAAGGCAAGTCAAAGTTATCAATGGAAGAAAGAATTTCATCACTTTCGTCTTCCAATTGAAATGCAATTTCTTCCGGTAACTTTTTTGGCTTTGACATGAAACCTGTGCAGTCTTCGTCATGACATTTTTGGTACCACAACTTTTTATGCAAATCGACAATCAAATAGATGTTATTGCTTTTGTGAGGTCGTCCTATGTTATCACAATATCTGAAAATGTGAATATAAAAATGTTTAAGAACAATGTGATCTTAGGGAGCTTACTGATGAATTTATTATACCTATTTCCTATAATTTCGTAGGAAATTTTTTTTGTGCTTTCGAAATAAGTGGACAGTCGAATTCTTCCAGGTTTTACAATATTTGAAATGAACTTATCAACGCATGGATATTTTGATTTGACTGTACTCTCTTGTGGTGGAGTCAATTGACTTGATCTTTTAATGTACATTTCAATGTCAGTTACATTTTTTTCATCGAGTTCCAACAAGATGAGGTTCGTTTTGGTAGGAAAGTAAGATATAAGTGAATCCAAAAATATTCCAAGATCCTTATCCTTGCACTCTTCAGCAGATATATATTTTGAATGAGGCGAGAGTACAAGATGTGACTGTTTGCCCCATTTCGTAGATTTATATATCCTAAAGTGTCTATTTCTTGAATATACAGATGTGTCAATAAATAATTTTCTGTTCTCAGATGTTTTAATAAATAATTCCTTCAGGTTTTTTCTATCGAAAAAATCAAGAACATCTGATCCTTTAAAACCTGAGTCTACATAATTGGTAATGTCCTTGCAAACACTTTTTACAAATTTTCCAGCTTGAATATTGTTCTTGAAAGCAACTTCTTTGATGCAAAATATAAGGTGTCTACTAAACTTCTCTCTTGTGGTCGAGTCCAGACTTAGTACATTGCTCTCATTGCATGGACAACCCCACAGTTTAGTAAGATATGCACAAAATATTTCAGTTATCGTCTTAGTCATCCTGTGTCCATTATGATTAGGATTTTGATCAATTAAAAATTCCAAGTCAAAGTATAACTTTACAGGTGCACCATCAGGAATAACCTGCAGAAAGGGAATTTATATATTTATTGAAATTTCTCAACAAGAAATAACAAACCTCATACGAGCATCTACACTCTGGTGACTTCTGCGAATAGTACCACCAATAAACCTCTGGATGTGCCACAACAAATATACGGTGACCATTTTCATTCTGATAAACAAATGTACCAAGAACATCGTTAGAATTGTCATGTTGTCTTGCAACAGCTAAGGCCTCAGCTTGCTTATGGAATTCAGCCCAAAATTGTGTTGGACCCATAATACGTTGTGGCATTTTATGAGGTTCTTTTACAGACAGTAAAATTCCATGCTGTAGCTCTTGAAAGATTTTGGACCTCCAGACAGCAAGTGTGTCTCCATAAAATGATTGTGTTTCAATAGCTTCCATTTTAATGTTTATGTATTAATCATTACATATAAAATATAAGATTCAAAGTAGATTTACACTATCTACACTTGTGTCGAGAAAACTACATGTATAAAGTTTATCTTGGATATAATCAAGATATAATATTATAGTAAAATAAAATAACTAAATTCAAAAACTGATTTGTAAATACCATGCAGCATTTACATTATAAGGAATATAATTCAAACAAAGAAATAAATATAAAAGTGCCTTGAGGTACATCAAAGAACAATTGCTATTTAAACAAATTAGTTCAAGTGTCTTTTACAAGTGCAAACAAGACAAATTTGTATGACAAACAGCGTAATAATAAAAATCCATTAAATATATACCAAAAATATATATAGAAGTAAATAAAACAATAATTTTGTGATATCACAGGAGATACGTATAAATGACATTAGAAGAGTTACAACATATATCGGATAAGATTATTAGACAGATTTCTTAAGAAATACTTGAGATTATTGATCACAATCAATCAGAAGAAGAATCTTCATTTACAAATAGAGTTGTGAAACTCTATTCTGTTGAACTGCACAATCACAAGTGTTTACACTGGTTTACACTAGTTTCCATATTTGGAGCATGTAATATTCTGCCAACAGTATCGACACAAAGAACTATGCGAATTTATTATGGTTTTTCGTTAAAAAATGCACAATTTGTCTCATGAGTTATAAAGCTATTATAATTTTCAAACATTTTTTAGGCTGACAATTCACCGATGTAGGTATACATTGCACAATCATACTTAGTACTTATAGGTGGCGCTCACTTGCAACAGAAATTAGAGTCCCTCTAGTAAGAGTCCGGCCAACACCCGGAAGGGACGCCATATTAAGGGCTTGTTTGGCGCCACCATGACATTGCGCGCGGATTTTCAAACTACCAATCTTTACCATCAAGAGACTCGGTCGAGTCTCGCGCCAAGTACAGGCAACCCGCCGTACAGGGCTTAACACTACCCACACTACACAATGCAAATCTCTCCCATATACGTATTCACACATGCCATTCTATTCCGGAAAGAGCCCATAATATGGCGGAGCCAATCACTAACAAGCGCCACCGTTGGCCGGACTCTTACTAGAGGGACTCTAACAGAAATGATATTCAGTATTTGAATTTTAATATTGGCAGTACTTGTTTTCAAGGAACGGTATTTGCGGCGTCTCTTCAGTTTTGAGCGGTCAATCCTTTATGGAAATAACGAGTCAACAGGTGGAAAAAGAGAATAAGGTTGATAATTTTTCATTAATCTACCTGATTCCAGCTAGGATATTTATTGTGAAAACTTTAAATACGGGTACCGATATGAATGCTGATCAAGAATTACTTTTATAAGTCGACACTGACGATTGCCATCGGATCACCATCATACAATATGCTGGATCATCCATAACGATTACGTGATAAAATCAATTATTTTGACAATAGAGGATAGAAACGATAACCATACTGACAAAAAACTTGATATCAGCTCTAGCTGACTAATCAGATAAAATTCTTCGACGATTCGTAACGGTTCGTTCTTCCCTGAACTTGACTTTTTTTAAATTATCCAAGAAAGTAGAAAAGTCTATTAGTCTATACTTACATACAAGATAAAAGATAAGACTGACTTTTGTCTTTTATAACATTTTAGATTTTCGATAATATTATAACGACAACATTCGTATTGAATAATTTGTATGAAAACAATTAAAATCGTCTGTCTTGTTATTATAATATCATTTTATCGTGTCGTTCCGATTTTTAACTAAACTTGCTTTGTCTTGTGTAAAATATAGCGGTTTTTATTTTTCCGGAAATTTCCAAATTATTATTCAACAGAGTTAATCGCTATGTATTTTGTTTCCGAAAGGACTGTACCTGGCATTAGCCAATCAATGACGCGATTAGTCACGTGACTAGATTTAAGAATAGAACGACGCCTCGAAAATACATAACGATTATAGTAATTTTTGGTTATGTTTATTAGATTTTGGAGAAAATTCTATTTTACCATCGCAGAAATCAGAAGTATGAACTAATAAATATATATTGTACATAATATGATTTTGTTCAGCAGGGCTTCAAGGTGTGGACGACGACAAAGAAGAGCAGGAACGTCCCGTGAGTAGAACTGAATGTATTTGATGTATACTTTTATACGTATATATATTTAATATAAAGAAAGACACTTGTTGCTTCTGCGCGAAGTCTTAGGCGCCTAGGAGCTTACGCGTTTCGTTTACGTTATGTTAGAAGAACTTTGGTGACGGACAATCAGTCGTCTGCGCACATTCGTAGCAGGATCCTCGTATACTCGCGTTGAGCATCCTCTTCACATTTTTCATAAAAGCACAATTATCATTTACAGATCATTCCTCTTTCAATAATACACGTGCTAACCCTTAATAAATAATTAAAACTCATGACGAACGTCATCACAAGACAGACAATAGAAAATCTCTTAAACTTGAGAAAGCTCTTGATATAATTTTGAAAAAATTATTGTAAACCATTACATTAATGGCTTTACAAGCACAGTCCACATACATTTGATAAAACAAGTAAACAAATTTCAATATTTATTTTTGCTTAGAGCATTCACGCCAACAACGATCAAACAATAAGTTGATTAATGCACGCTTTTCTTTGCTTCATGGCTTTTCTATATTAAAAGAAGAAACAAGAAGTCGTAAGCTTCAATTTTTTTGTTAATAAATTTTGCAATAGCTCGTTTGTTCAACTTCTATGAGACAACGGCCCGTCATATATTATATAAACAAACGAAGGCCTGATAGATAAGCCGTAGTGAAAAAAAAAGTGGTGGCAAGGGACTACATCTATGAGATCCGATAGTAGAGGGGACACATAGAATCACCGATAGTGTATCAATCGTTTCGATACGAAATCGGCGATACACGATGTAGGAGTATGCACGGATAAAATATTTTTCCGTCTCTTGCTCGTGTAAACCGAAATTGTGCCGCGTTTTCCACTTGAGCATTTTTTTCTTTGACTCTCCAACCGGAAATAAATTTGCGGATTTTGCGTTCGATCGCGCGTTCCTTTCGTCAGTTTGAAACACTTGATATTGCGGATAAGACAAGTGGTACCTTACGATTTTGAAAGGCTTTCAATATATTGTCTAAAAAATTTAGGTATTTTTTTTTTTTTTATATAATGACAGTGACAATCAGACAATTATTACAACGTGATGACAAGTGACTGTTGTATGTGATTGAGGTTACAAGATTTTATTATAAATTGAGTGCAGTGTTGATTAGTTTGTTTTTTCTTTGTTCTTAAAGAAAAATTTTTCTTGCGCGTGACTTGAATAAATTTATTTTTTCAGATAGTCCAGTGAGTGCTTTTATGTTTGTGGAACTAAGACACGAGATCTTCAATATCTTTATCATTGACCAAAAAGACGTAAAACAGTTTGAGAACAGTGGAAACGTTGCTTGGATTAAAGTTACGTTCTCAAGGTATTGGCAAAGTGACGGTTATTTGATGGATTTTGAAAATCGGATTGTGCAGTTACACAGATGAGTATATGGTAATTATATGACTAATGAAATCACCAAAGAAGTGCGAACTAACAATAAGAAAGTCATACCAAAGTGCGCAAAATTGATGAACAATTGTGTTCCAGATGTGTATAATAAATAAGACGGGAAGCACGTTGTAAGAAAAAAATAAATATTAAAAATGTTCTTAAAATTGGGAAAACTTGTGTAATGCGTCGTGTAACAGCCTCGTGCGATCATTCTTAATTATTTAGGGACGCGAGTTACAAATTATAGTGATAAACATTTTTTTTAATCAATCAAAGTGTACTCGTTCCATTGTGTTCTTGTTTATTCGCAGAACAAACAGTGAAAGATTCGCTGAAGGAAAAGGAATAGAGAAGAAAGAAAATACGAGGATAAACGTCGACGCTGGTTTTTCTACTGGTGCTACGATCGTAATGGCTGCTTTTATTTATGGATACCAGCAGTAGTTAATATACTGCTTGATACTGGTGCAATATTCGCCGTGGATTGTGACCCTCTCGTGTCAAAGGCTTACCCCCATGGGGGGTACCCGGTACCCCAGCGTACTGTTCCTGTGGTTGGTCCTGATTTATCCCACTTCGGTGGAACTGTCTTGTCGCGAGTCCAAGTTACATGCGGACTGTGGTTCTTTGTGCAACAAAAACAAACGCGGTGTTGTGTCCTGCGAGTTGCGCGCTGCTGTGATATTACCAGCTGATCCTAGATTTGAAATCGCCTTGCCAAAAGTTCGACCCGTCCTTGGTGAGTTTTATCGGAAGACTTTTAGCTCAGTAGAAACTTTTCTTATGTGACGTATTTTCATGTAGTTTGTTTGTTAAATTTTCTTTAGTGAAACAGAGTGCACGAAAAGTTGTATGATTTTGAAAGAATTTTTTGGAAAAAAGTAATAATGTGTATGATGTGATTGATTATTGAGCTTTAAGGTATTTTTTGGAAGTTGATAGATTTATAATATCAATATTATATTGATCAAGTAATTAACTCTACGTATAATTTTGAAAATACGTCTCTGTGACGTCTGTAATTTGAATGATGTTGCCTTTGAGACATCCTAATGATGACTTTTTGGTATATGCGTTGGCTGGATGGCGACAGCAAAAGTTATTGAACATTGCGATAAGACTAAACGGTGAAATCAGCGGGGTTATTTTAAGAATCACGATAAAATAGTCTTGTATCTGCATTTTGTTGATAATAATTTCAAAAATGACAAAGCGATTGAGAGTTTGATAACGGGGACTCTATTGGGTGTCTTGCTCCTTTAATATCACAAAAAGAAACAGGTGTACGTAATTAACCTCCCTTTGTATATTATACGCAGCAGAGTCATAATAAATTACGACAATACAATTATCTGTAATACATATCAATTTATTCAATAAGACAATTCTTTTTATAATGTTTAACAAAAAATTGGCGCAACTCAGAAGACTAATCTCTCAAATTCAACCTCACGTATACGAACTCAAAATGGACCCACGTGCCTTTGCTTTGTATAAAAACTAAACTGAATATACTTTGTTTAATGATTTCTGACATACAAGATAAACGAACGTAAAACAAAAACAAAGAGACTAGTCTTAAACAACGTTTAAATCTTCGTTATTAATATTCTCTATGTTTGTGTATCTTAATATTTGTATCTGTTTCGACTAATCTTGAGCTAAAAATACTTTGTTATCTGTCAATGTTTGTATAATATTATTTGAACAAGCTAATGATTGCAAAAGGGTCGTAAATTCTTCAAAGAAATATTTTAACCCTGGTAACACTGAACAGAAAGTGTCCTACAAATCGTCGTGTAACTCGTGGGATTAGTTAATCTTAAATTTTAAGGATAGCGATCCGTCTTTGACACGAACTTTATGTTCGCGCAGTAAATTTATCAAAGTCACGTGAATAATTTACGTTATCGTGGAATTATTTTTGTTACAGATCTGGCAGAGTACGAGGTACGTTCCAGAGGTCTGCTCCCTTCCTGGATGAACTTGACTTTTTTACTACAGGATGATCAATGCGACGCGACTTTCGCACAGATTGGTGCTTTTGACAGTTATGCCGAATGCGTGCATTTGTTTTTGGGACCAGCTTGCGAATATTGCGTTGGTAAGTTTTAGCAATAAATTTATTATTTTTGTATTCACTGTGCCAGTCTTATCGTCTGATTTACATTTTGAATAGGTACCGGATGATGCATTTAGAAGAAGGACATTCACATTCAATTAAAGTTGGTTGAAGATTATACTTTTTCTCAAGCTATTAACATTTTCGAGAATGAACAAACTTTTTGTTCGCGCTATACGATGAGAAAGGAAAATAATTGAAACGATCGAATGATTAAAGAATAACAGCAATATCGGCTGGTATCGATTTTAAGATTGCTATCAGACTGATTCCATATAATTAATGGCTAACATGACATCCGAAAATCTTTTAGCAGCCATTCACGTTGTTTCATTCATTTACGTTATTTTATGAGTTTCATAGTAAGCCTCCTATTATTGATAGTCGTTAATTAATTATGCATCTAGTCCGAGTTGCTATGGCGTATCATAGTTATTCCTATAACGACCACATACGCTAGCGTGCAAAAGTTTATATTCAAATTCAATTTTACATTAAATGGCCCTTGGGCTAAAGAGACTTTTGTACTCGAGTGTATCTGTATATAATTAATGTATAATTAGTCTCAGGTCTTGCGAAACGTTCATTCACCGGTATTACAGTCACAGTGTAATTAAATGGAATTTACTTTTCTTCCCCGAGAACTTTTCTTTTAATTAATTGACATTTTGTAAACTCACGTTAGATGCAAAGTTAGTATTTTATTAATTTTTCTCCTTTTTCTTTTGGATAAGTGAGGTAATTGACTAACTTGACATATAAATTCATATAAGATTAATATTCACGTTATGTCATTCAACTGTGACGAATGGTAATATAAATTTTGAGAAAAAACAAAGGGAATATTGTTTGCCATTCTTTGTGCGACTGAACGTCCAATCGTTTCTGATTATTTCAAACGATTTCTGTTAGACTTTTCTATTATTCTACTGTCAGATATTTTCTTTGACTCTCTGTCAGATTCAAAAAAGAACTGCGTCCCTTTGTCCGTAACTTACTTGAGATAAAATAACATTTACCAGGGACTTATTGAATTTTTTCATCGTGAAGTGTAACATATCATTTCCATAATGGTATCTCGCGAGCGGAAAGGCCAATACGAAATTTTCTCTACGGTGATAATGAACTTTATAGGAAAATGTTGTCAGCTGGTACCTCACTCAAACTAAGTTATCCCTTTGTAGTACGGTTCTGGAATTTCAAGGGTTCGCGTCAAGGAAAACCGAATACTCTGGAAGGGTATCCAGAAATTCACAAATACCTTTTACGGAGCCAAACGCAAGCACCGTAGGAGTAAATTTCCTTAGGGATCGAAAGAAGCTTGAGAATGTTTGGTATCTTTCTTCCAACTCGATATAGATCATTCAGAGTTTTCAATATGTCAAATAATATATTGCTTTCGAGTAACATCTTTCCTTAAAGTCTCCTTTACACTGTCACTCGTGTCAAATGTATTACTTCTCTTTAACGTTCCTATTCGATATTTGTAATCGTATTTGTAACGTTTTTATATTTGATCGTTATCCGTTCTCAAAATCACATTTGAAGTATATGAAAAGTGCAAAATTTTGTATCTTTACGATTAACCGTAATTTCAACATACACATCACAACGGGTTAACAGCGTGTGAGCTGACTGAAAAGAAGATTAGGCTGTTTGGCGAAAGCTTTAAAAAATTTAACGAGACTCAGGGTTGTTTGACGTTGTATGAGAGAATTGCTACCAGTCAGTAAATCTGTCTTTATTTTTTAATTTCAGCTGCTGTCGGTAGGGTGACGAAGTTCCTTGGCCCTCCGCTAATAACAACGGGCGGCTTCACCTTCGACTTCACCAAAAAGAAACGGGAATGCTCCGACGAATATTTTATGACAACACGAGTCGGCAGTTTGTCCTTTAGAGACATTTCTTACTTCGTCCTCTCGATTATGAACGAGTGAGTGTACGCTGTTGGAGATTACGTTCGTCTTACTTTCACGTTTGAAATATGTATGCGGATGACGGAGGTTGTATTTTTCTTTCTGGAATCCGTGGTAGAGAAGTGCGGTGGGTCCATTGTCAAATTAATTTTCAAAGGCGCGTTGAAATAGCTTTGCGATATCTCACGTTCGACGATAAGACACTAAGATAAAGCTAAGTCGGACCATTTTTAGATATAAAGTCCATTCTTTGGGTCCGTTCTAGACTCAAATGACTGGATGACGATGCTATGAAAAAAAAAAAAAAATAAACCTTGCACAGATTTATAATCGGCATTGACTCTTGTTTAGTTAAATTGCTCAGATTACAGGCGTTAAATAGTAATTTTAGAAGACGTCTAAATTGAAGTCACCGAGCCATTTCGTGCTGATCAGATTGGCGTACATTTTTAATAACATTCAATAACAGTTTTAATATAGTTCACATTAAACGTGATATAAACTCGCGTAGAGAATAGTAAAAGCGTTTAATGATCTTGGATTTGGCTATTTTTAGTTAAAGTTTCTCAACGATTTAGTTATTTTTATTTCGCTGCTCCCAGACATCAAAACTACAGTCTTAAAGAAGACTTGCTATCTTGTAAAACGAACGCAGGATCGGATTATCAGTTATTTTGAAAATTTCGAAATTTCACTAGACTCTTAAATTTAATATGATACCATCATAAGTCTCTTAAAAGTTTAACAGTCACAATTCTTTATTTATGAATTCAACTTCAATTGGAGTCGTGTAATCAATAATTCTTCACTTCCAATCTTTTATAAGGGAAAGTACATAGTAAAACAATGTAGGTCATATATCATATAGTAATATTTACGTATGATTGATGCTTGTAAAGTGACATCACGCAGCCTTTATCATTATCTTGTATACATATGTATCTTTCTATATGGTCTGGTATATCTAAAGAGATGAATGACTAACGAAGCAACGTTCTCCTGTTGTCCTTAGTGAAAAACAATCTTTTTTTTTTTTTAAATCACCTTACAATATATTACATAATTTGCATTTTCCATATTCTCAGGTACAAATGGACCAGGCTACACCTTTTGTACTCCAAGAACGGGCAGGCGCAAGTAGCTGGCAGACACACCTGCCAATTGATGATGAAGACGCTGGTGGAATTTGTGCGTGAGCAACAGAATTTGACATTTAGCACATTCGACTTGGAAACGACAGCCACTAAGGATTTTCCTGAAGCGTTGAAGGATCGCGTGGGGAATTCATATGGGAGTGAGTATTATTTGACACGTGGACATCACACTGAGGAACAACACATGGCAATTAAATCTATTAGTTTCCGGCGACCACTTTGAAATTTTTTTTCTCTATAAATAGCGTTCAATCGAGCGAGAGCGTTTTTTGGAATAAATAAGATATACGTCTAAAACGGCATACACAGGTAAATAACTATTATTGTGAACTTTTTTGGAAAATTAACTGACAGCTGTCAGAAAGCCAAGGACTCAGTGTCCGATGCTAAAATTGTTCACTTTTATTTTATTCCGTTACATTGCAACGTGTCTGGTGCTTGTTTCCTAAACCTGGGAGTGATCGCGTCTATTTTCTATTCCACGAGGAAAAGCAAAATCTTAATTATGTTTTTATCCGCAGAGAGAGAGAGACCACGTTAGGTCGTAATGTGAATCAGCATCCTCTTTCATCATACCTACATCAACCTCTGCCTTTTAACTCGGCTAAGAAAGAGGAAGGATAATGCGGTTGATTCATCTTCTACCTTCCACGTCTGCTTAATCTCATCAAGTCGCACTCGTTCAGCACAGTGGAGTATGGTGATAGGTCGTTTCCATGGAATTGAAAATTTTCATTTCTGTTTTTTATACTCAAAATGGATTTCCGTTGGGCCTCAACGTGAATTCTGCCTTAGGGCACACCTACTTTCACATTCGCCAGTCCTTGACCACTGTCTTTTCGCTGGAGCCAAAGAAGCAAAATATTCAGTCTTATGTTTAGGAATTTTCATCTTAGCCCTATTTGACTTAACGTCGAAAGACTTTCAGCAGATTAAACGACGAGCGAAGCTTTGTCCCGAGTACTGTAGACATTTCTTCTTCTTTTTTTTTTCCATTCTTCTCTAAAGTCTGTCTCCTAAAGAGCAAAGAGACTTTTCATGTTTTTCTGATATTCCAAAGCATATAATGTTGCGTAATGTATTCTCGCTGAGAAATTTTTATTCCTTATCCCCTAACCTTTTATTCTCTAATTGACGTAATACTGGCACCAATCTGTCTTCGTTTCTTTATACGAATTTCACGCGATTCGATATCTTCCATAAGACTGGATGAATTCTCATGAAATTCTTTTTGAAATCCTACCGGATTCTTATTACATTTGTGAAATGATACGTAAATGTATCGTGCATCAACGGTATCAATTTTTGGGACAGAGGGCAGAGTATTTATAGAAAAGATGAATCACTGATACTATTGATATTAAAAAATATTTTAAAAATTATTCTCGGCTAGGTTGGATCTACGATACAATTTTACGAGTGGTTGAACAATTCTAGAACGTATGATTAATGAAAGTTATCAAGTAAATTATAATCATCTAAGAATTATTTACAAGTCGGTTTGATAAGAATCATCGGCGTTAATTCTAACCTGATGATAAGGACAACAGCCTTTTAGACGAAATATTTTGACGTTACGTTTTACATGTAAAAACGTAGTTTACCATTATATATATATATATAATTGCCTGAACATATTCGAAGCCCAATATATAAAACAGCTGGAATCACAAAACGATGGCAGAGTACGTAGAACTAAAGATACAAGGAAAAAAGAAAAAGAAAGCCCGCTAAAGTCGAGAAGAGCTGCAGAGATAAAATGGATTCGAGGCTTACGACGGAGCCACGCTAAAAATACTTTTGATAGAAGGAAACGATAAAACACTCCTAATATATAAACCATTTCGAAGTAAACCCATCAAGCATCGCTATAGACGATAAGTTAATATAAACGCGGCCGGATAATAATTTATTAGAAGCCCTTTGGATAAATCCATCACCTATGGTCTCCTAGATATTTCCTCATAACGTAGATTTACAGAAAACATTTTTTTCTCCTAGTCCGGACACGAACCCTTTGACATAGTCAGTTTGACATATTTGCTTGTAACAATTTTAAAAAATATTACGCATAAAACATTAACGTGAGTGACGCCCAGGTGCCAGCATAAAATTGTAAACCGGGTAATACTCTGAAAAAAAAATTCTGATATATAACTAACATCCATCAATACTAGGACGTGTAACAGCTATGATAATGTTATATTAATTTCATAAAACGCGCGCTCTTTTTAAATTGAAAATTCTCACAGGCCTCAGACTACGTATGTCTCTCTACATGTATATATATACATATATATCCTATATAAAAATGATGACCGATAAAACCGCAGGCGATTGGTATATTGCCAGTAATTTTGAAAACGAGCTTCGAGTGCGATTTATGCTTTTCATTGACGCATACTGGGTGACCTAAAAAAAATCGCCCTACGCCGTTTTATGAAATAGTCACGTAGGAATATGTGTATTAAATTACATACAGATCCCGTGTGCCCCGTACAGTACGTTATAGGTATATACACAGTCTTTCCAAAACCGTGCAGTATAATAACCTGCCTGAGTAACCCGACGAAAATCCAATAATTTCGAGCTGGCAAATTGCGTCAGAACTTACACGAAGATACGAACTAATTTTCTTCTTAGCTGCGTTTCGCGCCTTCCTGCCTCTCTCTATTCATTTCGCTCGTAGACGGGCCAATAGCTGTGGAAACACCAATCATAATTCTTGTCTGCTGTTGATTCTGTTGGTTGGAGATAGACCGAAGATAACGAGGCATAGAGTTCCGTAGTATAACCGAATCGAAAACCCCAATGAGTTTGCTTGGCAAATGTTTCTTTGATAAACTTGAGTCTGAAATTTTCGTATCTCTTGGGATCATTATTATTATTATTATTTTTTTTTTGTAAAAAAACGGTGAAGTTTTGTCATGCACATTTTTTAATGGAAATTAATATATATATACTGTGTCGTCATTTTTCGGGTCCCAAGGCGACTCCTGATACCAATTCAGACAACGTTCTCGCTTTCTGATTCCCTTCGAGTCGCCACTCTGATCAGAAGGTCGATTCGGCAGATCCGGGTGAGATACCGGCGCCCCGTTGGAAAGAGGCGAAAGGCTGTAGGGTAGGCGGAGATAGAGTTTTTTCAAGGTTAAGGGCAAGGAGGACACCCTGACCTGGGTTAATGACGTGAGGCCCAGCCCAATACCCTGGGAAAGCAGCCGTGGATGATCTCCAAGAGTCACGTACCGATTCGCTAAGGAATGATCTCGATTTAATTTAAAGGGACGACTCGAGGGATAAGAGTTACCGACTGTAGGGATTTCAACCAATCAGAATGATTAGTTCCCATATTTGACTATTGTCAAAGTCAGTCTGTCTTGGGACACCGATCGAGGTGCCTCGAGTTGCCTCGCGGCCCCGGCACATTTTTTAATAGTTTTTCTAGCCGCGTTTCCTATACGGTATAAAAAGTTTTCGCTTGTGTAGTTGTCGTGATGTTCTGGAAATATCGAGAAAATTCCATAGATTTTCTGTCTGTGTTTCGTGAGTGCAGTGTTGTGCTACAGTGCAGCACCTATTCGAGTCTGGTTGCAGCTTTTGGCCTTCACGGATCAGCTGTATCAGCAACGGTGAGGAGACCCAATTTATTGATTGGTGGAGGGATTTTGATTTTATTACTAGGATTCGGTCTGTCACGTTCTCGAAAAATTACAAAATTTCTGAATAGAGTAATTTGGATATCCGAATTATCCGGATCTTCGTAAAATGTTGTCGCACTGTTGTCGATACTTTGACTACAGCGACTGACGTGCTCGATATACAGGGTGTTCGTTATGAAACGCACTGTAGTAACATCGTTGCATTCCTTGTCAAATTCTAATGAATACGTATATTTTCATTTTTTATTTCATATATCAAAATTTCGAGATAATCAAGGTTGAAGTTGCAGTGGATTATTATTTGTAAACAGTAATAAGTCTACTGCGTCGAATGACTTGTTTACAAATTACAACTTATTTCACTTCACATTGCGGACACAGTCAGTTCGATTTATGTTGTTTCGACTACAAGATCGCATTACGAGTGATTATTCTGTGAGAGAATATTGCGACATGTATTGGGTGTTAGCCCAATGTAATGGCAACCAAACACAAACAACGCAACAATATGCAATTAGGTATCCTAATTGGCGATATCCTGATAAAAATGTTACGTACTCTACAATATTTACTGTTTCAGAATAATCATTATCATAGAAAATGTATGTAATTGTTGCAGATTAGCATGTCCAGATCCAAGCTCGGTCATGCGTAGATCAAAATCGGTCCTTTTCAGAACCACTCCAAACGTAATACGTTGGTACAACTATCTTGTCACATTAAAGGAATAGACATTATAAGGAATAAAGGGTACCTTCTGAAATTCACTGACGTTACAGCGAGCGATTGTATCTCACTCAATTACATGCAGATAAACAGGGACACTACGACGATACTCTTAGTGTTATTGGCCTAGTGTAAGCAGGTCTTGCGGGCTGACTCGCGACGTCATCTACGCTCCGTTTAAACGCGCTCTGATTGGTCGCATTACTGTAACTTCTACCTTGATTATCTCGAAATTTTGATATATGAAATAAAAAATAAAAATATACGTATTCATTAGAATTTGACAAGGAATGCAACGATGTTACTACAGTGCGTTCCATAACGAACACCCTGTATATTGACCGTAGTGATTGGCCGTTTGGCAATCGATTGATTAGTTCTTTCCATGATGTATTTTCGTCGTGGTTTCGCCTCTCGTTCTCGTCGAAGCCTCTTAAGGTACGACGATGTGGACTCGTGAAAAAATGTCGTGCGAGTAGATGAAAAAAAATAAATAAATAAAAAAAAACATGAACCACCCACGATAATTTTGGCCAAACCGAAAATAATTTAATGGAAGTGTCGTTAGGTTCAAGTCCTTGATTCACGATGGATACTGATAAAAATTTTTGCAATTTTTATTCATAATTAATAATCCCGATGGTTCGTTCATTCCTTAAAAAATGACGCTTTGATCTCTTATTTTTTGCATTTTCTCTTGTTTACAAAATTTTACCAGAAAATCCTTCATTCCCTTTTGCAATTTATTACAA